TCCCATGCAGGGACTACCTTCCCCTCCAAGCTCAGTCAGCGAGCAGAAACCGACCCTCCTTAGCAAGCGAAGGAACCCCTCGGAGAGCATACGCAGAGCGCTCTTCCCTCGTGAAATAAAGAGCCCCGAGCAAGAGGGGCTTCGGGGTCACAGCAGGTCTTGAGTCCTTCGCGGGCCCCCCATCCCTTTTAAGCGCTGCGCCCCCAAATAGGAAAAGCCCCCCGCGCCGGGGCGACTCGGCTCCCCACTCACCAGGGCCCTCGTGCCTCGCGGGGACCCAGCCCCTCCGACCCTCCCGAGCGACGGAAGGCGACTGCGAGGGAAGCCTCCCCTCCCGCGTCGCCCACCTCCTCTTTCGGGTGCTCAGCAGCTGCCCATTGGCTGCCCTCCGCTCGGAGGAGGGTTCGGCGGGCGAGACCACCGCGGAAAGGGGAATTCCTCACGAAGCGCCGGCGCCGCCTCCGCCTGCTGCTTCGCGGGGGTCGCTTGCAGATAGCGGCGCGCTCCCCTCCTCGCGCCCGGGAGGAAAGTCGTCCGCCCAGCCCCGACCGCGGCGGGCGGCGAGGTTCTTTTCGCTGGCTTGGCGCGTTGGACACCTGCCCGCCTTGCCTCGGCTCCTGTGCGCGCGCAGGGAGACTGGCATCTGGCGAGCAGCAGCGTCTCTTATCTTTGCTGCATCCTCGCTGTTGCGGGGCGGTGCACTCCCCGCACTGCGGTCTGGCCTCGGCGCCTGTCTCCTGCCTGGCCTGCTGCGGTTCTTTCGCACCCCGCTCGCTGCGTTGCTTTGCTCCTCCAGGGCAAGGGCCTGGGGCTCGGGGTGGGTTGGTTTTAGGGGAGAATCTGGGGCGGGGTCCCTTCGACGCCGTCAGGTCACTAGGAAGCAACGTGACGAGCGGAAAGCGCTCGCAATTTGGGAGCAGCGAAGCGAAGTGCGCTAAGCACACTCCCCGTTAGAATTAAATTAAATGTACCAGACTGCTGCTTCCTGTAATTTAAAAGCGCTGTTAAAATTGAATTGTATTTTAATCGGATTATATTTGCCCAGAGTTGGGCTAGAGGAGCCAGGTACAAAAGGAGAGCAATTCGTTATTCTTAGAATCACATTGTAGAGTTGGAAGACAAATTGGAGTGGATCTGGAGCAGATTTTTGAGGCTGCACAGAGAGCTTGCAAGGGTGGGGAAAAGTTCCATTGTCTTAGCATCTGTCTCTTGCATTAGTGGAACAGCAGCTTGGATACAACCTTTATTCGTTTTAGAGCAGTGTTTGACCACGTGCTCTCAAGATTGCAGGCTTGTATCCAATGCTGTACTGTACAAGCAGAGTTCCATAGCATGGCTTCAACCTTCCTCTCCTCGCTTGCCCCCAATATCTCCAAAGCGTCCCCCAACACAATGGAATAGATTTTGGAGGATGTCTGTTGTACAAGTGGAACAGCAGAGGTGGATATAACCTACTTTGTTTATGACTGACCTATGATTACCAATAGGCCATATTCTCAGATTCTCTCCTTCACCAGTTGTACTACTAGCTTCCTTCCTGCTGCTGTGCATCACAATTCCCTTTTCCTCCTTTACAATTATAGTAATTCACAAGAAAGCAGAGCAGCTGCAGAACTAGAAAAAAGTTGCTCTTCCTGTTTCATCTCCCAGTTCTCAGTCTGACATCCTGCAACAAACACCACACTGACATAACCAGCCTCACAATTAAGTGAACCAGCTAATGCAAAGATGGCATTTGACTTTATTAAAGTTTAACTCAGGCTTTTACATATTTGACAGCTGTTCATATAAATGTAACACATCTTTTAAGGATGCAGTGATAGAAAAGGAACCAGATTGTTATGTAAATTTGAGTACTTTTAACACTTACTCTTCCTTCCCCATGACAAAACAAGAAGTTTTGTGATCCTGTTTAGTCTACATAATGCCACAATTTTTCTGCATATATATATATATATATATATATATATATATATATATATATATATATTCCAAAGGACCCATAACCCTGCAGACTAGTCCCCCTGCCCCAAATGCTCATAATGAGCTTTTATGCTCTATGTAAGCAAAACATACTGGTATAAATTGTTCAGTATGGCAAAGCTCTGAAAGTTTACACACTGGTATATACTGTGAATGTCCTTACATGCTAAAAGCCTTTTCATTGTTACATGTCGACATCAACATACAAGCAAAATTAAATCTAAATGTATTTAATAGTTAACTGAAAAGTGTTTGTGCATATGATTTTCAAGCTCCACTGTCATAGATAAACTATCAAAATTCTGAGGATTCTCTGAAAATGTGATTTTCTGTGGCATCAGCTCTCTTACAAAATGTACCTTACATTTTGCACCTATAAAATGTATTGTCTTCCTCAGGATGCTTTTGAACAGCCTGTCGCAACCCAGTCTGGTCAGGCATTTCACCAGATTACAAGCAGAGAAAGAGTTCTCATGTTTCAAGCTGGACACGGCCAACCCATTTCACTGTCAATGAGACCGTTAGATTGCATCCAAACAATACTCCATTGTAGCATGAAAGCACTCCAGAGTAACTATTGGGCAGCCAGTGAGGCACTTGTCAAAATGTCATGACACAGGCCAGACTTTAGTAAGTGATCACAATAGCTTTGGGCAGCAACCAGTGCTGTCCATGTCCAAGCAGAACGGACTTCAAGCCATTATGAGGTGGGGCTTACTTTTCTCTCTGTTCCCCCCTGCAGTTCCCCTGAAAGCCCCCCCCCAACCTGCTCCAGAGGTTTGGAGGTCCTCTGGGACAGATCAGGTGGGCATATGGGAAGAGAAAGCTGTATTTTACAAGCAAAGTCTGCTGAAGCGGCATTTGATTTCACCTTTGCTTTTCAGATACATGCTTTGTTAATTTAACATTCTCTTTTGAGAGGGGTCATTCCAGCACATCTCATGGAATTTTTTTGGACATAGAAGGAAATAGTTTAAAAATTCTAGGTATACTACAATATTCTGTGAGAATTTTTACTTAACTGAGGCAAGGTTGCAACACTCCAAGCTTCTAAAGTGTTGAGTCATTCAACACTTGCAGCTTTCTAATGGAAGACACATTTCATTAAGCCAGCTGGAAGGCATATGCGCTTTATTCCTTTATTCATTATAATATGCAGATATTATAATTCACAAAGATAGCTAAAAAATGTTCAAAATTAAGCTAACTGATTTAAAAGGGCGAAGTTCAAGTGCATGCTTAAAATTCTCCCATTAAAACTAAGGGGACCTAAAATACATAACTATTTGAATTGTGCCTAGTGTTTTTAGACCTCTCTCTCTCTTGCACAAAACAGGCATTTAGCCAATTAACTACTTGCCTGCAGCCCTTCTTAAGTGATGCATTGGTCCTGTGCCTACAGGAATTAATTTAATCTAATGACCTATAATCAAAACAAACAATATAAATTCCTATGGGGGGGGTTATAAAATGAAAAGCAGTTATGTGGCTGTGATGTCAGTTCAAGACCCCTTAAGCAAATGCTCAAATGAAATCTATTAGATCTTACATTGCGTATCACTCCATTCTTGCATTCTAAAATACATGATGGTACACCTTGAACCGATAGGCATTTACTTTTATAAAATGTCTATCCATATGTACGTGGCAAAATCATTTTTCAGACAGCCTATAGCAGGAGTGGCATACTGGATCCTGACCTCACCCACGGGCCACTCTGACAGGTCAGCACAGCTGTGCACCAGTCAGTCACCAGTCATCATGACGACATCAGATGACATCATCAAAGTTATCGGTTTGAATCCAAACCACGCCTACAAACAGACGAAGTGGGACTGTCTGTTGGCACCCATCACCTGATTAGGACTGTCCACTTACCAAGGAACAATTGGGAATGTTCTCAAGTGTTCCTACCATCAGATGTGGATCAGGTAGGTGTGGTTTTGTGGGAGGGAACAGCCTCATAGGCCAAATTAGGGGGCCATACCAGGCCTCCTTAGGCTCACAAGCCAGAGGTTCCCCACCCCTATGCACAATCTTTGTTTAGGAATTAAACAATATTGCTTGGGTAGTGATTGTACAAATCACTATCTCATCTGAATTCTTCCAAGTCTTATGAATAAAAATACCTATTTACCACTCATGGCTGTAACTATTCATAATAATTTTGAAAACCTGTCAAGGAGTTTACACCTGTAGAAACCAGTAAGCTCTGTGTGGGGAGAAGAGCTGTCAATCTCTTGACAGTTGCAACTGGAAAAGGGAGAGTTTCCAAGTCTCCATTAATGCAGGAAACTCCTAGATCCCATGTAGCCAATTCCCCTTCAGCAGTGAACAATTCCAACCACTGGTTTCTTATGTCCCAACCACCAATGTCTTAGGTCCCAGCTAGGGTGCAGATAATGATTTGAACCAAGACACCTCCTAAGATAAAGTGGCAAACCCTAAACTTCAGATGTTGCAGCACCAAGACATGCTTGTGCTAAAATAGCTATAGTATCCTATAAACAGTTAATAACCATGGTCATATAACCCTCACATGTTAAAAAGAATGTCTCAGCCACCTTTATTTAAGAAATTCCCCAGAATGTGCACTGGTGAAAGAGGAACAATTCTGTTATTTTGACCTTCGGAATGCACTGCTAGAAGCACTGCAACTTCCTTTCCAAGAATACTGTAGCCCTTGAAAGCTCCTAGCAAGCTCTGTGGTATCATACAGAAACTCCCCATCATGGCAAATCCTCTTAGATAAAAGACCCCTATGATAAAGGACTCTGTGATAAATGGACCTCAAGCAGCCATGTTTCTAAACTGATATTCAACTATTTCATCTTTCTTTTCTTTTTTTTAAAAAAGATGACTTATAAATGAAAAAAGGCTGGCGAATAAAATATCCAAGCTATGGCTTAGTACCTGAGTTTAAGCATACATTTTCAAACTGTTGGTCAAAATACTTAAAAATTATTGACAGTGAATGTCTTAACCTTGTATAGCCATCAGATTATAAGTACTCAATGTAACTATTTCAATTACTCCCATTGGTTTATTAAAATGAAGATAATAACACACATGTATGCTTAGTATTTTGGGGAAAGAGAACTGCTTAGTTCATGTAGTAAGGTAATAAGAAAAGTAGTTAGAGTCTTCAAAATTATATTTCATAAAAACCTGTTCAGATCACATAAAAAGTTAAGTGCATCATGTCCACTGTAGTGAAACATACTTGTTACAGATTAACACAGTGTCAGTCAGAGGTTAGATTATTAGCAAAACTATTCACAACCTAAGATGCTTTAACAGCACAGGAGCACAAGTCTCCAAAAATGTATAAAAATCTCATACAAACAACAATAACAAAAACATATTAATGTGGCTTTTCTAACGGAATACCTGCTACACAGTTATGCTAACAGGAAGTGCCTGGAAAGAGTCACAGTCTGTCTGTTTTCCTTCTGCCCTTTCTGCATTCAAATTGCAGATTTCTGGCTGACCAGTTCCACCTTGTCCCGATGCAAGCACCTCTTGGGAGCCTGATGTAGCATTGCATAACACATCCGGGTCTTCTGATGAGGCAGCTGTATTCGGCCTACAACTGCCTGTTCCATTGCTGCAACTTGTCTTGTCATCATTATCTAGCTGCTCAACCGATTTTAAATACTGCTGGATAAAACTACTGCTGTCTTGCTCACTGTTGAAACTCTCTTTACAACATTCCTCGTGGTCCAGTTCAATCTCCTCAGCTGCTGCAGGGCACTCGGAAAGCGAATCTTCACATGGTTTGACTGTTTTGAAAGAATTCTCTAGAGAGCCATCACCATTTACTTCTGCCATGTTTTCTCCACAGCGCTGAGATTCATGAAGGCAGTTCTGGTCAGTCACACAGGAATGGAATCCCGAGTCAGGAAATTCTGGCAAGCATTTCTGATGACAAGCCTCAGTAGCTGAAACGAACCAGGTTGAACTGCCGACAGGAGAAGGTACTTGGTTTCGACCAGGCGAGTCTATATGGACCTTGAAGGGACCCAAAATGCTTGATGAAGGAGTATTATGCTGCCGGAAAGTAGTGAGATGTGAGTTCACTGAAAGTTGCCACTCCTGGATGCATCTAACCTGCAAATACCACACAAAAGGAAATGTTATCATTTCAATTAGACTTATATGCACATCATGTGCCACCATATTTATAGTTTCATATGAAAGAGCAATATTAAGAACTGCATCCTGTGTGAGGTGACCCTTAAGCTACAATCCTATTGACACTTCCTTGAGAATAAGTCCCACTAAACTCAACAAAACTTGCTTCTGAGTAGGTAGGCACTATAAATCATGTAAACTATCCAACATGGTATCTCTTAAGCTTATTTGCTTAGTGAGCCATGGTTTTTATTAACACAAAGTCAGAAAATGATTTAGAAATGAGATTTTTACCTGGTCCCAAAGGAATTTTACAGCTTCCTCTTGCACAAGTCTTTGAAGTTTCTCCTCATCTTTTTCCTTTCTTAATCTACATATGGTAAACATATAAATATATATGATTTTATAAATAAATTTAAACAATTTGCTGCAGTACTTGTTATGCATTTTATCAGCAGTTTGGTGGACTCTGCATTGGATCTGTATGGGTGAACTTTTCAACCTTCTGACCACAGTAAAACCCTTATTTTTTACTAATATTTTTTGAAGAGAATGACTCTGTATCTAATTATATTAATGTAATTCTTCAGAGGAGATTGTACCTTCTATTACTTCTAACACCTTCTGAAGCTGATGGGTTATTCAATTTTCTTCCACCTTGCTCCAAACACAGAATTAGAGACATTAGAGAATTAGAGTCCCCATCAACTGAGGGCAGACGCTACACCTCCTAAACACTCCTACTGTGCTTGTTACATCGTTAGCAGTTAGATAAGTCAATATTTCTATTTAGCCTCAAAATTGTAATTACTTCCAATTTGAAGACAGCTGCCAACTTACTTGTCTACTTCTTCAGTTAAATGTATAATGTGTTCCTGCATTCTACCAAGTCGAATTTCATAACGCACTTCCTTGGCTCTGGGATGGTAGTTCCTTGTGTAAAATCCTCTCCAACAGGCTTGAATCTTGGTGGCTGCTTTGTTCATTTCTTCAAGCATATCTGACTTTTGGATTAAAGTAGCAGTTGCACTAGGAGGCAATTCTTCTGGATATTTGGCAGGGAAAACAGTTTTGATAACACCCTCTTCTGGAGTATGTGATCGCTTGAGCTCACTGTGCTCAACATGGTCTTCAGAGGATACTTGACAACTGCTAATGCTAGCAGAAAGAGTAGCGGTGGCTGCTGACAAACTAGAAGTGGACGATAGTCCTTCCTCTTGATCTTCCTTTTGAGTTTCCACAGCCTCTGCTGATTTGATGGCACATTCCCCAAGAATCACAGAAGTCATCTCCTGCGTTCCCTTTTTATTAACCTCTTTTATAAATTCAAAGTCAGCATCCTCCATACCTTCTGTCTCCATATTAATTCTGTGTAGTCTCAGTTCTGCAGTAGTAGGAGACACTGGGGAGAGGCCAGACGCAACAGGCATAAAAGTAGACTCTGAGGATAAAAGACTACTGTTCAACTTGTCCTCGTCAGTTTGCATGTCATCCAGGTAGAGATCTCTAGAAATACTTATTTCAGTTTGCTGTGATGAGGGGAAAACATTTTTAACTGCATAGGAATGATCATCATTTGACTTTGTTGCCACCCATGTATTCTTTTTGATAACAGGTTCTGGAAAAGGGTAAGAAGACAAACACTTAACAAACACAGTAACATAACCATTTAGGTCTCCCCTGTATACCTGAGGAACCTCTGTAGAGCATGACTGAGTGACCCCCCGCTTCTTGCTAGCCATCACCTTAGTATGCAACATGTCTGTCCATTCCATTAATGGGATGAAAGGTGGGATTGTCAGTACCATGAACATCTGCAGGGATGCAGAGCTGGGGAAAGAGCTTAACACTGTCTGATGGGAGTCTTCTCTTGTGCTATGGGCAATAGAGCATTTTGGAAGCCTGCTTCCAACATGCCACCACACACTAATATGACCAAGGGCCATATAAATCAACAGGCTTGATGAAATGGCTATGGTCACCAAGGAATAGGCCAGGGGTTGGCAAGGCTTACTGGGCATGGGCTGGATCACTCCTGCGGAGAACCTCCGTGGGCCGGGCCGGTGCAGGGTGACGCTGGAAATTGCGCCTGTGCAGAAGCGATTTTCAGCTTCTGGGCACGCACAGAAATTATTTCCGGCACCACAGACATGCGCAGATGCGATTTCCGGAGCCGCAGAAGAAAGTCCCGGTGCCGCACCGGTTTAGTGCAGCATGCGGGGACTCACCAAATGGGCGGCTCAGTTTGGGGGCGGCTCATGTGCCGCTTAAGCGACCCTTATGGGCCACTTAGGTTGCCGACCTCTGGAATAGGCTAAACTCTCACCTCAAGAGGTGTCTTTGAATGTCGTTCTTTAGGCTTTCACCCGTAAAAATGCATGGTTGCCAATGAAATTAAAGTTCATCCACCCTACCTTTCTCCAACAAATGTGTGGAGAATGCATGGAGAATACCCATGCATTGGTGGGTATAAAGCCAAGGCTGCATTAAGCAGGAAGGAGTTAGGAGTTACTTATTACTGCATAGCTGCAGAACAGAACTGTATACAGTGGAACCTCGGGTTGCGAACGTGATCATTGTGGGAGGCACGTTAGCAACACGCAGTGTTCAAAACCCGCAGCATTGCGTCTGCACACACACGGGTCGCAATTCTGCGTGATTTAGCACTTCTGTGCATGCACTGAAAGCTGGAAGTAACCCGTTCCAGTACTTCCGGGTTCGGCGCAATGTGCAACCAGAAAACGCATAACCTGAAGCGTCTGTAACCCGAGGTACCACTGTAGTATTGAGCTGAAGTAAGTGAATGGATCTCTCTGTCTATTTGGATCTCTACAGTTTAACCTGTAAGATCAGATAATAGTTCATGATGCACTAGGATCCCTTAAGTTTATGTAGATAGTGTGTTTGACTTATCTTGTATTTTGATACAATAAACACTCTACACTCTGGAAAGGCTGACAGCGGGAGAGCAAGAAGAGTCCAATGCTCTGCAGGACTACCCTGCTAGAGCTGAGCATGCTCTGCTGATCACATTGGTCAAGGTGTGATATCATAAACACTATCTCTGTCTAACCCAGAATCCCGGTCTTTAGAACCCTTTCCCCTTTCAATTTCAACTCCATCTCTGCTTCCCTAGTTTCATTATTTCAAGTCATAAGGTTCTGCCATCCTCTCTCTCCACCAGCTCCTTCTGGATATCAGTATATTAGACAATGGGCTCATCATCACAAATAGTATTACAGAAACACATGAATCTTACCACTTTCAGTCATTATTTGTGGCCTGTGAACAGGGCTGTTTGGCTCACTGGTAGCAGGCTGCCCTTTATGCAAAGTTGAAGATACAGGTGGCTCATCAGCTTGGCTTTGGTACATCAGTTGCCTCTGGTGCAACCTAAAGACAAGGAGTTGAGACTGGTTTCGTTAAAACATCAATGCCAGAGTGGCTCTAAACCAACAGCAAAATATCAGCCAAGAGCCTGGTGCACAAGTCTTTCTGCAAACCAGTTCCTTTGAGTCCAAAACAACAACAATTAGGGTTGATAGTGCTGGGTCTGAAGCTGTCAAGATTAACTAGTTATCCTTTTATTCTTTCTGCCACAAAATAACAATTACTTTGTTAAAATTCCCAACTGTTGACAACAGATAATGTTCTTACCTTTGCTTATGTAGTATTTTTTCCAGTTTAGCATCCTCTGCAGTTTGGAGCCCAAACATACTAGTAAGAGGACAAACACTGGCAAGATACTGTACTAATTGAATGTGCTGGCCTGGCCGAAACGATCTTCCCTTTCCTTGACTGTAAAGCCATTCTGCTTTCAAGCTAGAGGGAAGAACAATCACCTTGAAAAGAAATATTCTTGGTGAACATTTATAAAATGCTTTTGCACAAAACACTGTGCAATAAAAATAAAGAAAGAGTTTAACCAAAATTGATAAGAAACACCATGCCCAAATGATCAGGGTGCCAAAACAGAGTCTCACAACATCACTTTCTGAAATTGACCATTGTGAAAGGACTGGAACCACCACAAAACAGTGTCTGCCAGCCCAGAATGATGGTATCAATCGCCACAGAGAGGTTTAGCAAACCAAGGAAAAACTACTCCCCTTTTCTGTCTCCTTGCACAGCAGTTGCCTGCCAAAGTGATCCAATTTATATTCCGCCTTATACCCAGGGGTCTCAAGGCAGTTCACAGAATACTACAAAGATGTTGTCTACACTCTACGGTTGTATAAATTTATCAAAACAGGAGATACCAAAGCTACATCACTAGGATCTACTATTCCACTGACATCTAAGACAGAATGGATGATAGTGATTTTATTCTCAAAGTGTCTAACAAAGTTGACACAGCAGCAGATGGGTAATCCAACTCAAAATAGACTCACAATAACTCTGCTGGATGACTGTAGATGCAATGGGGGTGGAATAAAATAACAGCAATAGCAAATGTGGTTTTTTTACACTGTAAGCAAAAGTAGCCAGTAATGCAATTAAATTTAATAAAATACAAACATACAGAATAGTATGCTACTTCCGTTTAATCAGATTCAATCCAGTGACCTTCAGTTTCTTACCTTTCTTTCTGAGATATCACATAGCCATCAAGGACTTTAAGATTGAGGCACCAACTGACAATATATGGCCTATAATCAAATCCTGGGATGGAAGGTGTGGCCATCACACAGGGATTGTTCATTATTGACAGTTGCTCTAGCTCAGTAAAGGAAGCCAAGAATGAAATCTGAAAGCAAACAATAGCTTTGTTGATTAATTGAAATTTTCCTGTGCTCAGCAATTTGCTTTCATGGGATAAACAACAGCATGGCACATTCAGCCACATTTTTCATACACAATGAGCTATTTGAGGGAGGAAAGAAGAAAAAAATGACTTGCTCCTTTCCATTCAGAGCAGCTCTTTTCTTTTTGTTCTGTGTCTCAAAACTTACATTGTTTGTAATGGATTTTTTTCCAGAGATTAGCTTAGCAGTACATAAATTAATGCTACTACTCACCAATATGCAACCTACAGCCCTAATCTAGTTCAATTCCCTGTCCTCAAACAGAATAGCACGTACCTAAGATTTTCTCAATAGATACCAATCAAAGCTTTTTAACCTATTGAATGGGTCTATGCATGGTCATAATCATATTGACGTCCCAAAGCATAAAAGATTTTGCTTAATTACAAAACATTCACAATATATAGGAATCAAAATTTCAGAATACTTTAGAGTTCAGACACTGACAACCCTTGTCTAGACCTGAAATTGACATTGGTTAAGGGGAGAGGGCATGAAAAATATTTGGAGAGAGAGAAAAAGGTTTAAATATTTTCATAAGGACATCTGATGGCTTCAGATAATGAGGAGATTCAGGAAGTTAGCATTCCGTTTGGTTGCTGTTGCAGGAGAGCAATAATTAATAAGGGGCAGCAGAGTCCAACTCCTGTTTGACACTTCTTACCCTCAAATCATCTTTTAGTTGTAGGAGGCAGTTATGAGTTACCGGTCTCTGCAGCCACAGCAGACGCTGTGATTCTCCCATGGTTTGACTTTACCCCTGGAGGTGCTCTCCACTGTCTCTCGAGACAGACGGATGCCAGAAATCACATGGAGGGAGAAGTGGAACAGAAAGGTTCACTTGATCTATTCACCTGGGAGACTGGCTGCCATTTGGGTCCTTTCCTACCTGAACCATTTGCATTCACGCTGCCAATTATGAGAGCTATCTAATGTTAGGAAATGGGGCCTCTACCATTTCACCTCCTCCTTTGCTTCTGGGTTGGATCTATTTGGCTTTCAGCCTGCAGACAGGAGCTTTTTAGTCTTTGTACAGTGCTTTATATATTTTATGTACTTTAACACTGATTTTTTTTTGTTGCTGTTATCAACAGCCTCCAAATGTTTTGGGACTACAACTCCCATCATCCCTAGCTAGCAGGACCAGTGGTCAGGGATGATGGGAATTGTAGTCTCAAAACATCTGGAGGGCCGAGTTTGCCTATGCCTGCTGTACAACAAAGAAACTTAATGTGAATTACTACCAAAAGAGAATGTGTCCCTCATAATGCCTTTTGCCTTTCTGGAGTAAATGTTTAATAATGGCTAATTATTATTGTTTATTTGCTTTAGTAGCTGACACTGCGCTACCACCAGCTACTTTGTATGGAGTCCCATATTGTTATGGATACAAGTAGGAAACTAAAAATGTAGTGAAGGAAACTTAGCTGAATATAAGACAAAGTTGCAAGTAAAGCATTCTCAAAATATGTACAGTATTCAGTTTTGTTGACAAATGGTATTCTTACCTCATTCAAGTCTCTGATTTCATTTTCTGCCAATGAAAGAATACCCAGGCTTTGAGGCAAGCAAGCAGGTGCTGTACGCAAGGATGTTATGATATTTCCATGCAATAACAGAGTCTTAAGAGACAGAATAGGAGAAAGATGCAAAATGTACTCATTTGTTTAAATAACATACAAGAATTCCTTCAAACATTCAAAAAGGCCTGTGTAATATCATCATCATCATTACTAAACATGCCTTTGCTAAATAGTGCAAACATAAAATTTAAAATGACTGGCAATATAGGCTTTAAAAAATATTAAAGGAAATGTTTTAGCAAAAAGGCATTTGCCTTTGGTCTAAGTTGAAGCTAGTTTACAACTTAATTCTAGTGAAACTAACTGACAAATTAGCCATGACTTTCCCTTAATTTCAGTGGTTCTAAAATGTGACTAACTTCCTTCAGTTTTAAAGGGATTGATAGCTCAGAACTTCAGCATTACACTTGAAAGAGCTGTACAGCACAATCCTGTTCATGTTTACCCAGAAGTAAATCCCACTGAATTCAGTGGAACCTAATCCCAGACAAGTGGTTGTAGGACTGCAGCCTTAATGAAAAACAGCCCTCTCCTCTCAGCAAAGAAAATAATTCAATCCAACCAGCAACTGAACAGCATTCACCTTTAACAATAATAGCTTGGAGATATCTCCTATCTGGGATATATTGTTGTCCGACAAATCAAGATGTTGAAGAGATGTGCAGGTATTGATCTGGTCTATAGTCTACAGGAAGAGAAAATATTTTGTAGCATTATGAAACATCATAAATTATGCATGTTTCTGAACAAACCATCCACAGAAAGCGATTGCATCAGCCATAGAACTTCCTCCACAAATTGAACACTGTCTTAAACTAACACCTATTTTTAAAAGCAGGATTGGGGCAATAAAGGAGGAGAAATGTGATGGCTATGGGGGCAGGAGAAGTAGAGAGAAATAAATGGACACAAAGGTAGGATGAGGATGTGATGCAGACTGCTCTGGAAACAGCAGAAAGACAACATTTAGTTTTTGAAACCACTGAAAGGTAACACATTTAACTTTTTTTTAGGGAAGCAAACACATTCTGGTTTTAAAATATGACACCTATTTAAAACATTTGCACCTTGCTCATAAGAGGAAGCGGTTCTTCAGAATTATGGTATTAAGTTTACCTTCAAGTTATTTCCGGCCAGGTTCAGCCATTCCAAATGCACCAGATCCTTCAGTCCCTCTACACAGCCAATACTGTTGTGAGGCAAGTTTAATACTCGAAGCTGAGTCAGCTTTGCTACACCCATCATCCGCACCAACCGATTGTTGGCTACTGACAACTGCAAAATAACAGAGCAAAGAAAGGCCTCACTGAGGTAGGACTCCTAAAATATTTTCCTGGGAGGAAGGCCCATCAAACTCAAAGCAGCTTAGTTCTGCATATAGGATTGAGCTATTCAGTCAGCAGAATGTAAGACAGTAATGATATGGGTTCTGACTTCACAGTCTAATTACAACCTTTTCTATACTTTTCGCATGTAGGCCCAAGAAAGTTCAAATTAAAAACAATGAAAGAACACAGAAGAATTTACAGAAACAATATAAAAAGCAATGAGAAGGGGTTAAAAGTCATTTAAGGCATGAGAGGATGGACCTCCCCTGTTTCCTTGAAGAATAAAGGCAGTATCAGGTTTAAATGTCTGGAGAGGATGTTCCACAGGACCTCATCTCCGAGAGCTATCCATAGTGTCAGAAGGCCTTTAAAGCAGATGTTAGCTGGCAGCCAGGTTTGTGGAAGTTCAGGAGGTTCATTAAATAACCACCTCCCAAGCCACTAAAGGCATCAGAGGACAGACCTCTTTTGTTGCTTGAGAGAGTAAAGGTAGCACCAAGTGTATATGGTTGGAGAAGAAGTTGCATAGTGCTCTGAAGCTAAACAGAAGAGAATGGATTTTAATATATATTTAACTTCACCCAAAATTGTTTTCCTATGCTTTTTCCTTTAAGTATAAAGCAAGGATAACCTAACAAGTACAGAACTGTATCACAGACACATGGAACTAACCTGCATCAGGTTCTTGAAGCTCTCCAAGTGCTCCAATTTAATTAGCTGGTTTTTATCCAAAATCAAAGTATGTGTATCTGCATCACAAGCCAAAGTTGAACCCAATTTCTGTAAACCCTGGCCTGACCAATTAATTAATGAACCTAAGAGAAAAGAAAAAAATGGAAGTTTTAAAAAATGCAAAACTGGGGAAAGGTACATAGTAGTCAGATTTGAATTTCATTTTAAACAAGTGTTTAAAATTAAACTGCAGTTTCATGTGAGCACTTTCTTTACTCCTCCCCATTCCTGATGCTGCCACTAGAGAGGAAACCCATCAGAGGCTGGCTTCCTGTTACATGCAACCAGTGTTTCAGGTTCATTTCCTTCAATTATTGGGAAGCCAAGGTGATGTGGAGGCAGTGGCAACCAGACTGGGAGAGTATTGACTCATTAACAAGCACATTGTACAAGCACACTGCTTGTTTGCATTAAGCCATAGTTTAAAGTATGATTTGATGTGATGCACAAACCAGCTAAAGCTTGGAAAATTCAATTTTTTTATATATTTGGAAAAAGGTTTAAGAGAACGTTCACCATAAGCAACATATTTAGCAATAATGTCAAAATACTCTAATCTTAGAAGCCACTGTGAATTCTCTCTCAATTCTGTATATTTATATTTAAATGTAAAAGTGATAATAGAAAAAGATGAAACTTTATCCAATTATTTTTTTAAACAGAGCATTAGTATGTTTTATCAGTATACAAAGGCTGCTATGGAAAGCCACCACTTAAATGGGTGTGGGCGGTCTGCCTCATTCATCCGGCTGCATTTCCGTAAGGCCAATCTGCTTTGGTGGAATCTAGAAAATACATCCTAGTAAAGGGCTGTTTTGAATGTGAACTCCCACTTCCCAAGGAGGACTTATATGTTCAAAATGTGCCAGGAATCAGCTTGCTAATAAGATACATTCTACATATGTTAATTTCCTTCTACTTCTAATTACAGGATATTTCTGCAAACTTAAAATAATAGTATGTTAATCCCTTTCCTGGTGTGAAAAAAATGCTGTGCAGTATTGTGTTCTTTCTTGGGTGATAAAAATGTGTCATGTTATTATAGCTAGTTGTTGTTTTTTCCTGAGAAAGCCTTATAATGTAACTTGGGAACTGAGTTTCAGCAAACTCTTTCACGGTGGAACCGTTCCCTGACTCTGAGCAATGCTGGCAACTAATACCAGAGCACCCTTCAAAATGCTAGCCAGATAACATGGGATTATTCCATGACAGCAGCACCCTGCATGCCAACCATTGTCCTGTGTGTTTTATATGGCAGATTGCACCTGCCCATTAGGCGCCTGCTTATGGATCGGGAATAGGAGAAGATAGGTTTGGACGCGCGTCCCTTTCCCTTCTGCAGGTTTTCGTGCCAACGAAGGGACAGCAGAGCTTCTAGCCTCTCCTCTGACCGGCCCTGCAAGGTTTCAAAAAGCACCCACTCCCCACAATAGAGAAAAAGAGAACTGTGTTACGCAGGGCCCTCTGGGATTTAGAGTCCAAGGCAAAACAGACTCGGGACGTTAACAAAGATACGCGGCGAGGAAAAAACTACGGCCCCCACAAGGCACCGCGCGGCAGCCCCGCAACGGTCCAAGCCTTGAATAGAGCTCTCGCCGAGTCTTCCCAACTTGGATAAAACACACACAATGAGGGGGGGAGGGACAGGGGACGCCTTTAGGCACCGCGACCCGCTCCGTACCTTCCCTGACGCCCATGGCTGGCTTAGCCGCCTCCGTTTTCGCCGCCGCCGCTGGTGCCGCCGCCATACTTCCCGCTTGCTCGCAACGCTAGGCAACCGGGCGGGCTCTGGACGCTGATTGGACGGTGAAAACCACTGAGGGAAAAAACAATTTTCAGAAATAGCAGGTGGCAATAGAAGGCTCTGAAGGGGCCGCGGCGTCGCGAAGAGTAATTTTTTCGAGCATTTTAGGAAATAGACGAGCCTCCGGAGAAAGCGCACCGCTTCCCATCATGCACCGGCGCAGCTCCCAGGGTGCCCCGCGCGAGTATAGAATCCGGTTTCCCATGATCCTCTCTTTCTCTTCGCCGCTGGAGTTGCCTGTGAGGGAGCTCCCGCAGCCGCCATTATGAAGTAAGGACCGGTGCCCGGCTCTAATCCGGTGCCATCCTTCGCTTGGAGCGCCTGGAGAGGGTTGGGTGGCGGGGGATGCTGGCCTCGCTAATCTTTTTTCCCGTTTCGCGTTCTCTTTCTCGCAATGCAGGGTCGAGTTGTGCAGCTTCAGCGGGTACAAGATCTACCCAGGCCACGGCCGCCGCTATGCGCGTACGGACGGCAAGGTAAAGAGGAAATAAGGGGCAGAGGAATTGGGAGTAGCAGCGGGCTTGGCTAAGCCCTGGAAGTAGCCAAGTGGGAACTAATGGTGTCCCAGATTCTTTATGGTATAATGTGAGATTTCATGAGGGAGAGGAGCCGCTGTTGACTCGAGGTCTTGTAAACTGAACTAAAACTGTTTTAACCTATGAGACTGATATTTTCGTGTTACGGGAGGATTATAATGGTTTCTAAATGCTGTAAGTCTGCTTTTTCTATTCCTGAAGTGAAATCGGATAAGAAATAAAAATAAATAACAAGAACAACTAAAGTCTGAATAATCTGATAAATTATATTTGCGCGAGAGTATTTGGCGATGTTGTAAATAGAATTGAGTCCATTTGGCCAGTATGTGTGTGACTTTTTACACCTTATGGTAGTTAAAATGGTGGTGGTTTAGCATTTGAATAGGATAAATAATACATGGCAGTATCATATAATATATTTCTATTCGCTCAGTAGGGTTGAGAAGGTAATTGCTCCTCTTAAGATAGTCTGTTGGTCTACAGACTGCCTAGATCAGTGTTCCCCAACCTTGGGCCTCCAGCTGTATTTTGGACTACAATTCCCATCATCCTTGACCACTGATCTTGCTAGCGAGGGTTGTAGTCCAAAAACAGCTGGAGGCCCAAGGTTGGGGAACACTGGCCTAGATCATCCACTGATCATCCGCTTTCTAAACTCTGTGTCCTGACACTTTACTGTGTCCTGACACTTTACTGTGTCCTGACACTTTACTGTGTCCTGACACTTTACTGTGTCAGCTGCAGTGTGTAGGTGTGTCACATGAATGCTCCCTGTAGTTTTCCTGGGGCTGGAAAGGGGTTAGTTTAACCTCCGATTTGCTATTAAAACTGAATTACTGTGTCGTGAAATGATGCATGTCTAAAAAGCATGTCACCAACATGAAAAGTTTGGAAAGCTCTGCTCTAGAGCTTTGATTTACCTGTTTGTGAGCCTACATCTGGTAAATAGTACTGTATGTGTGGCATGTAAAATAAACACTTAAAATGAACTCAATGTTTCAGGTTTTCCAGTTTTTGAATGCAAAATGCGAGTCTGCATTCCTTTCCAAGAGAAACCCCCGTCAGATCAACTGGACTGTTTTGTACAGGCGGAAGCACAAGAAAGGACAGTCTGTAAGTATGTTGTGTCTCAGAAATGGATAAGTGATTATATATACTTAAAAATGCTTATGTAGCATTAAAGTCGAAGTTGTCCATTTGGCTTACTACCCATTTGGCTTACTTGTGATCTAGCAGCTTAGCATGTAGCATGATCTGTTCAGTTAGTCTGGTATTTTGTGGTAGCTTCTGGCTTTTCACATAAGAGCTCTTCTGTGATCACTGAAAAGTGAATATTGTTTTGAGATAGATGGTGATAAAAATAATATAGTATTAGGACATTGCTTTAGAGGAAAGAGGCTGATCTATTAATTGAAGTTGGTGACTAGGGTTGGAAACAGTTCTATTTAATTGTTTTGCCTATTGTAGCAAATGTTTTCAATAACGAACGCTTGTGGCTAGTTCATTGAAAAAGCAGAGAACTGCTTGGTAGCACAATCCTATTAAAGTATGTTCATGGAAAAATAACCAACATAACATTGACTCGGTGTTATTCAAAGACTATGTGAGCTTTTATACATTCTTTCTGACAGATTTATATTGGAATCATCATTTGATATATTCGTATTTTGTCTGAAATAATTGGATGATAAAGCAGTGTCCATTAAGCACTCCTCTGGGAATGTGAAATAGACTTTAAATCTAGAAAAAATCAATGTGAATTTTTAAAAATTTATATTAAATTTATATGAAAGGCATCTTGCCTTTCAAGTTGGATAACAAATATAGCAACAGAATAGAAATGATGCCATATAAAAATGAATTGCAACATCAATACCCTGAGTTCAAATGATTGATTCCACAAGCTGTACTTTTTTTAGAGGTGGCTCTGGATGCATTTGAAGCTAAAACTGGGAGAGAATAGGTCAAAATATGTCAATGACTAATAGCAAAGAAATTGTAGCAGTTACTTAGAAGTGTAGTGTATGGACTTACGTTATCAGGCCCTTCAGAGGTGTATGAAAAAGGTGTGTTCCCAATATTATCTTCTCCTGAATTGTTTTTGGTAGAGTAAGCACTCAATTTTGGGTGTAATGGCGTGTGGGATTGCCAAAATTCCCAGATAGGATGCCCCTCTTTTTTGCCAGATGTGTAAAGCTGAATGTGCACAAGTTGCAGGCTCTTACCGTATTTCTCTTTCTCCATTGCTTAGGAAGAGGTACAAAAGAAACGTACCCGCCGTGCTGTCAAGTGCCATAGGGCAATTACAGGTGCCTCTTTGGCTGAAATAATGGCCAAGAGAAATCAAAAGCCTGAAGTGCGAAAAGCCCAAAGGGAACAGGCCATTAGGTGAGTAATTATAACGTTTTCTTGGTTTCTATTTTTACAAGAATGCAATTATTCTAAAATTTGTTTATTTTACTTAAAATTATGCTGTTAATACAAAGATATTTTGTGGGGATGGGGTGGAAACAAAAGATAAAATAAAAAAGCCATGCAATAATCATTTATGCAATATTAAAACACAAGTTTGCTAACACAATTAATGGCAACTAAACCACCAGTGAATTCAGCCAGAAAACTTATTTTCTGCTTTCATTGTGATCATTGATTGAATGTAAACAGGTGACACCTCATAGAATATCCATTTTTGACAATTGGGTTAAATATTGGTTAGCCTGTATTAAAAAAATGTGATTGCCAGGATCTTGTCCACTCCCTAACAATGAGAACTTTTCTCCAATACCATGCTGAACTATGGAGACATTCCCAATTCCTTGCCCCAACCTCAAGAGGAGGGATGGGATTCATCCATGCTACAGCAGTTTCAAAACATTTGGAGCCCTCACAATGGACAATGCAACACAGGCTATCTTTAATTCTCCCAAGTTTAGGGTCTCGGATAATCCCCAAAGCCGTCTATATCATTTTCGAGTGTCAGATGTAAAAGTAGTGCAGTGAAGTAATTAGCCTTGTTTTAATTTTTGTGTATTTATTTTATAAAATGAATATACACTGATGGTAAGAAAAATAATTCAGAGCAGTTATGCTTTGTGTAAAATGGTACAATAAGAAGTAATGCATTTTATGACCTGGTCTTTGCATTTAGGAGATGGAGTAGGCAGTTTCAGATTTCAGTGCTCCACTTTTTTCCCCTAAAGGAGCTGTAAAGAGAGCTAAACACAGCTGGGAAAGTTTCTATCCTCAGTTTCCAAGGAAGTGCTCAAAAAAGGGGTTGCCTACCTATAGTCAGGAATAGTCTTGCCCAGAGGTTTTCAACCTTTGAGTCCATGGCTCCCTTGCCCAACTACCTTCTTTCTGCAACACCCCTGTGGGGCCCAGGAGCCCAGTTATGTCACCTCTTGCCTGCATAGCTGGCAGCCTCTCAACCTTTTTTGAACACCCGCCCTTGTGGAGTGTTACCTCAGCCGCCTCTCCTTGAGAGTCCTCTGGGCAGCCGCTTCTGCCACCCCGGTCTCTGAACACACACACCGCCCAGAGAGAGGTGCTTCCTCACACTGCCCCACAAGGGCCTGGGAAGAGGATGCCCCCAGCTTTTGCGGCCCAATGGAGACTGGCCAGAGGTGAATGTGAGGCTAGCACCTTACCTTGGGTGGCAGCAGTGGGGGCTGCCAGACCTGCATGGCGGAAAGGCTCCCCTTCAGCACTGGGCACTCAGCTCCCAGGCAGGCCTTGCACACAGCAAGCACAAGAAAGGCTAGCATGGAGCCTGCCTGGCCTCCCACTTGCCTGTCCATTCCCAACAGCAAGGGCTGGCTAGGCTCCCTTGCATGCCTGCCTGCTTGCTCCTAGCAACCAGCACCCCCTGGCCAGACCCGGAGGCATCATTCGCCTGGGGAGATTGTAGCCAGGGCTGCTGCAGTTCAAGCCTTGGGGAGGCAGAGACAAGAGGACATCAGAGGAGGAAAGGAAGGAAAGAGGGACAGAGGCCAGTGTTGCTCATGGCATGCCTGACCATCCTTCAAGGCACCCCAGGGTGCCACAGCATATTGGTTGAAAACCACTGGTCTTGCCAATACTATCACCTCATTCTGCTGTATTTGAAGACTAAACCTATTTCTTAATCCATTCTGGAATGTGAAAGCAATCAATGAATAAATAAATAAATAAATAAATAAATAAATAATTTATACCCCGCCCATCTGGCTGTGTTTCTCCAGCCACTCTGGGTGGCTTCCAACCGAATATTAAAAAAAAAATACAGCATCAAACATTAAAAACTTCCCTAAACAGGGCTGCCTTCAGTTGTCTTTTAAAAGTAAAATAGTTGCTTATTGCCTTAACATCTGCTGGGAGGCGTTCCACAGGGCAGGTGCCACTACTGAGAAGGCCCTCTGCCTGGTTCCCTGTAACCTCACTTCTTGCAGCAAGGGAACCACCAGAAGGCCCTCGGTGCTGGACCTCAATGTCCAGGCTGGATGATGGGGGTGGAGATGCTCCTTCAGGTATACAGGACCAAGGCAGTTTAGGGCTTTAAAGGTCAGCACCAACACTTTAACACTAAGTCTGTTTTTGTAAATATCATTTACAGAGCTGCCAAGGAAGCAAAGAAGGCTAAGCAGGCTACTAAGAAAACTGTACCCTCCACAACAAAGGTAATGTTTACCCAAAGAATGGCTAAAGATGAGAAGTTGTGTGTGCTTTCTGAGTTTCCTCCTAATAGTTCTTTAAAACTCCAAAAGCAAGATATGGCCTTTAAATTTAGCATTTTTCTGTGTTGCATAATAATCCCATGAAAATATCTGTTCCAATTACTTTGCTAAATCTCTTGCACCATCCCATTTTTTAATATTTCCTGCCTTTCAGGATTTTGTACATTGGGGTTCCTTCAGTTATCCTTTGAGAAGCCCTGTTAGTTAAGGCACAAAAGATGACACAAGTAGACCTTCTAAACCCAGAATTCTAACCATTACATCATGTTGGGACTCTGTTCCGTGTAAACATGCATAGGAGTAGACTATTAAGAAACCATTTGGCTGTCCTATTTTTAACCTTAATTTGTTTATTAAGCATCTTTGTAATTGTCCTGTATCATGTCTATCAGGCACAAACATATTCAAAAAATAGTAGTTCATTAATTGCTGTGAAGCAGGTAAGTGTCATATAGCCATGAGTATTGGTAGCACATGGGTCTCATTCCTATCTCTAGCTATGCAAAGTCAACACTTGAGTGATCCTTTCCATACAGGGAACAGCCACAGTAAGCTTTAAAGGAATTAAAGTGAAAGTTGACAGTTGTCTGGTTGATCCTCAGCTCTGCCAGTTTATTCAATGGGTATAGCTCACATTCTCCTATGCTACTTCCATTGGTTGGGAATAAGATAATAGTGTGGGGTTGTCTTCCTTTATTGTCCCTGTTAAATAGCAGGCATGAACTTGTCTTTTCACTTTAAACCTGGTATTTCCCTTTGTGCATTCACAATTATTGACCTAATTTACATTGATAAATAACCAAGTAGCATATTCTCATTCATTCTTTTTTCTGTTCATAGGCACCTACAAAGGCTGCGCCAAAGCAAAAAATCATGAAGCCGGTAAAAGTTTCTGCTCCTCGTGTTGGTGGAAAACGCTAACTTTTTTGACTGCTTTGGTTACATGAAATAAACATTTGACATGTAAACTGTCTTGTTTCTTGGTCACTTCTGGGGATTCTGTGTAATTTTCTTACCTTAAATATTAAAAATTATTTATACGTCATTAATGACTAGAAAGGTGGGCATAGTGGCTAGAATGATAGGCAAGGATTTTTGTGGGGGGAAACTAAAAATGCCTTTTGTAAGACAGTTAAGAAATGCTAGTGTTTATTTCGTTACGATGCAAAAAGAAGAAAAATAAAAATAAAACATTTAAATTATCAATTTAATAACTGGTATTTAAAAAACATTCAAAAGATGAGTAAAATCCAATGGTAGCTAAAAAGAAAACAAATTCCATTTGTATTCAAACACACCTTTATTCATTCACCTTAAATTCTACTCCACTTTACGTTCTCCCTGTTATCTCTGCCTTCCTTCAGTGTTTCATGTGAATCTAAAATCCACTGCAGGGTGGATAAATTTAACTCAGATTTGCTGTCCCATACTGCTTCATATGTTTTCTAAACAATGGTGCAAATTTGACCACAAAACAAGCATTCTAAAAACAGACGACCTCTCAAGTGGTGGGAGTACTGGTAGAGGATCCCCTTGAGCCTGGAGCGCATGGCGGAGCTGATAGGCAGCCTGGACTGGAAACAGCAGGAGAGCAGGCTCCCCTGGAGAAACCCCATCTCTGAGCTTCCTGGCGCCTTGAAGACTGCATGTGCAAGGTTCACTTCTTGCAGTGAGGGAACTGCCAGAAGGTGCTGAACGATGGGTTGGAGATGTTCTTTTAGGTATACAGGGCTGAGGCCCTTTAGGGCTTTCAAGGTCAGCACCAACACTTAATTGTGCTCGGAAACATACTGGGAACCAATTTAGGTCTTTGAGGACCAGTGTTAGATTCCTATACATGGTTTTTCTCGACTATTCAGAAATCAGACTCATTGAGTTGAAAGGGACTTATCCCCAGGCAAGTGTGTTTAGGATTGCAGTCCATTACTGCAAACCTATATTCCAGACACACTGCACCCTACCCACTACCTTGACTGATTCCATTAGGTGATCCTGCCTGATAAAACCATATAGCCTGTTGAAATAGATGGGTTTATAAGAGAGAATTCTATGCATACACAAGGAAGTTCCATCAAAATTTGAGAGCTGAATAAAAAATGTATAGGATTTTGCTGTTCCGCTTATCTATGAGCATAACCTTATTAGTACTCCAGATTGCACAGAAATCTGAGATGGGCACTTGGGTGGCATGTTACTAGGCCTTATGGGTAAAGGTAAAGGGACCCCTGAACATTAGGTCCAGTCGTGACAGACTCTGGGGTTGCAGCGCTCATCTCGCTTTATTGGCTGAGGGAGCCGGCGTACAGCTTCCGAGTCATGTTGCCAGCATGACTAAGCCACTTCTGGCAAACCAGAGCAGTGCACGGAAACGCCGTTTACCTTCCCGCCAGAGCGGTACCTATTAATCTACTTGCACTTTGACGTGCTTTCGAACTGCTAGGTTGGCAGGAGCCAGGGACCGAGCAACGGGAGCTCACCCAGTTGCGGGGATTCGAACCGGCAACCTTCTGATCGGCAAAGTCCTAGGCTCTGTGGTTTAACCCACAGCGCCACCCGCGTCCCTACTAAGTCTTATACTGTGTATCAATTATATACAGTACATAAAGGTAATTTCATTTTCCATATTCTCCATTGTTTGGCCTTATTTTAAGGAGTGGAGAGAAAGTTCTGAAGAGCAGCGGTAAAGCACATGCCGGGCATTCAAATTTTTTAACATAGTACTGGAGTCGTTTGTAAGTAGACGAAACTGAGGTAGACGCTCCAAAGTTGTCCCTATGTAATGACTTCAGAGTTGTATCATCGAATAGAACAAGAAATCTAAAACCAAAGATTCAGCAATCTTCAAACGAGGCAATTTAATAAATTAGCTATTGTCCTTTCAATAAATTATTTTACATTGAGTTCACAATTTATTATGCAGCCATTACGAGTAAAAAGAACAGTTAAGTACACTGGAACGTTTGGATGGGATATTTTGCCTGCTTTAAAGATGGCGGCGGCAGCCGAAACACCGGGCTCTAGTATCGCCTGCGCTTAAGCAGCCACTAACCCGAGCGGAAGCAGGCATCACTTGCCCGCTCCAAACATGGCGGCATTTCCCCCGCCCCCAAACCCCTTCCCTCATCTCCGTTGAGGGCTAGGCGACAGCTATCCCTGACCTCACTTCCGCTTGTGCAGCAGCCATTTTGTCTTTCCGTTGATCCTGCTGCCCGAGCTTCTTCCTCCCACCCGTCGCCGCGGACCGCGAAACTCCAGTTCCACCCCCTGGGGCCTGACTCTAGTCTAGACCCGACGGCTTGCTTTTACCCCACCAGGCAACTTGCTTTCCCCCCGACCACTCTCGCCGCCACCCCCCTGCTCCCCGTTCTTGCTTTTCCCACCCAGCCACCCCGGTCCCGTCTCCTTCGTGGCAACCTGTGACAGGAGACGCTTCCCCCACCCCAACCTCCCCGTCCGCCTTCGCCTCCCTCAGAAGGCTCGGCTGTCCCGATCCTCCCTCCGCCGCCGTGGGGGCTAGAGAAAGAAGCGAGCCTCGGGAAAGCGAGTGAGGAGGAGGAGGAGGGCAAGGTCCGGGCCGGCGGGCGTCCCTCCCTCGCGCGCCCGGCCATGTCGAGCGAGGAGAGCTACCTGGCCATCCTGCGCTACCTGACCAACGAGCGCGAGCCTTACGCGCCGGGCACCGAGGGCAACGCCAAGCGCAAGATCCGCAAGGCGGCCGCCTGCTACGTGGTGCGCGGCGGGACCCTCTACTACCAGCGCCGGCAGCGGGACCAGCAGCGCTTCGCCGAGCTCGAGGTGGTGCTGCAGGCCGAGCGACGCGCCCGGCTCATCCGGGCGGCGCACCTGGAGCCCGACGGCGCCCACCGGACGCGCCTGCAGACCTGGCAGCGCCTCTCCAAGCGCTACTGGTGGCGAGGTGAGCGGGGAAGGGGGGGGGAGCGACGGGTCTCCGGGCCCGAGCCAGCCAAACGCCACACGCGCCACTCGCCCGCCACACCTCCTGCTCCGGGCTTGGAGCGAGGAGCGCCGCCCCTGGTCTAGGCGGACGGAGCTCGCCGCCTCCTCCTCGGAGCTGCTGCAAGACGGGTCGGAGGGGAGCGAGGGGTTGGCTGTGTCCTAGGACGAACTCGGAGGAGGAGGGGTTCCGCTTAAACACACACACACACACACAAATAATCCCCCACCGAATGCACCCGAGTCTCGTTCCTTAGTGAGCATGTGCTCGCCTGTCCGGCCCCAATGCAGCACCCCTTGCAGTCAGAGGGCGATGTTGACAAGAAGGGTGGTGGGCTGCTTTGTGGATTTTGGCTGTGGCACCGAGTCTTAAAGTGAAAAAGGTGAATCAGTCACTAACCTGATTTTCAGGTGTCTTCAGCTCAGTGTCCGACCCCCCAATACATTTTGAAACTTAGGTAGATGCCTCCTTTTTGTTTTAACGTTTATCATTTTACATAGCTCACCTGTGTTCAGAGGGCTTTGCCCTGATCTGGTTCTCACAAGGAGACTCCCAACTAAGACACCCCAGCCACTTGTCCTCCCTGTTTGTTTTCCTATTTGTCATGTTGAACTAAGCCATAGTTTGGCTTAGCATGTTGGCCAAACCCAAGGCTCACGGTTTGGCTCTATCCAAGGTTTATCCTGTAACCAAGCAATATCATGATTTGACTGGGAGACCTAAACCATGATTTAGGAGCAGGACGGTGGCTGAGGTCTCCTCTCTAGGAGCCTTCATGTTCGTTCTAAGCCATGATTTGGCTCGGTGTGGCAAGCACTATCTTACTAAGTATTATAATAGTCAAGTGGTCAGTAGTATGCCTAGATGGGAAGTCTAGTTTCAACTGTGCTCATTGGGAAACAAGTTCTGCTGATTTCAGCAGATCTTCAAGTAAGTTCCTATTTCCAGACAAAAAAATTCTATTCCAACCAACTGGATTAATTTTTGAGTAAACGGGTTGACTGCAAGTTGTTGTTTTTTAATCTTGGAAGCGCACCTTGTTTTTGCAAGGTTTTTTCTTTCTTTTTTTGCATAACTATAAAGAGCAAAAATAAGAGCAGATATTAACATGGTTAAGTGGATAGTTCAGCGTTATAGAATGTGCTAATGTGTTCATTAGATAATATAACTGATTCAGAGAAGATCTAATACAGTGGACCTGCAGAGACATTAATGGTTTAAAAACAATTATTAAGAATATTTTAATTCAAAATATGAGGTTTTCCTGTATATCTAGCACAGTATCTTATTTTGGGTTTGTTTTTAAAAGCCTGTAATGGGAGGACCACACAGAAAGAAGACTAGCAACTTCAAGCATATAAATATAGCAACTCACTGCTATGTAGGCAGAGGACCAACTTGGTAGGGATTGTAGACTCTAAACATTGTCTACAAAGGACAAAAAAACAACAACCCTTTAGCAGCATTATGCACAGGCTTGCTTGTGAACCAGGAGCATTTCTCAGAGGGTCAAAGAATGTGACATGGCAATCGGTCTAACAAAGACATATCTGCTGAGGAACTTCCTTGTGTTGTTGGTTCTAAAGTGTGGGGATTGCAAAATAAAAAAAGCAGTGGGCAGGCCCATCTTGCATGGAAATGTGTGCAGCTTTCAGCAAGTGCATCATTACCATGATTTGGCACATGGATCAGAAGGAGGGGTCAAGTAAGCAACATTGAGATGCAGCTTGAAGGAGTGGATGTCTTGAATTAATGCATGCAACTCTGATTTGCACTAAGTCACACAAGGGGGTCTGGTAGAAGGTGGAATTGTTGATTCTTGTTGATTCTGTTTCCATACAGTCTGAATGGAATTATCATCAAAATGAAAGACAAATATTATTTTCTAGAATTACTTATGAATATTACCTGAAAGGACAAAGGTGAATACATCCTTTTTTGCATCAATGAAGCAATATTTACAATGATATATTTTTTTTGTCATGCCTTTTTTTAGGTATTCTGAAGCAAGTTAAAGATTATATTAAGGAATGTAGCAAATGCCAGGAAAAATTGGATCGTTCCAGATCTTTGTCTGATCCTTCTGAAATGCTGGAAGAACTAGGTTTAGACACAATATCTCACGAAGATAGTAATGAAACAGATGATGAATTAAGTAACTCAGCGTCGCTTCCAGCAGCTTTGCCAAAACCTGTGAAAAAGAAGCCAATAGCCAAACATGAGCTTGTTTTTGTAAGTAACTTTTTATACAATCTGGTACCAAGGTTTATTTTATATTTGTATTACTTAATGATGTAAATAAAAGATTTAAGCTAGGATTTACAAGTGAACAAAGTTTAAACACACTGCTTGTTACTTTTTCTTTTTTAAAAAAAATCCCAGGTTGATAGTAAAGGTCTTGTGAAACAAACTTCTCCAAAGCACTCTCTGTCAGTCTTAAACCAACTGAATCAGCAGCGGCTTTCCAGTCAGTTTTGTGATGTTACTTTGCTTATTGAAGGTGAAGTGCACAAAGCACACAAATCTATATTGGCAGCCAATAGTGAGTACTTCAGAGAACTTTTCATCGAAAAAGGAGCTATTTCCAGTCATGAAGCTGTGGTGGATCTTTCAGGTAAACTGATCTAAGCAAAAACAACAACCCATAAATAATGGGGGTTTTTTTTTTTGGGGGGGGGAACTGTTGAGAATTTGTTTGGTCAAATAGAAAAGATGTTGAAAACCTGTAGGGTGTCTTGTCCCGTCCCCCCACCCCCAACACCATCAAAGAGGACTGAATGATTTCATTTTGTCTGTTTGCATACTCTGCTTAGATTGATAGGTAGTTGATTTAGTCAGACAAATTTCCCCAGCTGGTTTATTTATTTAATAGATATTTACCCTGCCCTTTCAGGACAAGAAACTCCCCCAAGGCTTACAGTAATTCTTTATTAAGTATATTAATTACAGATCAAAAATATTGAAATAACCAGATAAAAGCAGCAGAGAGCACATTAAAAATTAATAAAACTCTGAACAAAACAGAAGTTTGTAAAGATATGCTGAAAGGCTGATAGCAACAAGGCCATACATACTTCTCTACAGAGAAAATTCCACAAGATGTTGGGTCACTGCTGAAATGAGCCTGTTTGATGCTTGTCATATTATAAACCGCCCTGTGATCTTTGGATGAAGGGTGGTATAGAAATTATATGTATGAATGATCGACCTTGATGGAAGGCCAGAAAGCTGTTTGTGAGCAGGATGCAGGGCTATATACATGGCCTGATCCAGCAGGGCTGCCCTTCAAGACATGCATACCATTCAGTATGATATGCTGTCTCCAGAACTAAGCCCCAGAGTTTCTTTGTTTCTGCTGGCATTTCATATGCACAAACAGGAGGAGCTAACAGGGTGTGGTAGTAGAGGATGGAGATGACAGGGACACAGAACTACTGCTACTGCTATGTGAGTAAGGAAGTTAGGTCTCTGCTGTCCAGATTGTATGGGAGAAGTTGCATTAGATCCTAAATACAGGGAATAATATACTGCTATACTGGCCATATTTAAAAATCACGCAGCCAGAAACATAAGACATTAAAACAAAGTGAACTTAAAGAAACTAGAGAGTGTTACATTTTGCTGCAGAAAAGCCTCTTAAGCATGTTTCAGACAAATGGAACCTCTCTCTTTCTGCTTGTATAGTTTCTCCAGAAAATATGTTAGGGGTTCCTATTCAATAGAGACCAGAGCAGGCAACCTTTTCTTTGAGAGAGCTTCTGGGACTGTCATATGGATAGGCCACACAGTGTCTGATTTCTAAAATCCTTCAGCTGCACTTCTAAGGTATTCCTCCCAAATTTGCCTAATTTGTCCTGGCAGTATTCATTTTCTCTTCAGAACTCCAAGAATGTGGTCATACAAATCAAAAATTATCCCTGAGGACTTTGTTCATATGGTTTGAGGCTGTTATTATAGTTAGCTGGTAATGAACAAAAACAGCAATTTATTTCTAAATAGTGATCATCTCTTAAAACCCTTTTGTCCCCTTCTTCCTTATTTGTTGCAGGCTTTCGCAAGGCCAGCTTCCTCCCTTTGCTAGAATTTGCTTATACCTCTGAGCTGACGTTTGATTTCTGCAATATGGCAGCAGTAGCTGAGCTGGCCCAACATCTCGTCATGACAGAAGTCCTGGAAATCTGCGAAAATGTGCACAAGCAAATGGAAGATAAGCAAATCACAGTGTACCAAAAAGGAGATGTTCAGATAGTCGAGGTAGCGCAAACTCTTTTAGAGCAGAATGAAAGTGAGGTAGCTCAGAATCTTTCTGAGCAGAACGAAAGCCCATTGAACCCAGCAGACAGTGTGGAGCAGCCTTTACCTACAGAAGATGCTGTAGCAACTGTGAATGGAACATGTTCGAGTACTGATGTGGAAGAAATGGCTACGCCTGAGGCTGCACCGCAAACTGCTTCAGAGCCTCTCGTGGACAATCCTCCAGAGCCTCTGGTGCAATCTACTTGTGTAGAAATGACCGAAACTGAAGAAAAAACCGAAATTGTAGAATGTACCACAAGTCAGACTGTTTCTGTAGTGCAGTCAGAGCCTCCAGCAGCAGAACAAGTCATTATCAGCACTCGGGCAGAAAGCGATACCGATCAGAACGATGGAAGTGAACAAAACATGATCAGTGAAGCAAATGCAGATGCTGCCTCTGAAGATAATCGGGAAGGACTTAAGCGAAAACGTGGCAGGCCATGTAAAATGCAGAGCACTCCTCAGTCTCAGTCAGAGACCTCAGTTTCCGGTCAAGATGACACCTACAAAAGCAAGCTACGTCAGCGTTCTGTGAGTGAGGGAGGCTATATCAAGTTGCACAAGGGCATTGAGAAAAAACTACAAAATAGAAAGCCGGCAGCCAAATCAGCCATTCAGCAGGTATGCTCAAAATCTTACAGCCCAAAAAACTTTATTTGTGTCCACTGAGCTATTTGTTTGCTTGTTTGTTTGTTCGTAGTAATAGGGATATATCTTTGCTTCCCTTTCTTGCATTTCAATCCCAGCAAGGCTTCCAAGGTGGTTTACAATAAAAAATAATTTTAAAAGATGTAATGTATACAAAATCGAAACATCATCAGATGTAATGATTAAAACAGTCAACAAAAGTAAATTCAACAGTACAAGAAAACAATTCCAGCTCCACTGTCCGTTTGCGATCTCGCTGCTTCCTGCTGTACCCTTAATATCAGGGGCAGACATAACAGGGCCTTGCCAGAGCATGTGAATTCACTAGAAAGATATGCAGGAGGTATTCAAGGACCGCTTTCCCCCATATCAAGGTCTAGAGGGTGGCAACCTGAGTACAGGCCTTTTCTCTGGTGACTCCTTGTTTGTAGAATGCTCCCCCCCCCCCCAGGGAGGCTAGCCTGTTGCCATCATTATATATCTTTAAGCACCAAGCAATCAAAACCTTTCCTTTATAACCAGGACTTTGCCTTCAGCTATCTTTGGCCTTTTAGAAGTGGTTGGGATGTTTTTAATATATTTCTGTTTCCTCTTCATTGAAATATATCTGTGTGGGGTTTATTGTCTATTTGTTTGGTTGTAAGTTGCTTTGGCCTGGGCGAGATAAAGCGACAGACAAATTTAATAAATGATGATGATTTCACTGTGAATATGCCCTAACTTGTTCCTTCCTTTCAGGAGGCTTATTGCAACATTTGAGAACCTATGAATTAATGTGTAGAAGCCTTGAGTAAGCACAGCCTATATGTAAACTACTTGTACAGTGGTACCTCGGGTTACATACGCTTCAGGTTACATACGCTTCAGTTTATAGACTCTGCTAACCCAGAAATAGTACCCCAGGTTAAGAATTTAGCTTCAGGATGAGAACAGAAATAGTGCTCCGGCGGCGCGGTGGCAGTAAGAGGCCCCATTAGCTAAAGTGGTGCTTCAGGTTAAGAACAGTTTCAGGTTAAGAACGGACTTCTGGAACAAATTAAGTACTTAACCCGAGGTACCACTGTAGAGTGGTTTGGTAATGTGTAAGCAGAAAACTGTAATCACAGCTTCACCATGACATGCCTCTTAATTCAAAACTAGATTTGTGCTCCATTATTGCTCGCTTTGGTCATTGCAGCTCCTACGTTGCTCTATATAGAGGTGAGCATGCACCAAATAGCGTCGCTCCTTGGAGTCTACATGTACAGCATGAACATCTGTAGCAAAGGATATGGGAGACATATAGCTGTACATGTGAAGACTTCAGTGTGACCTGGGTCCCCAATCATGTAGAATTCTAGCTGTACACACAAACGCTTTGGTGCTAACGTACATTGGTGCTGTACACACAGAAAACAGGTGCTGGAATAACCTGGTACGCTTCTGCTCCTGTGGAGAGGGCTCACATGTCTGAAGAGGGTTCACATGTTGTGGAATTCTGAGCTAATACGAGCATGTAGGTTTTATGGAGAATATCACATATATCTTCCTCATGTCCCTTTGCTAAAATTGCTGAGATATTCTAAAAGAAAACTTCCTTTGCTATTTGGGTTGTTGATTTTACCGTCCCTCCCTCCCCCTATGTAATGTTAATTGTAACCAATCATTTTCAATTAGGTTGCCATGAAGCTAGTGCAAAGAGGCAAGAAGATGAAGCAGCCCAAGAGAGACACTTCAGAGCACAGTGAGACAGAAGCTCAGCACAAATGTGGTGAATGTGGAATGGTTTTTCAGAGGCGTTATGCTCTCATAATGCACACGCTGAAGCATGAAAGGACAAAGAATTTTAAATGTCCAGTAAGTTTCCCCTTAAAATTACTCTAAACTGGTACTTCTGTAGCAATGCTTGTTCATGCATGTATTATTTTTATTTTTTTAAAATTGTACAAATTACCATTTAATACAGAGCTTAAAAACGGCTCAAATGTTATGTAAATGTTAACAATAAATTAAAAGCATCATGCGATTGAACGTTCCCTGAGATTTGTCATTCAATAATTTAAGAAATATAGATCTTTCAATAAATCTGTTGGTTTTGTTAATCTGTGTTGTCCTAGAATATATTAATTTAAACAGTCTCTCAGTAAACCATAATTTCTCAAACCAATATACAGTATTGTTAGAGGAGCATTGTTTCCCCTTGTTGTTTTTTGCTAAAATTGTTTGGTTGCTTCTAGCAAATTGACATATGGAACTGTGTTTTTTAGATAACCCCAGTAGTATCTTAGGATACCAAAGCTTAGGTTACCCAAGTGTTTTTGTAACTGATTATATTACAAAAGTTCTGAAAGATAGGAAATTCCCAATATATGTGCAAAAATATCTGCCTGTGTCATCCCACAGCTCCAGCAATTGTCCTGTCCTTTTCTATAAATCAGGTTTAATGTGTATGGTGTTAAATTCCATTGCTATTAGATTTTAAAATTTCCCTTTAAATTTGCTGAAATTAGCCTGGCTAGGGAATGAGTACATAAGCATTTCCATTCATCAGTTCTCATTTCATGTCCAACATCTCTCTATTCTTTAAATGCTAGATTAATTGAGTTGTGTACAGCCTACCACTTCCCTTTGATTTGGCATTTAACATTGCAATAATCTCCCAGCGTAGTTTCTCAAAAGATAACAATTCCAACTTAAACTCTCATCACTGCTCTTAAATATGTTTCAGCTCTCCAGTCAGATAGCTTAGATTCATAGTCTTGGAGTGTTACAAGGCAAATGTTGTCGCCATTCCTGTCTGCAATTTGTAATATGCATAAAGTGGAACAGACTTTTAGAATGAGTTGTCACAGATCTCTTAGTCAGATCTATGCATTGCTATTTATACATTACTTTTATCTGTAAGGTATGCAAGCCTAGAAGTAAGTCCCTTATCTAGTAGATGGAGAGAACTCTTCCAGCTACAAAACTGTTACATGAATCTCTGATTCTTAGTGTTAAGATGTCAAGTGACATATCAAAACAATTTTATGTTTCTCAGCTGTGCAAAAAAGAGTTTCAGTATGGTGCCTCTCTGCGAGCCCACCTTGTTCGCCATACCCGAAAAAACGAAGTGACTGTTGCAACTGCCAGTATAGAGGAGAGTGGTGCAGCTATGAAGGGCAGAACTAAACGGGAGTTTATCTGTGATATATGTGGAAGAAGTTTGCCTAAACTCTACTCTCTGAGAATCCATATGTTGAAACATACAGGTGTAAAGCCACATGCATGTAAGGTAAAAGTAATGCTTTATGGTCTCACATTTTTGATGTATTTCTTCTTGTGATATTTTAGCCATGTGGCTTAAAGCTTATACGAAGTTCAATTGCTATCTGAAAGTAACAGAATTCATAACAATGAATACTGCTGAAATGAAGGAAAAGTGGATGGGAACTTTGTGTTAAGTTTTAATGTAGCCTAGAAAAACCTTGAAAAACTTCAGTATTAGGCTGTGAAACCTTTCATTAATTATAAACCATAGTTAAAATCTTGATTCTGCATTTCTTCAAAAAGCTGGATACTATGGCCACCATGTTTCATTTACTTAATCCCAAAGGCCTAGATTTCAGTTTGAACTCGCATTGGCTCCAATGATACCTAAATAATATTTAGCTAAGTCATACCTAGAGTAGACATGTACAGAGTAGAGTTGAAATCAATTGAGGTAAGTTACTGAAGCCTATTGATTTCATTATGTCTGCTCCGCAACTAATGTTGATATCACCCAGCCAGTTTGGCTTTTACATGTATTGGATGAAATCCAATGCTGCCATTCCACTGGCAGAACAGCTTTTGATCCAGCAGTGGTGTCTGAGCGCTTCTGAAATATTCTGAGCGACCTGTTCTTCAAGACCTCCCAACAACCCACTGGAGGGTTGTGAGGACTACAGAGGGAATGGACATGGGAGAAAATCACCTTTTCTTATGTTAGCTGATGCCTCCACTGGATCAAAAGCTATTATGTGAGCAGAACAGTAGCGATTGATTTCATTGATTATAAAAACATCTAATTACATTTCCAGGTGTACCATAGGTGTTGGGAGTTTAGTAGGCAGACTTGCTACGTTTATTTTCTGTTTTGCAATTTTCAAGATTGAAATTTGAATTGGTCATGCTAGGTTTCTAAGATCATCAATTATTATCTCCGTTTGCACTATCATTAAAGGGTATGCATTACCTAAAAAAGATTTCTCAGGTGCTCTCTGTCTCTCTGGAGCTTTGAGTTTTACTGGAATAAGTTTTTTCTTCATCACTGAAATGCTAAACTACTTCTTCAGGTACAAATTGTGGGCTGTATCCAACTAAGTAGCTCTGCTAGCCCAAGGATTTCTGCTTTCACACGGGAGGTTTGCCACCCTCTCTTCTCCCACATGTCCACTCTGTACTCCCCAAATCTGCTCCAGAGGATTGGGAAGCCCCCCAGAACAGATTTAAGGGGGCACAGGTAGAGGAGAGGAGAGGGAGATGAAGTCCCTTCAGCAGCCAAAGGTAGTTGCACTAGTGGATCTGTTTAGTTGGATACCAAATCCCTTTGTCTTCTTGTCTCCTAGTTTTACCATAAAACTCCTCTTACTTTACCATCTAATGCTTCCTTTATCGTAGGCAGTTGCTGTCTGTTTGGAGGGATGGTAACATTTGCTGACAATTTGATCTCTTGCAGATTTGTGGAAAGTCGTTTACTTACAAACACGGTTTAAAGATGCACCTCGCGCTCCATGAGGCACAGAAGCAGTTTAAATGTGAATTGTGTGATAAGTCTTTTGTCACAAAAAGAAGTCTTCAGGAGCATATAAGCATTCACACAGGTAAATGAGAGAGACCCTTTCTTATTAATGAAAAAGTAACACCTGCACTATGCTTTCATGGGGGTGTATAAACTGAATGCACTCAAACCACAAATATTTAGCTAGTGGTTTCAGTTCAGTGAAATTCAGCATTCCAGCTATATGTGATGAGGGAGCTGAGAGACTAGAGCTCTCCTGTTTCAGTTTTCAACTGGCAGCTTTGAATCGGTATATTAAATTCAGCTTTATTTTATATTAATTGCTTATTTTATGAACATTGTTTCTGATTCATGGTGTTAACAGTTGAATCAGCTAAAAAGGGGGAATGAAATTATTTTCTCCGCATCCCTTACCACAAAACTTATCTCCCATTTGTCTGTAGTACAGGGTGAGGCTTTTCCCTCTGTCTTCTTTGTAGTCCCTGTTCCCGCAGTCTCTTTTCTGTAGCCACTGCCTAACTATTCATCATCTCCTGTGAGCTTCTTCCATTTCTACAGAACCATATCTCTACAAATTTCTCTGTAATTCTGATGCCTTCTTGACCCTGTTGTACTCATTCTTTTCTTCTGCCTTAGCTGGCTTCCTCTAAAGAATATTTGAATTATTGGTCAGTTGAATTATTCGTCAATTATTCAATGCCTAAATATTTTTCCTACATGTGTAAAAAGACTGGAGTGCCTTAGCTGTCCCTGTGCCATAATTGTCAACAGCATACCTACTTACTCTCACCTTCCTTTCATCCCATTTGCTGCCTCTACCCGCTTTCCTAGTGAATATTCTTCTTTTTCTTCTTTGTTAAACTTGTATACCACCTTTCACCTGAAGATCACAGTGCAGTACACAGCATAAAAATACAAAACGAGAACAAAAAATACATAATTAAAAAACATAGCATTTTGCTGACAATGGACTCCAAAACTCCGGTCTTGTTATAGCCTACACTCCCTGGTAGATGGAGCCTAGTTGGGCTCTCAGTCAGTCAGTCAGCAGAGACTGGAGTGGGAAAGGATTCCTTCTGAGGACCAAAGATGCAAAAAAGGCTGGCTTCCTCAAGAGGAGGAATTCCAGCAGCTGTGGAGGAGGGCCAGATGAACAGCTCACTTCTTCCACTGATGGTCTCTAGCTGCTACTACCTCTGAGAGCAAAGTATCCATTTTCCTCAACTAACCTCCTTCCTGTTATATTTGCTCGCATTGTCTTCTCTCATATTTTAGGCAAAACCATGCAAGGAAATGCATTTCAAAAGCAATTTTAATGTTAAAAATAATTTTGTTTTTTTTTGCCTTAAGTTGAATACGATAGCATCTATTAAAGCCATTGCCGCTATTATTTTGTCAGGAGAATCAAAATACTTTTGTTCACACTGTGGAAAGTCTTTCCATAGAGCTTCGGGACTTAGCAAGCATCTAAAGAAACACCAGCCAAAACCTGAAATTCGGGGATATCAGTGTACTCAGTAAGTATGAATAGAGTTGCAAGCCTTTAAATGTTTTAAGTGTATTTTTGCCAATTTCAGTGGGTATCAAAATGAACTCCCATGTTACTTTTACAGAAATCTGCCATGCTGTTTCAGGCAAGCCATGTCCGCTCCACAATATATGATGTCGTGTGTGGGGTAGATAAGGGTGAGGCTTGGCTCCCTGCTTCCCAGACACCTGACATTGAGACATCTCAGTTGGTAGAGCATGAGACTCTTAATCTCAGGGTTGTGGGTCCTGTGTTGCAGGAGGGTTTGGACGATATAATCCTTGTGGTCCCTTTCCAACTCAACAATTCTATAGCAACCAGCTGGCTGTTGGGCGCTTCAGAAGTGCCATACAAAGCACTCTGCACATCACTTCTCAAGTGCCCAACAACCAGCTCATTGTGAGGGATTTGGGGAGTGCTGCACAGAGTGCTTTGCAAACCTTGTGCTTGACGCTTCCTAAACACTGAGCACCGGGCTCGCTGTGTGCAGGCAGTTCTTTCCAAACATCTGACAATTAACTGGTTGTCAGGTGTTTGGGAAGGGTGGCACACAAGGCTGAGCAAGCCCTTCAAACTGCTTCTCCCCCCTGGACCAACTTTTACAGGTGTCAATTGCTCAAAGCCACTTTGATTTCAGACACATGGTTGGTCCTGCCCATCTGTCAAAGGTGGGCTACAGTGGTGGTTGGGAGATGAAGACCTGGCCCACCAGGCCAAAACTGTTCTCCACCCATGGTATAGAATATATGTGGTTTTAATGTGAAAACAGAGTTTTGCTCTCATTACACTTCATTTCTTATGACTTGTACAGGGTGAGTCCTTTAAAAGAGGCCCCATGGATACAGAGTACACATGTTCCACGGGGCATCTTTTAAAAGACCCACCCAGTACAGTGGTGCCCCGCAAGACGAATGCCTCGCAAGACGAAAAACTCGCTAGACGAAAGGGTTTTCCGTTTTTTGAGTCGTTCCACAAGACGAATTTCCCTATGGGCTTGCTTCGCAAGACGAGAGTTCTTGCGAGTTTGTTTCCTTTTTCTTAAAGCCGCTAAGCCGTTAATAGCCGCTAAGCCGCTAATAGCCGTGCTTCGCAAGACGAAAAAACCGCAAGACGAAGAGACTCGCGGAACGGATTAATTTCGTCTTGCGAGGCACCACTGTACAATGTAACTTGTGATAGCATAGGGGTGAGTGAGTGGCTGTGGGTTTCTTAGGGAAGGAGAGTTTATTTGTCTTTAAAAGGCATGGGAACAATTTTTCAGTAGAAAATTTGGGCTTCAAAATCAGACTCTTTTCTTTTCTACAATTTTTTTTAATGTTATATTACACTTTGTAGCTAAGACGACTATAAATCAAACAAGCTTGCTTGTCAAGAAAAAGAAAGAAAGAAAGTGAATAAAAGGGGGGGGGGGATCAAACTTTTTTCTATAAGGGTAGAGGATTAGCCCGTCATCAGACTTTTGTAGCATAGCAAGTTGGGCCATACTTTTGTGAAGTATTAGACGCCTGTTAATGGGGATTATTTTTATAGGTTTTAAATTTTTTGACTAACATTAATCTCAGTGTATCTATTCTAACCTGCCACCCTGAACTCCTTTGGGAGGAAAAGCAGGACAGAAATCTAGTAAATAAAAATAAGCAACTCTCCAGATCCAGCCCATAGTTACATTAACATGAAATAACAGTCTGGTTGGGCATGCAGCTTATAGCTGTACCTCAAATACCTTTCCCAGTAGGTTCCTTTAACCAAATGTGTACAATTGTGTACTGTTTCAGATGTGAGAAAAGTTTCTATGAACCCCGAGATCTCCGACAGCACATGAACAAGCATCTTGGGGTGAAACCATTCCAGTGCCAATCCTGTGGAAAGTGCTATAGTTGGAAAAAAGATTGGTATTCTCATGTGAAGTCCCATTCTGTTACTGAGCCTTACAGGTAAATCAAGTAAACTAGTCTAAGCTTTGAATAAATACTCAGATGATAAAGACCTGTAGCCAAGTCAGTGTGTACTTTGTAATTCTGCTTGTGCATAATGGAATGCCTTTTGGATGAATATTTTAAAATTCTGTGTCACAGCCATCAGGAATTATATTAAATTATTTTGATTATCGCCTCAACTTAGTCACTAGACTTCCTACAGCTCCTTAAAAGTTTCTTAATATGTTAAAAGGCAGCTTGCTACATTTGTTGTGACCTGGAGGTACTCCAGCCTCCTTCACAAGACAGGGTGGTGGTGGTTTTCAAAAGTTGTTTAACAGATTAGCCCATATAGAATCTAGCCTGTGGTTATCCATTTTACAGTGTGTGTCCTATTGGAGTTCCAGAAAAAAAGCTGTATAATGCAATTGTAGCATGAGGAATAAAGAGTACAGTGCACTTGCAACTCATGCCGCACAGGGACTTTGTACTCCCCAAGTAATCTGATTGGGGTAAAAATGACTTCTCAGCCCAAATACATATTATTGTAAGAGTTATAAATACTTTTAGGACTTTTCTATATTGCTCTAAACGTCTTCTCTCGTTTTTTTAGGTGCAATGTGTGTGGCAAAGAATTCTATGAGAAAGCTTTGTACAGAAGGCATGTCAAGAAAGCAACTCATGGGAAAAAAGGAAGAGCAAAGCAAAATTTGGAACGTATTTGTGAGCACTGTGGGAGAAAATTCACCCAGCTTCGGGAGTACAGAAGACACATGAACAACCATGAGGGTAAATCTGACAAGTTTAATCTTAAGAATACTGCCATGTTTCAATAAATGAACAAAAATTGGGACTTAGAAAACATTAAATTTAAGGGGGAAATGGTTCCAGTCAGCACTGCTTTGAGATGGGCTAAAAATAATGGGCTGGGTATAAATAAATGGTGCATTTATGAAATGATGAAAAAAATAATGAACAAATGAGACTATCATGCAGTAGCCAGACTGCCATGATTTTCTTAGCTCGCTATAATTTTTCTACATAAATCTTTGTAGTGGCCTTCAGTGACTTTCAAGTATGCTTTATGAATCCAGCCCATGGACCTGATTAGACCCACCAGAGCTCCCCATTGGGCCTGCAATGCCATTTTGGAAATGCCCAGTGTCTTCAGGTGTGGGGCAGGAAGAAACCTTGCTCAGCTGAAAGGGCATTTGCAGACCAAGCAGCTGATCAGTGTTGCATGGAAAGCCTTAAGCAAAGCACTGAGTAAGGTATCAGTCAGCTGATTGTTGGCTCTTCAGTAGCACCTTTCAAAGCATTGTGCAAGAGCACTTTGAAAGGGGCTCCTGAAGACACCTGCGGGCAAAAGGTGACTGGGTTTCATGTGCCAAAGTTTGCCCACAATACAGGAGGGTAACCATTTGACCCAGATCCAATCGCCCACCCATGCAGTAAATCGTTAAGGAAAGTATTGTAATGTTAATAAAAACACTATTTCAACAAAGGTTCAAATGCAGAAAACGCTCCAAGTGGCTGGTAGCAATATATTGTAACATGGGCAGATGAAAAAAGAGTGAGTACTCTATTGTAATTTGGGGGTCTGAATTGATACAGGAGTATTTCTTAATTACTCTTTTGGTAACCAGTAGGTTTTCCTTAGCTTTTCAAATGTTGTTACCTCCTTTCTTTCTTATTTTGTTAAATAGGTGTTAAACCCTTTGAATGTCTGACCTGTGGAGTGGCTTGGGCTGATGCACGTTCTTTAAAGCGCCATGTACGGTCACACACTGGAGAGAGGCCTTATGTTTGTCCAGTATGCAATGAAGCCTACATAGATGCCCGCACCTTAAGGAAGCACATGACCAAGTTCCACCGGGATTATGTACCTTGTAAAATTATGCTGGAAAAGGACACACTTCAGTTTCATAATCAGGGAACCCAAGTAGAACATGCCATCAGCATTCTAACATCTGATGTGCCAGAACAAGAAACAGAGGTTTGCAGTGAAGAGATTGAAACAGTAGTAGTGACTGAAGAAACACTGGAAACAGGTGCAACTGCTGAAGACTGTACAACAGTTTCCACACTTTCTGACCAAAGTATCATGCAGGTTGTCAATTATGTGTTGGCACAACAAGGACAGAAAATGACTGAGGTCACAGAAGCCATTCAAACTGTAGAAGTGGAGGTAGAACATGTTTCTGATCCAGACTGAATACAAAAGTTCACGAATAAGGAAGGTGACCTGGGTGAAGCGGCATGCAATTATCAAAGTATTAACCATCGTACTGGTTGGATTTTTACAGTAATAGCTCCAGAACACTGCTCAGAGTTTCTTGAATGTGTAATACCAACCTCTGTAATAAAACGCAAAATCAAAGACTTTCCATATAAGCCATGGACATGTACTAAGACTACTGATCAGTTGTAAGCACTTAGTAAAATCTCAAAAATAAAGTCATTGGTGTGGTAGTGTTAGGTATTTTGTAGTTTTTGTTTTCCCCTCTGCAGTTTGCTTTTACAGTGGTACCATGGGTTAAGAACTTAATTCATTCTGGAGGTCCACTTTAGCTAATGGGGCTAAGTTCTTAACCCGAGGTACTATTTCTGGGTTAGCGGAGTCTGTAACCTGAAGCGTCTGTAACCAGAGGTACCACTGTATACTGCTGTTTTGGCTTTGTTGGGCAGTTTGGTATGCTGCGGAGTTGTGCCAGTCACTTAAAAACTCAGCTATGTTTGAAGTTCACTGAAAAGCAGGATAGGAGTTTGATCTGCAAGTTTACCTATGAACCTGTTATCGATATAGATGAATATTCTGATCATGGGAAGGACTGAGGCGGTGAGTTGTACTCCAGTGTGTATGTTGGGGCAAATCTCTGCTGCGTTGTACATTCCTGCACTTTTTCAGTTTTGTCTCTTGCATAACCTGTAAAAGTACTTTTAAGATTGCATGTCCTACAACTAGCAAACATATTTGTATACTTTATATATATATGCTGGTGCAATTATGCTTCATTAAGAGCAGTGTAAACAAAGAAAAACTAAGGAATGTGCTGTGTATATGAAAACCAAGAGTGGTTATTTTATTTTGTTGTACATTTCAACATCCATGAAACCTAACTTTTGTATATGCAGTTTTGAGAGGTAAGGAATTAAAGCCTAGTTGCCAAGATTAATAATTTTAAAAAGAAAAACTTGACCCGTTAGAGTTAGATGCAAAAGAGCACCATAGGGTTCCAATTGAGTTGTTTATCAAACCATAACGGATGAAATCTATATCCATAGCAGTGATATTGAGCTACTGTCGGTAAACTCTAATCAAGCCAATTACTATTTATTATAGAGGCTTGAAGTTTGTATTTGTAAAGAAATTAATTTCTGAATCAATTAGGAGCTAAGCTGTTACCTGTTCTCTGTAAAAACAGACCAACAGAACCAATGCCTTATATGAAGTACAGCATCTCCTCCCATAATGGGGATATTGAGTCTTTGTTTTCTGCAGATTGTAAGTGGTGATTGTCTCTTGTAAAGCTACCAGTAACAATTTACTGAAGCAGAAAGCAAAATTGTTTAGTGTCTGTAAATTATGTATACCTTGATTAGTCATATATTCAAGAAAACTATTCACAAGGACTATAGAACTCAGTATGCTTGTTAAAAAAACAAAATGTAACCATGTGAAACATGAAGGCAAGGGACGTGTAATGGGAGCAGACTTGGCTACAGGTTCTAGTCCGTCCCCCCCCCCCCCCGCTACTTTAAATATACAGTCAAGCCAGCAGTTGAATGGGTATAAGCACAACCATGTGGATCCAGTATGGCAACATCTGTGTCAGTGGCAACGCGGCTTCATCTCAAAAAGTTGTTTAAAATATTATAGTGTCAGTAATGATGCCTGCTTCTAAACATTCTAAATTGTTTACTGTACACATAACTAGTTCAGGCTTTCACCTATCTTAAAAGAATCATGAAATTCCAGTTGAAATTCTGATACCTGGCAACAGTAGTTAACTCACAGGGGTCCAAGTTTTCATCCGTCTCACTTTGTTTTCATTAAACAAAGGATAGCCAGTTAAAGAATACTGTTGTGTTATGTTGCTAGTTGGTGTGAGAAAAGATGTGAAGTTGTTTGTTGTTCAGTCGTGATGTATTTGAAACATTGCTTCCTCCAGTGATGGCAAGAAGCCCTGATATTGCAGAAATTTAAATTCTCAGGATTATATCAATCTACAGGATAGGTATTTTAGTCTTGACCTTAAATCTAAACACAAATTTTAATAGTAAAAACAAACCAATGCTTGTTTAAAACTGGAAAAGTATTCCTGTACTGTTATATTAGTATGCATGTACATGGTACTATCTATCTCCTGTCCCTGATACTATCACTATCTCCTGCCCACCTAGCAGTTCGAAAGCACCCCTAAGTGCAAGTAGATAAATAGGTACCGCTTTATAGCGGGAAGCTAAACGGCGTTTCCGTGTGCGGCACTGGCTCGCCAGTTGCAGCTTTGTCACGCTGGCCACGTGACCTGGAAGTGTCTTCGGACGGCGCCGGCTCCCGGCCTCGAGCGAGATGAGCGCGCAACCCTAGAGTCGGTCACGACTTGCCCGTACGGGCAGGGGTACCTTTACCTTTACCTACATGGTACTATATAAAGAAGGTATCTACAGCAAGGGACTTGCAAGCAAGAAAAAGAGAAAAGAGCTACTGGGATGTAATTTCTCTGTTCAAAGGATAGGAGAGGCTATTCTTTCACAAAGTGGTTACATTGTAGGTAATGAACTGGAAGGGGTAGGACCTCTTATGCTCTTTCTGTAGTAATTTGTCCACCTTTGGTCCCCACCCTGCACTCAGCTCTCACCAGTGGCTACTAGAAGCTGTCAGCCTGAAACAGTGACCATACCCTTGGAAATGGCTTCAACTGGCCAGCTAAACCAGGTGAGGGTTGGTGATGGGTCTCAAACCCTCAGTAAGGTTGGGGCTTCCCCTGCATGTGAATACAGGCTCTGGCAGATTTAGTGGACAAGACCAATAGTGGGTCCAATAGTCAAGGTGGTGGTTTCTGCACGTGCTGTGGACAGACGTGAGGTGCAGATGGCGCTTGTCAATCTGGGAAGGTAGCCCATCTAGGAGAAGGAAAACTGATTTTAAACCTCTGCTGCCCTGTAGGATATCTGTAGGAGAAGAAAAGGCTAAGGAGTAAACCCTCAAGAGTGGAGTCCCTAAGATGGTTGGATGGCACCCTGAATGCCTCCTTCCAGCAACTCCTGCAGCCAAGCTCTGCTTTCCTTTGAAGCACATCAGCAAGGGGTCTTGTAATGTCTAGGCAGCTCAGAACCTCCATACGCACTGCCCAGACTTGAGCCCGAAGGAGGTCACTTCAATGCTGCTAAAGCAGCGATTTGACTTCACCCCTGGAGGTGCATTCCATTGTCTCTCGAGACAGATGCCAACAACGCAGAAGGGGAGAGAAATGGAAGGATAAACAGGCTAGAATATGCAACTGGCTTGGTTACAGAAAAGCAACCACCTTGCATGCAGGTACCCTTCAGATTTTTAGACTACAGCATAATCTCGAAGCATTGGCCAATGTCCAGAACATCTGAAGGGTTGGGGAAGGTTGCAGTATAGTATTGGAGGCTAAGGTATTGTCAAAATATTAACTCCTCAGAGCAAGGAGGAAATATCCATTACCCTGGTGCTGCAGCAGACGACATCACCATTGCTCTAATAGTCCCAAAGCTGTACTCCCTTCTTAACTATACCACTAACCATGGCAAGAGGTAGCACTGGCAGTTGGTGTCATGCCTGACAGATATCCTCCACTGGACAAACCCAGGTTCATCATAGGCTTTGACAGCTACTGAAGTTAATAGGGAGTTTCGACTAGAGCGGAAATCTTGCAGCCAGTAGTCTTCCTCTGCTGGGTTAAAGACCTCATCCCAGACACCCATACTGGTACTCAGTGGGAGTGGTGGGGTATTAGAAGCTAGGATCTTTTGCCCATACTCCAAGCAGCTCTAGAAAATATCACAATGCCTTACAACCCACTCTAAGCAAAACTCGTCACCCTGGAATGCCCAATTACAAGACATTCTCTTGAACCAAGAAAGAAGCAGTAATGACTAATATCGTTCCCTGCACCCCTAATTTCCTAGTGCCTGTTTTACATTATCTTTTCAAAATGGTTTACTTATTGCTGCATCGTCTCTTTTTTCTATAATTCATTAAAACAGATTTACTGCTATCCTAACAAAAGGCCTCAAACCAGCTTAGTGGCACATAAATATACAAATGACAGTAAGACAACAAAACTTAAACAGCAACAGATTCCCTGATATATTTTCATTCTTCCTGAAACCACAATGTGGGTCCTCCGAAAAAGGAGCTCCACAATTGTAAAGATGCACTGGTATGTCTTAAAAGTCAGCACCTGCTCTTATTTCTTGCAGTTGATTTGATTCATTTTGACAGCTTCTGAGATGTGTATACAATATTGAACTTTTTTTTAAAAAAAAACTTTTTTAGGATTCAATAGTGCTGGCACAAAATAGTATGCAAATTTTTGAGTTTCCCAGAACTCTTGCAAGCCAGATATTAAGCAAAGGTGGCGAAAGTATGATAGTGTGTGTTCTAGGGAACTTAAGCTTGCTCCCAATTTTGAAATACTACCTGTAATTTGATTAAATAGTGTAATAAACATGTTGCTACGCTCCAATCGTTACACCTGTGATGACACATTTTAATTAAAATCAACAGAATTGAAGTACCTCTAACTGGCTTGCCACAGGTGCATGAACTGGAACTGCTCCGATGCCTGGAAACCAGCAGCTGGCACTTAGTAATTTTACATATCTTGAGCCACATGAAAATATTGTGCCAGGAGATGGGACTATTGTAGAGCATGCTCACAATTTGCATGTAGTGAGGAATTTGTGTTTTTGTACTTCAGTTTCAGTCGTGCTAAGTCAAATGCTTTAAGTGATATCATGAAACAACTAGAAATGGGATGGGTAGCAGAAAACAGTGTGCTTTCTTTTTGTTGGTAGGAATGGTAGGTCCAGCTCTTAGTGGTGCTCCTATCCCTTTAAAGTTCATTCAAACCAAAATTTTCATCTACATAACATTTCTTGTCACTGCAACTGCATGTACATGAAATGATAGCTTTGGGTGAAATCATTTTCTGAGCAGCTCTTAGAAATACAGGAGCCCTCTCAGCTTGGTAACCTCTTGCTACCCATTTAAAAGTACAATTTTAATACTCTTGTTAATGTATCCCAAGCAATAAAACAACAGCAAACACCAAGATGAAGTACTCCCTACTACTTAGTTCAGCAAAAAGAGGCTGGTTAGATTTGTGTTCTTGCCTCACACTTTTGACATTTGACTTTGGGGGCAATACCAGCCTTATTGTATAATACCAACTATAGTATGATAGTGCTAGATTTATAGAGTAACAGCCTGGTCATACGCTTATTTGTAATGCTTCATATTTTATACTGAGCTCTATATATGTACACACAAATGTTCTGGCCCTCTGCTGTTTATTTCACATTTTACTTCTGTATAAGCAGACCAACATTTTGGCAATACAGCAGTTTTAATTTAGTTCCAATTGCTGGAATTGAGCAGCAAGTTTATAGCAACTTGTTAGCTGTTAAACAAATATTCCATATTCTTCTCTCCAATTACTAATTCTGCCTAGATACCATTTCACTATTAGGGCAGATTCAGAAACCTCCGTGAGTGCAGCTTTATTACCATAACTTAAAATTTTGCCAAATTCAGCCTGCTAAAGAGTAATAAATCAAGGTGAAGGCTGCTGAGCTGGCAGCATGTACCCCAGTTCCGATCTGGAGATAAACAGACAAAGCAAAGGAGCAGGAATAGCACACTGAGATTCCTGAAAAAGGCAGTTGGCAGCAAGCTGCTTTTTTAAAAAGCATCCTGAAAAACAGGGTTAATGCTCTAGACACCCATTCCTGACCTCTAATTGACAAACAAGCAATGACAAATATTTTGTTTGCAGAGAGGTTAGCATGCAAACATATCAAATCCTCTAAAGTAGTGGCTTTCAGATCTTCACAAAGCCCTGTCCAAACCCATCATGGAACCCACAGAGCAGCAGGAGACTGGAAAAGGTTTACACCGAGTTTACGGAGGGTAGTAGCCATGCCTGTTGGGCATCATCACCAGAAATGAAAGTGCCCCCCGACTTCTCCAATGGCTGCACAGACTAAAGATCAGCAACAGAAAACATGCAGTTTTTCCAAATACATTTGTCACTACTGATCTCACTGGGAAATCCTAGGAATCATGAGAACCCACTTTGAAAAATTCTTTTCTACACCAAAAGAAATCTGTGATAAGAAAACAAATTGAAAAAGCAACTCCTGCCTTTTGTAGAAGTAATGCAGTCACTTCAGTGGTCAGTATTCCAAATCAGAAAAATGAAGGGCTGATAGCTTAAGCTAAACATACTACTTACAGGTGCTTCATTAAAGGATGGTAAATTATTAACTGGAGCACATCTTATATCTTGCTCTCTTCAAAATAGTTTCCAAGTCTGATTCATAATTTGTTGAAATTCATGGTGGCCTTGAGAAGCTCCTTTAATCTGGAAATATTTTTTATCTTAAATAAATTCTGCACTTCGAGAAGTTTGGCTAGTCAGATGTAGCAGGGAGAAAAAATTGTGTACACACAAATAAGACAGTGACGTTAGCCAAGGGTTTTTGTAAAAAAAGAAGGTTGCGTTCATACTTGCCTTGGTAAATTTAAGCATATATACCATTTCCTTTGTTTATAATACATGAAATTGACATGGAATTTAGTTTTACTTGACAAGTTTTTATACTTAAAAACACTAGCCTCAGCAGCTAGAGTCCATGGCTAAAGATTATACACATCAGCACAAGCAAAGCTCAAAGAAGAATAAGTTACAGCTTTTGGTTCCCACCATTTCTTCCCCAACTTGGAAATAAATCATGACAAATACTCCAGACTTTTCCTTCCTCCTTCAAAGAGTTCTTGTGAAACTTCAAGAGGTTAGCATATCATAGGCCAGAGGTAAAGGATTTGTGTACTTTTTCATTGCTTTGATGGTGGGGAGGGTATTGAAAACAAGCACACATTAAGATTATTATTTAGAATTGGGCTAGAGCTGACCATGGCATTGGTCACCCAAAGGCTATAAATGAATTAATAAACTGAAGGGCTGTGTGTGTGTGTGTGTGTGTGGTGATTTTAGGTACATAAATGGTTAAAAGTGCCATCTTTCCTTTTCCCTGATTAATGGTTAGTTAAGGGCTAATTGTGCCATTGGCTTCAATAATAAGGAGCCAAGATAAATCATCTTTTTTTAAAGTCTTGAACTTTCACAAGTAATTCAATAACTGCAGCTCTAGAGAAATAACTTGTTTACATCTCTTATGTTTATAACAAAGCCTTTAAAGAAAATATACGTTACAGATTTTTAACTGCAAACAAAAATTCACATACAAATACAAAACTGCTTAGATCTTACACACAGATGTCTACATGGTCAAAGCTCTTCTAAATTGTAAAAAGAAAACTTGGATGCCTATTTCCCCCACCAGATAATCTTGTTGTGCTGAAGTGAGAGTGACTAACATACAGTAGGTGATCTATAATATGATCATGATATTCACACTACATATGAAAACTAGTAATTTAGACCCATATACTGCTTCTGAAGTGTTTTATCTATTTCAGCTACGCCGGTCAATTGGGACTGCTGATATTACCTAACCCCAGACTACTTACACAACTTAAATCCTGCTGAAAAGTCCTCAAGTGTTTTAGGTATTTGTCCAGGTAGATTAGGGAAATAAGAATTGACAGGAAACTCTATTGCTAAAAGAAATTAAGTCTCAACAGTGTTCCAGCAATACAAAATGTAAAACAGCTGGGGATAAAAGTGTAAAGTTATGTTGTACAGATTGCTTTAATGACAAAACTAAAGTGAATTAAAATGCTGTCTGAAAATCCAAGCGTGTCCCTTACTTAAAAATACAATATGAAGGTCTTCTAGCATTTAAAGTAAAGCTTTAAACCAAAATATGGATTAATGCTTCTAACGGTTGGTTTGTGTGTGGCTTTCTTTTCCTCTTAAGGGATTATGGGAAATATTGAAAACAAAACTAAAGTACAATCATCATTTTGGTAATGCCTTTTTCTGCTGATATTCTTTATCGGTCTCAAATTGACAAAGGAACATTAACAAGCACTGGTCAAGACTCATGATTAAGAAAACAATCAAAATACTGATTTACCTTTTTTCTAATATTTATACACATGTAAGACCGATGTCTAAGAGTGGAACAGGCCACAGAGAAATTACACAAAGCTTCTAAACAGGACTTTAGAGCTAAACTACCACAGCCAGAAGTCTGAGTTTATGGATGTTTAAAATACTAAATGACTTTTTGCAGTAGTCTTTTCAGGTTCTATGCTGACCAGAAAGCCAGAGTCTATCAAACTCAATGTATAGCAAGTTACTCCCCTTCTATAAAAGTAGCCTTAAGGAGACAAGCAATCTATTACAAAGTAGGAGCTGGAATTCTTGAGCGCAGCAGCATTTAATTTAAATGGATTAAAGAGACAGTAACCTTTCCTCTGTCTTCATATAAGAATAGTTGTAAAAGAAAATTCTTAAAAAGGTACCACTTCCAATGTCTTTATTTTCCATAACCTTGTGAAATTAATTGCACGAAGCTACAAAATTAGCAAATGCTTTGAAATCTGTATACAAAACATAAATTACCTCTACTTTTAAACTCAGTTTTTTTGTGCACCACTTAGAAACTTTTAAAAGTGGCACCCAAAATAGCCATACACCACTCTAAAAAAGGAAACTGTTCCTTTAATATCATACCCTCCCATTTCTCCCAACACTCAGATCTCAATACACAGCTAGTCATCATGTTCACGGACATTTCCAAGGTGAGATTTCATGTTCCGTTCCCATAACTTCTGGTTGTCAGAAAACCCATGCTTTCCTTTGTTGAAAGAATTTGGTCCTGCTGAAGTTGGAGTATCCCTGTGATAACAGAAAAAAAAGCATGTAGCCAACTTTATCAGTTTCATATTAATAGTTTAGAAGTTCAGGTACACACGCTAACCTGCTAACATGCAGTAGGTACCTTCTTAAGTTTGCTGTTCAGAAAAATTTAACACCATCATATCTTTCATTGTGAGGCAATGAAAGATGCCTCTCTAGAACTACTCTCACACAATGGAAAAAATAATAGTGCAGAAATCTCTTCTATGCAGCTACAAAGCAGCAGTTAGTGACAATGCCCACAATATTAAACCTGGGAATACTATGCAGTGCGCATACACACACGCACACACACTTTGAATATGTTGAATATTAAAACCCCAATATATTAATATTGCTTGTCTGCCTAGAGCTAGATGGACCATGACCTTAGAGTCAGTTTATAATAAAAGTTGTATCTGCATAATGAACAGTCACAGACTGTTCAATGTGCTAAGATACTTTTTCCAGATTAGCTTCCATAAACTCTCAGGCTTTGGGTCATTATGATTCAGAGATATTACATAACTTTCAAAAATACTGTACTGAAAGACATAACCTAAGCGGGGTGGAAAGTGGGTATGAGACAGAAGAGACAAGACAGGATGGGATGAGAAGATCTCATATAGTTTTGGCCATAACAAGAAAAACTGTGAAAGGTTTTGAAATGATGTTGTTGCAGAAAGCAAAACTACAAAAGCTACTATGTAGAACATATTTCTGTCACCCCACATTTTCCTAAAATAACAAGCAAGTGCAACTCTACCTTCCAATGTTCTTCATGCGCATTTTAGCTTCTGGTGGCATCTCTTCAGGTTCACTCTATTTTCAAAGAAAAGATGAACATAAGAAAATAGTTACAAATTCTAATCAGTAGGAGTAAAATTGTGGCATATGAAATAATGAACACATTACAAGCCTCTTCTAAATTCATGTTTACACTTAATAACTTTATATTTACATTCAGAACAAAGCAGGCAGTTGCAGCTCTATATCTAGAGGGATCAGATCTGAGCCAGGGAGAAGTATGCACGTTTTTCTGACACATGCCCCCTTCCATGAACCTTTTTTTATTCTCAAATTAAAATTCAAGGTTCTATCACCAATACTGCCAAAGACAAAAACCAAAACAGATCCAAGTTCCCCACCCAAAGAACACATAGCATTTACATTTCTCTCATCTGCCTACTGCCAGTTCTATTAAGAAGCAAAGATAACAGACTCAAATTCAAGTCAGAGGGACGATTGGTTTCACACACCAGGGGGCAGTAGTAATGTGTTTTAGAAACACAGGAATAAAAAAAACACTCCAAGTCTGAAAAAAGCAAAGGCTGGAAAAATACTTTAGATTTGTACCGTATATCCGCCTTGTGCAGAAACGGGGAAAATGTCAACTGTCAAATTTTAAAGACAGCTTGGCAACAGAGTGATACCCAACTATGGTGCCTGCTGGCACAGCTGGCTTCTGCTCTCACAAATGGGCTTGCCCCTTCTGTTCTCTGCAAGCCCCCTGCTGTGTCCCAAAATGTGTCCCCTCCAGAGCAAACAGGAGGTGGGGCAGGGCTTCAGGAAGAAGGGGAAATCACTGACACAATATTGGACCTCATGCCAAAGTGTTTAAATTATTTGAAATTCAAATTTCAAAGGGCATTTACACATTTCAGATTTTAGCAGAATCCCATGCCAGTTTGTTGTATTGGACTAGTAGCATATGATACTTTCTCTTTCCTGTACCCATACTCGTCCTGGTCAGAGAATACCATACTTCTCTATTCTAAGAAAATATATTTACTTACATCTTCATCTTCGTTGAAGATTGCTGCTACAGAAAGCGTTTTTGGAGCTAGGGTTGGAGTAGGCTCTTTAGGTTTCTGAAAGAGAACAAAGACAGCACTTGTTTTTTGTCCTATGTTGTGAGGGTTTTTTGTTTTGTTATACGTATTTGTGGTTCTTGTGGTATTTCCCAAATCTACCTGGAAATCCCCATTAGCCACTGAAAGGTGGAATATTTTAGAAAACAACAATAAGCCCCTTAAGTTCTTTAGATGCTTGTCAATGGATATTTGTACCTTTAACCAAGGCTCATGCATTATATTTATTGATATAAGAATATATTAGTGCAGCTATCTTTTACCAGTGTAGCTAAACAATACCACCAGTATTATACTATGTACTCAGTACTGCATAACACCTAAGTCAGAACAAAAATCACCAACTTCAAAAGAATTTTTTCAAGTAAACACCACACCCACCAATAGCTTCCAGAATTTCATTCCCTTGCAGCAGTGTATTATTATAAATGTTTATGGATCAATGAATATTGAAATAAATAGCTTTATGTTTTTTTATGCTTAACTAGCATCCTACCCCAAAAACACCTTTATACAACTTTATAATTCACAAGAAATTGTGAATAGGTATATGTCAATCTGAACTTTTTCTACAGTTTATTACTGCTGATCATGGCATGCGTAAGAAGGTTAGCATAACCTCATCTCAAATGTGTCCTGGAAAGCATTAGGAGACATACTGCGCTCCTAATTCCTTGTGTAAAGATCATCATATGTAAATCTAATGAAAATATTATTAAGCAAATAAGCAAAATAGGAAATAGACACATTAGCACATTAGAATGATTGGAATTATAGGAAAGCCTCAAAGCCCACCTTCCTCCTCCATCAGAATTCATTGCCTAAAATGAATACAAAACCCTTAGATTTTCAATTGTTAGTTAGCTTTTGAAGCCCCAACCAAGAACTTACTCAGCATTCTCCAATTGTGTATACCTGGACAGGCATAATCTACCACATTTCCATTTCCTGACTTGCTACTAGTGTGGGTTCTGTGGCAAAATTGCCACACTCACTTTCTGTAGATTTTTGAGACTAGTTAGGGATTCTTTCACTCTTTAGACTAAAGTGTGTTGGTACTGTAGGATATGCTGCCTGTATATCTATTCTGTCACCTTCATTTCATATAATAAACCAAGCTTTCTTTAATCCTTTTGTGTAAGAACTTCCTTTGGGCATAAGATTAAGTGTTGACATAGTCATAACAGATGTACACCATAACTCTCGCAAAAGATCCTTAAACTCTTGGCAGTGTGTGTATGAATACACGTGCATGCTAGACATACGTAGTTTGTAACAGTTACAATATTTTAAATGTTTATTGATCAATGAATAATGAAATAAAAAGCTTTAATTTGTTTTTTTACTACTTTACTAGCATGCTACCACAAAAAATACATTGCAACTTTATAATTCACAATAAAACATTCCAATAACTTACAGTTGCTCCAAGCTTGATGGATATTGCAGGTGGTTTCTTTGCAACCTGTGTGCCAATGGCAAACCCAAACTTGGACATTTTGGCAGGAGCAGGCTTTGTGTCGGGGTCGTCAGTTTCTTCATCAGTTGCCGGCTTCTCCACACTGTGACTCGAACTTTCCCCTCCATTACTGGAAGAAACAGTCTTAGTTTTCACAGGTTTTTCTGCCTCTTCTTCAGGTCCTGGTGAAGTCGAAACAACTTACCAAGATGAGCTATTTTTACTGAGTGGACTGATGGGAGCAGCAACCTCATAAAGCACTGTTATGCAGAGGAGACTTTTGCACTTACAGTGTCAGCACCTCCACAACTGTTTATACAGAGCACACTGTAAGAACATAGACATATAGTGAAGGGAGCTCCAATCACGTGACTAATGCAGAACAAAATTCTTCAGTTACACAAAAAGAAATCAAAGTAAGTCTTTAAAGCCACAGGGCACCACTATTACTACTGCCAAGGGCAATTCAGATCAAGGTACAGCAAATTATTAAAGCACACGTCTTGATTGAATAATTTTAGAGGTCTTGCTTTGAACAGCCCCCATTTATACTCATTACTGTATCCATCTTAGATTATCGTTGTAACATTGATATTTAAAGCACAAATGCTTACATCACAATAAAGTTCTTAAGGTGGAATCTAATTGGTGTATTTGCACTCATGGAACAGCTTTTGATCTAGCAGATCACAGATGCCTCTGCTAAGGAACAACAGTGTCCATTGTTTCTCCCTACAACAGTGCCCAGAAAAACTGGACACAGAGAATTGGGAGTCCTGCTGAATAGCAAGGAAGGTGGTACAGGAAGAAATCAGCAAGAAATGCCTCCCCTCTAATTTGCAGAGGCATCTGCTGGAACAAAAGCCCTTCTGCAAGTGCAAAGGCACTAATTGAATTCCATCCTTTGACTTTAAGAAGTTCAGTGAAAAAAGCTTGACATCTTTTAAGAATATAGCACTTGTATTTATATAGCACTTTGTGAGTTCAAAGAAGGAAATCAGGATTAAAAATATGTGACCACCATAAAAAGTCTAAAATGACACATGACTTAAGTTTTTATGCTGAGGGCAGGGAAAAAGAAGAGGAAATGGCTCCAGTCCTTGAAAAATTCACAACCAGTGTGCAACTGTACTCAAATTACAGGGATTGTTACTCAAATTAGAGTTGTTTTAACCAGCAAAAAAAGGGAAGTCTGTCCATCTCTTATTATTCAATTCAATTCATTCATTATACTTAGTTAATCCCAAAATGTTACCTGGCCTAGTCTACAGTGGGAATTGTATAATACTGCAGGTGGGTAGCACCAATATTGTATCTTTTCATGTGCACTGGCTAACTTTATACAGATTAACAGGGCACCTTCCTACATTCTTAGAAAAGGATTAGACAAATTCATGGAAGGTTATGAATGCTACTAGCCACAATGGCTATGTTCTTCCACAACACATGGAAGCAACATGCCTCTGAATATCAGTTGCTGGGAATTGCAGGTGGTCAGAGCACTGTTGCATTCAGGCTTACAGTCTTCTCATAAGCATCTGGATAGTCATTGAGAGACTAGGATACTGGACTGGATGGGCCTTTGGACTGATCCAGCAGGGCTCTTTTATATTCTTAAGACATTAAAAGTTATAACAATACATAGAGTAGATGGTTTTTAACACCTGCTTAACACTGTTCTGTCTCCCCAGGCATTTTTCAGAACATTGATATCAGCTGTATGCAAACGTGCCTCTGTTCATTGCGTAATTTTACTGGATTCATTTTTATTTTATGGTACACTCCTCTGACTTTTTTAAAAAAATATGAAAGTCAATAAACATCCTTAAAAATACTGAAAACTGTAATGCCAAATTGAGAATATGGGCATATGGTTGAACACATTTAGTTGGAAACGTAACTTTTATTCCTAAAAAATGACACGACGAAGTTTCAGAAGAAAGCAACTACTGTAGCATTATCCCTGTAAAGGAATAGTGTGTGTTTGTAGTCAAACCCTGCCCATGTCCAGCTACACGAAAGCCCCTGAGAGTCCAGTGTGGCGTCTATAGAGGACTGCAGCCTTGGGCCAATGTTGCGCTAAATTTTGAAGGGGCTGGGATTATTTACACGGGCGCCCATCTGCTTTACGAAACAGCTGCACTTCAGCAGCGCAATGTTTCAGGCCAAGCGGCTCTTTGCAATCCTTGCCCTGCCACAGGGCGGGATATACTGTATATTAGGCACTACGACGTCTTCCACGAGGGGTTCCCACTCCCGCCCAACCACAGGGACGGGGAAGAAGCGGAATTGTGAAGGATACAGAAAGCCGAGGCACAGGGAAATGCAGCATTCAGGCAGCCCGGGGGGGGGGAGGGATTTTGGTGAGTCTGCAGAACGACCTTCACCCACGGAAGCCACGGGGCGTCAGAAGCCGCGCGAAAGACGAGGCTGCGACTTGGCTCCCGTCAGAGGCAGCGAACTCGCCTCCGGTAGGCAGCCAAATCTCTCAAGGGCTCTTGAGGGAAGAAGGTGGTACCTGGAGCCCGCCGCCGCTCCCCCCTCCGAAACCAGCCCTCGACCCTCTCCCGCCCAAACCCAGCCACAAGCGGGGGCCCCCCCACACACACCCGACCAGAGCCTCGCATAGCAACGCAGCGTGTTTACCTCCGTCAAGAAGCGGCCGCTTCAGCTTCACGTCGCCTCCTTTGCCGTCCGCCATTTTGCCCCACCTCCTCCTCCCCGCGGCTGCGTCCACGGACTATGCGCAGCGGCGCCGCTCAAGCCCGCCCACGCCTCGCGCCGTCAGCGGGAGCAGAGAAGAGGCGGCTAGAGAGGCTCCTGCGTTCTCTCGGCTCGCTCCGCTTCCGGGCGGAAGTGGTCGCAACTTTCGGCTTGGAGCGGCCGCTTCTTTTCTAGCAGTAGACGCAAGGGGATTGGTGCCTGTTGATTGGTCGTGACGTCATCCCTCGCGCTTCGCTCCTCCCCCCCCGCACCCAGCCACCCTCCATCGTTCAGGTCTCAGGAGCGCCGTCATTTTCGGAGAATCTTCGTTGGAAGGGAGCAAGAGGGTCATCTACTCCAACCCCCTGCAATGCAGGAATCTTTTTTTGCCCGCTGCGGGACTCAAGCCCTGAGGTTAAAGAGTCTCATGCTCTAGCGACTGAGCTGAATTAGGGCGAGGGAGTCTCCTTGACTCAAGAGCTCGAGGCCATCCAGTGAAATTGGCAGCGCATTCCGGAGGGATAAAAGCCCGCGCGCTAGTAGTACGTGGGAAGGAGCTGCCAAAATATGGCTGAAGGTGGCTTTAAGGGGGGCTCTCCACAGTGATCCATGCGACAGTGTCTCATAGGATATATAAGATATACTCGGAGGAGTTGCTGTGCTCACTAGGCCTGGCCTCCTGAGTCGACTGTTTCCTTGAGTAAAGAGTTAACTTCACTTATCCTCCTACACCAAAGAGTCCCAAGTAAGCTTAGCAGTCATGGGATAATGGGCCATGTGTTCTTCTGGATCAGTAATTGTTTAAGGAGCAGCAAGTAGAAACAAATGGACAGTTTTCACAGAGGGTTATAACAAATGGGCCCCCTCAAGCATCTATGTGTGACTGATGCTTTTTAACTGGTTCATAATGATCTGGAATTCAGGGTGAGAAGTGAAGTAGTCACATCTGTTGGTGACATCAAATAGTTCAGGATAAAAGCAAAAACAGGATTTTGAGTTCCAAAAATGATCTCTCCAAACTGGGTGAATGGGTATCAAGAAATACAATTCAATGTATGCAAGTCTAAAGTGATGCACATTAGGACAAAAAAAACCCTTGACATATATGCTAATAAGAGTGAATTGGTAAGCAAAGGTTTGGGGACAGCATAATGAAAATGTTGATTCATGCACAGCAGCTGTGAAAAATGTGAATTCTGTATTAGGAGACATTAGGAAAGAAACTGAAAAGATGTATAAATTATGCAAGTTTATAGAAAGGTTTTGTCCCTGTCAAAATACCTGGAGTAATCTGATGAAACTGAATATGGGAAGATTCAGCAAAACAAAAGGAAGTACTTCTTCATACAGCACATAAACTGGAATTTGCTGTCAGACAATGTATTGATGGCCACCAATTTGGATGGAGTTGATGGAGAATAAGGCCACAGTGGTACCTCGGGTTAAGAACTTAATTCGTTCTGGAGGTCCGTTCTTAACCTGAAACTGTTCTTAATCTGAGGTACCACTTTAGCTAATGGGGCCTCCTGCTGCCGCTGCACAATTTCTGTTCTCATCCTGAAGCAAAGTTCTTAACCCAAGGTACTATTTCTGGGTTGGCAGTCTGTAACCTGAAGTGTCTGTAACTTGAGGTACCACTGTATTAATGGTGGCTAGTCAGGTGGATGTATACTACCTCTGTATGCCTCTGAACACCAGATACTAGGGAACATGAACGGGGAGAGCTGCATTCATATTCTGCTTTTGGGCTTTCCATAGACATGTACTTGACTATTGATGGGTCATGAATCTGATCCTGCAGGATCTTCTTATGTTCTTAGAATTGTTTTTTCTATTGTATCTTTTGCTGTAATTATCAGTTGTTCAATGCTTGGGTGGCCCTTGGGCCAAAAAGCACCACATAAGCCACAATAATAATGATGGATCCAATTTGTTATTAATATTAAATATCTAGCTTTTTCCTTGTAAAAAAAAGGCCACATAACTAACATAAATCAAATAAATTTCCATTTATTTTTCAATGCTACCACAGCTAAGCTCGTATTTACATACATCTACGTAATACCTGAATACAATGGTCATATTTGCAATTTACCAGAAAATGTAGGTTCCTTCTTGTCCAACAACTTTATAAAGCAGGTAAAATTCATTGTGCTGCCCTAGCATTCAGAAATTGTTCCTAGTACAGCAACAGCAGCATGCTGCTGAACTCTCAGTTGCTTCAGGTCTGAGCTAACCAGTGGGGACTGAATAAATCTATTCTGCTTTACCAAGTATGAGCACTGACACCCTGGACATAATCGTCTGTGGATCTTTAGAAGCCAAGGGTGCTTGTTAATGATATAAACCTTCATGACCTCATCTTATAGTTAAGTATTGTGAGGGAAGTTCATTTGGCATCCACAGCTTGAAAGCCAATTCCCTTACTAGAATAGGGTAGTGAAGGAGTGAAGGTTACAACATGCACTGTCACATTTTGATATTATTGGGCTCTTGAATAACTTCTGGAACTTATGACTGAATATTGAATAACAGGCAATAAATATGTCACATTCATTTTTGTAGAAAAGCATGTTCTTGTGTCACTTTGGCTGACACCCATGCAACTCAGGAGCTAGAGAAAAGTTTAAGCAGTTAAAATCTTAAGGTTAAATCTTGATTTAATTCAAACTTACAATCAGTCAAACACTGGGTGGCTAACATGCTATTAAGACACATCTTCCCACCAGTTTTTCTGTGTTTGCCGCCTGGAGAAATTTTGTGCAAACTGCTTGTGTGCCTTTCTTTGACCAGCCATTTTTTCATGCAACTTTGTTTTCTTCCATGTGTCAATTTGCTGCTTTGACCAGGAAGACATATCCACAAAGCCTTCGTGTTTTCTTTGTGGAACAAACTGCAGAGCTTCCTTCCAATTCCCAGTATCTTTCAGTGTTAATAAGATGCGCATCATTTGATCCAGAGTGAGATTTTTGGCACCCTCCGCCCATTGCAAGCACCTATCCAAAGGAAGGCGTGCTGTTGCCAAGTCCAGCCGTTTTGCATTAGCAAGGGAGAGTCCAGTCTTCATTGATTTATCAACTATTGACCCAATTACATAGATCTTATCATGCTCAAATGTTTTCATCACATTGGGAGAATCAGCAGTTAAGTAGACAAGTTGATCTTTTGGAAAGACTTCAACATAAGACTTTTCTGTCACAGTCACAAACAACTTGTCCCATGCTTCTCCGTAACGTTTGACAAATTCTTTGTGATACGGACCACCTGCTTGGAGATTACAATAATGCAAGTGAAATGGGTCCAAAGCTCTACGATTGGCCCCTTCAGATTCCATCAGCTGTTTCACTGTATTCTCCATTTCTCTGCGTGACATATAATTTTCGTAGTTCATATCATACACCAGAGGCTGACCAAAGATCATAGACTGGGCTGCTCTCCAGTTGTACACGGCATCCTGTGACCTAGTCCAAAACTTAGGGAGAAATGTATTTGGTAGCTCACCACCAGCATTTTCCTGAGTGTTTAGCATTCGTTCCTTGTTTGCTTCGTTTCGTTTTTCTTTCTTTTCTCTGTCAGCTTTCTTCCTGTTTTCTTTTATAGCCAAGAATTTTAAGTACTTCCTTATGGAACTCTTGGTGGGACATTCATTTAAAGTCTTGAAATCTTCTTCGCTAATATTTTCTGGAACAAGTCTGCCCGATAGTCTCCACATCTCAATAAGTTCCCTAGTAACCGCTAAAGGAGAATCTTCTTCACTCTGTGATGTTCTTTCAGTGGCTTCTTCTTGCTGTGCAGACCGCATTACATGTTTCCATCCATCCAAATCTAGTTTCTCAGTAGCACTCTGGGAGGAGTCCTTGTTCAACCAAGCCGACAAAACCAAAGTTCTACAAGTTATGACTCTGCTGGGCATTATTAAAAATAATCTCCTTTTTGTCCCATCTGATGCTGCTAATTGGAAGACAGATCTTCTAATAATATTAAATAGATGCATATTTTAGAAGTTTGTAATTGGAAATGTGATGTTCGGCTGTTATCTGCAATTATACATAGAAAACAGAAGATAATTCAGTATTAGCAAGCTGAAGCTGCTCCTAATCTTAACTATCTTAAAATACTGCTCACTTTGTATGTCAGTAAAAACATGCATTCTAGTCTTGTAATAGAGCAAGGGAGAATTGATGAAGCTGTCTAAAGGTGCCGTTCTGTACCTCTTTACCTAGAAGTAAACTCAATGGGACTTTCTTCAGGGTAAAGATTTAAAGGAGTGGGGGAACCATGGCTAAAAGGCAGCCTTCTGAGTGTTTCTTCTGACCGACAGGACCCTTCCTATGCAATGCCACACCCCCTCACTAGCCCTCCTTCATGCCCTGCTTGAGTGTATCTGGAATGTGTCACTGAACTGTAATAATGTCATTTACTTCCTAGAAGAGGAGGAGGGGTATTGTAGAAATGGCTGGTTTTTGGGTGGCTACAATCCACTGCTCCACCCTCTTTTGCCCCTGACCCTGCCCTCCACTTGCATACAGCCCCTGGAAGTCTCCTCATAAGGGAATGCAACCCTAAAACTAAAACAAGCTCCCCGAGCCCTGATGAATAGGATTGTACTGTGGAAATTAAGAGACTTTAGGCAACTGAAAATGCCAGTTGGAGAAATGAATGTGATAGATACTGAGAAATAAAAGGCTGGACATAAAAGGAAGAGCTGGGGTGGGACAAAGCTGTGGGATGCTTCAAAGGGAGGGATAAGTTTGTGTCTTATGAATAACTTGTATGGATTTAAGGAGGAGCATCAGAGTTCCTCAGTTCAATAACCCTGCCCTCTATCATAGCTCCATGCATTGATATTTTAACAACAAATAACACTGAAGAACCAATAGAATTATCAGCCTTTTCTCCTTTCACCCTCATAGGCCCTTCGCTTACATCAGCAACAAAGTCATCCAATTTCAAAGCATAATGCAAAAGTCTTCCTAACTGGGGAAAATAGATATGAACTTTAGATTAGACATTTATTAAAAACTCAATATTTTGAAATAAAATGTTTAGAAATTCATATGAGAAAATACATTCAAAATGTATTTTTAAAAACCCAAATATTAATGTGGAAACAGCATGTACAAGACTTGTAAATGAACTCATGTGAAAATCTCACAGACCAGAAACTTTTTGATATACCCATCTTTACATGGGCCCCACTAATTTCAGTAAAGCTTTCAAATGAGCTCCATCTGCATTACCATCTTGATTCAAAATAACTTTATATATAACTAATTTTATTGCTGGTGGCGAAATTCAATAAACACAATTTGCATTCCTAAAAAGAGGACTAGGAGCAATTGGGCCTCGGTCGAGAAATCTCTATGAAATAAGAAGATTGGTTTTATAGAAATATTAAGTTACCTTTCCTTTTGTCAAATATGCAGTTACTTGCTACTATGCTTTGAAGCCCACAGGTTCTGGAAGAAAACATAGGTTTGAGAATATTAAAACTGGTTTCCACATGGTTAAAGTGCTTTAAGAAATAAGAAGTTTGACAACTTTCCTCCACCAATGATCAGCTACAGCATCATAGGGAATTGTATTCTAAGCTGCACAAAAGCTACGTGTTATATAGAACTCTTTTGAAGACTTCAGATAACTCTTTTAAGGGTTGTTTTTCCCCCAGGTCAGGCTTCTCACCCCTGTGTCCTTTATCAGGACACCTCCCTTTCACCATCCACACCACTGGGGAAGAGAAACTGAAGAGCCATAGTTCAGTTGTGGAGTACTGTGCAGACGGTCCCAGATTCAATCTCCAGGTAGGCTTTCCTGTTTGAAACCCTAAGAGAGCTGCAGAAAATTCTAAAACAGATGGACCGCTGATCTAGCTTGGTATAAAGCAGCTTCCTATGATCTTTTAACTCCAGACAAGGAAATCAGTTGCCTTTTTTATAAAAGGAGAAGCAGGAAAAAGAGGGAGCTATCTGTTTCTCTATGGCAGCGGTTTTCAACCTGTGGGTCCCCAGATGTTGGAGTACAACTCCCATCATCCCTGAGCTGTGGCCTTGCTAGCTAGGGGTGGTGGGAGTTGTAGTTCAACAACATCTGGGGACCCACAGATTGAGAAAGGCTGCTCTATGGAATCACCATTCACTGTCTTGTGCACTTTTAACACCCATCTTCTAGCTCCACACACATTCGTTCAAGTGACTTCCTCACAGCAGCCACAGTAATACACAGCTAAGTGCTCTTAAGCCCATTAGTTTCAACCAGATGGAGGCTACAAACCTATAGCATACAGTAGGCATGGCCAAACTTGGCCCTCCCCATGTTTTTGAGACTACAACTCCCATCATCCCTAGCTAACGACAGTGGTCATGGATGATGGGAATTGTAGTCCCAAAACATCTGGAGGGCCAAGTTTGGCCATGCCTGGGATACAGGTTTACCTAGGAGTAACTCTTAGCTGGACTTCAGGGGACTTACTTCTGAGTAGGTACACCCAGAAATCCAGCGTGCGCCTGCGCAATATTTGAAGGTCCGTAATGCCGTTCACATTCTGCTATCCCAGCATTACACCCGCTCAGAAAATATTTTCGGCGCCATCCTAAACAATCACCTCAAACAACTGAAGCTCCGCGCGCTCCACTCCTCCGCACATGCCCGGTCCGGCTCCAATCACCTTCCCGCCGGAAGTGGGTATGCGGATGCTCCCTTCTCCCCCCTTCGAATAGTTCCGCTAACGTCACTAGGCCATTTATCCATTTCGGAAGGAGCTGAGCAATCGTTGCCACTGGTTGGCCGGTTTCCGAGCCAATCACGGGGCGCTGCAAGTAGAGAAGTAAGAGCTTCGCGACTGGCCGCTTTCTGCGTGAAAGAAGCTTGTGCGCATGCGCTCCGCATGGGTCGGTGGCCGCGCTGCAGCAGCTTGTCTGAGCCTCCCCACCTCTCTCAATCGCCATGAGCTTCTTGCTGCCCAAGCTCGGCAGCAAAAAGGAGGTGGATGAGGCAATCAAGAGCGTGGCCGAGAAAGTCCTGGTCCTCCGCTTTGGTAGAGATGAAGATCGTGTCTGCATGCAGCTGGACGATATTGTGAGCAGGCGAATTTTGCTCCTTGCAATCGCATTTCCCCCCCCTCCCAGTAGGAATTTGTTGTTTGGGACAACCAAGTCAGACACTTTTTCCCCACACACACCTACCGCTGTGAACAAAAGAGGACATTTTACTGCCAAATTTCATATGAAAGTATTCAGTGTTAATAAGAAGTAATTTAATAATAAATGTTTTATTAATAAAGTAGCATCTGCGTACATTGTGCTTTACAAAGAACGGGTCCCATGCAGAGGCTTAAGTATAAAAATATAATAAGGGAAGTCAGGAGGGCAAGGGAGGGAAAAGGAGACACTGGGTAAAATATCAAACACTCTTTGGAAGACTTAAATTTCATTTTTACTGGTTTATTTTCCTTCCCCCTTTAAAATATTTACATTACATAGAACTGTATGGCAAGAGATAGTGCTGTTGGTATCCTGGTCCTAACCCAGATTACCAACACTTCAGCCCTACTGATATTTTGACAGCACAAAGTTGTGCTGCTGTTGGCCCCAGAATTAAACTGGCATTAGCTACTCCTTCGTGTCATTCCCGCCCCCACCCCCACCCCGCAAAAAAAGAAAACCCCACATGCACTGGTGCTTCAATTATCAATCTGTTCTCAAAATGTGTTAAATTTAATTCAAGACTTTATTTATTGCCCTATCACATTGGGCAGTATAACTTTTTATAACCTTTTCTCTACAGCTTGCAAAAACATCTCATGACTTAAGTAAAATGGCTGCAATTTACTTGGTGGATGTAAACAAAGTGCCAGTGTACACCCAATATTTTGACATCAGCTATATTCCATCAACTGTCTTCTTTTTCAACGGGCAGCATATGAAGGTGGATTATGGGTAAGTTGGTTTGCATGTAACCCAAGTACAAGCTATTCTTGGAATGATATTTGTTTGTGACCATTTGTGATGTTAGCAAGCATCAACAATGCACAAAAGACCTAATAAATATTATTGTCAGATTTATCATAATATGACCAAGTCCTTATGTTCATTTTATGTTCTGATTTTTACTCCATCCTTCTACATTACTGTAGAAATTAGTGTGGGTGCCACAAGACACTACTTCCCCCCAGTAATTTTAAACATCTATAGCCTTTCCCTAACCCTTAATATTATTAATACTGGCTTCCAAGGTCCTTGGTCATTAATTGATTTTATTGATAAATATTTTACTGAATATTGTTTTGTTTTATTACTGTGGACATAATTGGTATTTTTTTGTAAATGAAAAGTGGTACAGAAATCTTTTAACAATATAGGTAGTTATTTAACACTAAGGAGAGTGGCTGCTTAACTGCAACACAGATTTTTAAATGCATGTATCAAATGTACTATGGAAATTCCCATTACTACGAATCAGGATCTCTATAATAAAGGCCTAACATCTTTTAATTCTTAGTTTTGCTTTGACACTGGAGCACAGAGCATTCATATGTAAACAAATAGACATACATGTGTGTGTATATAGCCAGATGGGATAAAAATCAAATTTGGTATCTTGTCTATAGAACCTATTTGTTAATATTGGAGGCAAGAAGACATTGAGAGGTGTCTATTCTGAGAGGTAAAACCATTATTATTATTAATAATAATACCTTTATTGTCAATGTACAAACTGTGTACAATGAAATTAACTGAGTCTCCCTCCCCCCCACAAAAACACTCAATCTTATTGCACTCTGTTTGTTGCACAACACACCAACCCCGAAAGTTAGTTGCTCTATATTATTTTCCGTTCAGCAGCCTAACAGCCCATGGATAGAAACTGATTTTTAGCCTGTTGGTACGTCTGATTATACTTCTATATCTCCTGCCCAAGGGTAGAAGATTAAAGAGGTGCTGGCCAGGGTGTGAATTGTCCCTGAGAATTTTTCTCGCTCTCCTAAGGCATCGATCCCTTGCGATGTCATCTAGCTGGCTCAGGGGACAGCCCATGATATCATGTGCTGTGTTCATCACCCTCTGTAAATACTTTCTGTGCACAGAAGTCATATCAAATCTAGAGTTGCAAAGGATTTACTTCTTAATTCCAAATGTATCCCACTATATTTTACTCAGAGTAGACTCATTGAAATCAATAGACCTAAATTATTCATGTCCATTAATGGGTTTGGTGTGAATATTGTTTTAACATTGGATACAACCCACAAGAGCCACAGTGAATGTAACAGCCACAGGCTCAGGTTGCTTTAAAGGGGGATGAGACAAAGTTCAAGGAGAAAACAATTGCAGCTGAATAAAACATCCATGTTCAGAGGAGGCCTGCCCTTGAAGCTGCTGCCTTGAATTCCTTGTGGGCTTCATGGAACCATCTCTCTGGAAAACAGAATGCTGGACTACGTTGATCTTTGATCTGATCCAGCAAGGTTCATGTATGCAGGAGCTGGGAACTTTGTTTAGCAGGAAAGTCGCAGTTTGTCCTGGACAACCTCGTGAGCAGGGACAAGCAAAAGTGGAAGTGAAGGATGCAGCTCTTACGTTTGTGTAATAAGCTACATTTCAACCACACATAAACCAAAGGTTTCTACAGTGGTACCTCAGGTTACATACCCTTCAGGTTACATACGCTTCAGGTTACAGACTCTGCTAACCCAGAAATATTACTTTGGGTTAAGAACTTTGCTTCAGGATGAGAACAGAAATTGTGCGCGGCGGCATGGCAGCAGCAGGAGGCCCCATTAGCTAAAGTGGTACCTCAGGTTAAGAACAGTTTCAGGTTAAGAACGGACCTCCGGAACGAATTAACCCGAGATACCACTGTATACCACATTTAACAGGATATATATACCTTTTAATCATCAACGCCTCTAAGCCAGGGGTAGGGAGCCTCTGGCCCACCAGGCCTCCTTATTTGGTCAGCCAGGCTGTTTCATGCAAAACTATCCAGCCCACCTGTCAAAATTGGCCCATAGGGTTCCCCAGCCTGCTGTAAAGTGGCTTGCATCTCTCCATCCAGGTAAGCAAAATGCAACATCACAGTTAAGAACATGTTCCAGCCTGGCCAAGGTACTTGAGGAAGAGTCTCAAAGCCTGAGGTAGAGTCTCAAAAAGCTACATTTGGCCCCTAATGTTTCTCATCCCTGCTTTAAAGACTAAATGATTTGTGGCATGAGTTTTTTTAGGGTCCAGACTTGGAGCTATGACTATTTCAGAATTTAAGCTTCCAGCTTTCATTTACTTTGTTCCCTTTTGCTTTCCTACTTAGATCTCCAGATCACACTAAATTTGTGGGAAGTTTCAAAACAAAACAAGACTTCATAGATTTGATTGAGGTGATTTACCGTGGAGCAATGCGTGGAAAACTCATCGTACGAAGCCCGATTGATCCAAAGAATATTCCCAAGTATGACCTTCTGTATCAAGGCATTTAACGCCCCACTGGGAGAGGAGTGACAGGTGGAATATGAACTGCTTAAAGCTGATGATTCCACGTCTTCTGCAAACATATGCCAATTGCATTTTGAAAGCGAATGGAAGAAAGGAGCCGAGACTGGTCTTTTGTACACAGGATCATATTGGTCAGCCTCAGAGACAGACATTCATTAATTCATTTTTCAATGGAATTGACTGGAATTGCTTAGGCTGCAACTTATTTAATTCTAATATGTCAAAGAAGCTGCAGTAGAATAATATGTTCTTGTTCTAAATAAATGCTTTCGGGCTATATAAGGATATAATTAACATGAATCATTCTAGAGCTGCCATGTCCTGTAGAAGCATCCTGAAGAAAAGGTAAAAGTAATGACTGGGTTTTTATTCTGAAATGTTATAACTACTCCCAATATCTGTCCTAACTTCCCAGCCATCAGCTGAACACTACATCTTCAGAAATATAAGGTATTTCTAGTTTCACAACCCAAAATGGGAAATTCTCTTTTGGAAAAGGATGGGGGTGGGAGTTTAAATGTTAAAATTGGTTTATTTAAAAAAATAAATATTTTAAGGTATTAAGAATTAAACTCAACTGTATTGTGTCAAAGTATGATGATGCAATAGGAAGGATGCATGAGTAAACCCATCTTTCAAGCAAAGTTTTCTCATTCTTTTTGCTGTGCACTGAAGTTTCCACTCAAAATTGCAATGTATACAGTGATTTATTCAGATTAAACCCCAGACTTTTCAAAGGAATTCAGGAAGTTTTGCCAGAAACAAGGAACAGTTGTTACATTTACTTTCACATAAAGCTTCAGAAATGGAAATGGGACAACAAATATTAGACTGGTAATGGTATGCTCCATATTTAGATAAAGTACTTTTACCTCAACGATAAGCTTAAGCATCGAAGCTAGTACAAAACTTCTATTAGAAGAAAAAATGGGTATGAATAACAGATGCTTAACTTGTTTTCATTGATTTGCTCCTTGTAAGAATAGGTGAACGATTGAACGGTTGTTTGGTGAAGATTTTCAGTGCATTCTTAAGATAATTGAAAATGGACTGTAGACTAGAGGAAGGAGCCAGGCTATAATTTTCAGTTCCTGTGGAGACTGTAGGGCAATCCACTTTCACCATAAAGCCTATTGACTTATCTAAAGGTTCACTGTGTGATACCCACTCTCGGCAATGTTTCCATATCCAGGCCTGCACCTGGGAAATGCCTTGTGTCTGGTGCGGTGTGTGGTGTGTGGAGTCAATAAGTGCAACTGCACCTACTTTGTTCATTACCTCTGAAGTTCTCTGCATGAGGAGGTCGATGAAAACCAAACCTCCATAGCCATGGGCAATGAAAGCCACCTTTTCCGCTTTGCTCTTTGAAATGAAATGGTCCCAAACGTAACTTGTATGCTCTTCAGGACTACTGCTCTCTCTCTTTGGGACTGTCAAGGGTAATTGTAGTGGACATGTGGAGTCTTTTTTCTCAGACAGGCTTAAGCATTCTTGTTCTGTCTTCAATTCAATGAAGTTATCATTGGGATTTAAAACAATCACTCCCCAAGAACACTGCAGAGCCTTTATGATGAATGGTATTTGAGATCCGTGTTGGAGCCCTTCATGAACGATGACTTTTCGTCCCCACTGACCTGCACGAAAAGGTCCCTTGTCTTGAAGGAGGACGACCAGAGTTGAGCAATTAGTTAAGGCATCCTCACTCATGAAAAAAAAACTGCAACGTTCATTGTCTGGAGCATCTGTTGGGATGTAAACCTTTTGCAGTTTGCATGTCTTTTCCAGGAGCTCGAAAACATACTGAGTAATTAAGTATCCAAGAGATTGATAATGTCGGTGATTAGCATTATGTGAATCTTGATAATCATAAACAAAAGGTTCATTGGTATCCATATGCCTAAGCTCCCCGTTTTTATTAAAGTCATATTTGAGAGTTTCTGGACATTCTGAACTATTTATTAGTTTTCTGAAGCTCAAATCTTCATTCATCTGTGACCACTACAAATAAAACAGACAGATCATGACATAAACAAAAAACCATACATTTCTTAAACATCTGTATTCAAGTTCTTGTAAAAATATTGTAGAAAATCTTAAAATATCACTGTTCAGGTGGGGATGGCAGTAAAAATTACTTTAACTTAAATCAGTGCAACTTAAAAAGTGACAAATATTTCTGTTTGTTGCATTTGTATCCTGTTCCATTTTCAAAGTAGCACAGAATGATGAGAGGTTTATTAGACGTTTTAAAGTGCTGGTGAGGCCCAAACCCACTATACTTCAGTGTAAAACTTTAGTAGATACCTTCAGAGCATTCTCTGAACTGGGTAATTTTAGCCACCACTGTAGTAACAGATAAAAAGTAGATCAATTTAAACCCAGGATATATTTCTAGTATACTTCTACTTGACTTTTGCCAGTATCCAGTGAAGTAGTTCTATTGGTGCCAAGACTTCTGGCTGTGAAGCAGACCTTTCCCTCCATCTCCTCTCCCCTTATGCCCCCTGTACAGACACCCCTAAATACAGAACATACTTACATTCATGTTGCTTGAGAATAACAGCAAAGGCTTCTAGATACTTCTGGATATTTTGCTTCAGAGATCTGCCTGAACAGAGTACAACTATTAAGATGTTGTAGTTCAGGGCTTATTGTTTCCTAATCAAGTATAGTTATGGTACCAAATTTAAGGGCAAACAATTTACAAACTCAGTTGTGCACCACATGCTAAAGATAGGCATGAAAACTGATAATGTGGGGAAGTGCTTCCTAATCATTGTTGTATTGAGATTTCCTTGTTTTTTGCATTTCATCCAGTTCTTTAATTCTGTAAACACCATACTGAATTCTTAAATTGCTCCCAAGTTAAAACTGCCATACGTGCCCTATATGGCCAAAACACATACAACATTACGTACACCTATGCAATCCACACAACTTGAAATGTGCACTATGTAGAATATTGTAGGCCTACTCCTTATGAATGCGATGTATGAAACTAACCTTGATACCTAGGGGGTTGTAAACCTACATATGCCCACAATACACATCTAAACATCTACTTGCGCATCACAATTTCTACTACTGTATTCAACAAGCTATTTTCAAAGAAGCATTATAGGACTGCACCCTTATTTATATTAAGAAAATTGCATGCAGAAAGATATAACCAAAATCATATACACACACGAAGAAAAGGAAGCAGCAAACTCAGGTTTCCAGTTTTATGGAACTCCCAGATAAATGTAGACCCTGTCCCTGCCTTTCCTCCTCCTCCTCCCTCCTTCTCAGGAGCCTCCTGACATAGGGAAACTCCTTCACACCTTCTTATAATTCAGGCCCCTTATCTGTTACATTCCTTTGGCGAGCACAGAAAGAAAAGGCCATTAGTGGCGAAACAAAGCAGGGACTGAATTACTTCAAGCACTTGATGGATTGCAGGATACAAAAACAGGGAGGAGCTTCAAAGGGTATCTGAAAACTTTCCACTAACTTCCTTTGACACATGAAAAAGCAGGCAATATCTTTCAGCAAGCATTTCTGTTTACAGAAGCAAATGGCATTACAGTGGACGCTTGGGTTGCAAACGTGATCCGTGCGGCAGGCACGCTCGCAACCTGCAGCGTTCGCAACCCGTAGTGCCACGTCTGCGCACGCGCGGGTTGAGATTCAGCACTTTTGAGCAATGTGAGATTTAGCGCTTCTGCGCATGCGCGACTGCCGGAACCCGGAAGTAACCCGTTCCAGTACTTCCGGGTTTTGGTGCATCCGTAACCCAAAAAAACGCAACCTGAAGCATCTGTAACCCGAGGTATGACTGTGTGTGTTTGTGTGTGTGTGTGTAGATAGATAGATAGATAGATAGATAGATATAAAAAGACCTTAAAATTCATATAACAGTAATCTCCTCATGCCTAGCTGTTTCTAGAGACAGAAATGAAGATTTTAATATTGCTGGGACTGAGCACAACTGTGTCTACACCTCCAAGCAGAAAGAAAGTGTAAGCCAAGTCATATGAACAATACTGTAGTTGAAATGGGTGAGAGTGCATCTTTAGGAAGAGAAAATGAAAGGGAAACATGATAGCAGTTAGAGCTATGCTTAATTAGCACAAAAGGGCAAGCAACAGGAAACAGGTGGCTGGAACCCAGCCCAGAAAGACATCTCCTTGCAGGGCGTCACTTCATCTCTCATACTGTATTCCGTTTTTTCCAAGGGGCAAACCAGTAACCTTTTTCTCCCTTCGCTTGCGCAACACCCACTGTGTGAAAAGGCAGGCAAGCGCGCTGCAAAGCTCACTCGAGTGGCTTACTATTTTTCTTCCTTTAAATGAACCAACGCAACCACACCCCCATGTTAACTTTTTAAAGCTTTGTTTTCCCGTTGCAGTTTCGAAACAAGACCATGAAGGGATGGCGGGGGGGGGGGAGGCGTGAGTGCATGCGAGGGGAGGGCCTCCTTAGCCAGCCCCGGAGAGGCAAAGTGGGGCGGAGAGAGGCCCGAAAGCCGAGGAGGCTGATGCGCAACGCCCGGCACGTGGCCGCCTGGCTCGGCTTCCCCACCGAAGAGAAAGCGGCGGGGCGGCGCCTGTGCCGGAAGTGCGCAGGGCAGAGCAAGCGGCTCCCGGCGCCACTCCGGATCAACAAAGCCGAGCGCGCTCGGAGGGGTGCCGTGGCGTTTCCGTGGCCAGGTGAGAGGAGAGAGGGGCGGGTGGTGAAGGGGCCGGACCTACCCCGGGTTTGTTTTCTTTCCCCCGGAACACGCCCGGATCCGCTTCCTTTCTGAGGGATGCTGGTCCTGCGGTCGTGATTGCATTTTAAATACTCCCAGGCACCATAAATAATGTGCTGTTTGTCCCATCAGAGGCGAGCGGGTGGGATCGGGGGAGGCTCATCTGTGTTTTTAATAGGAGTTGACGGCGTAGCTCTTTTGCCAGTGTGCCTTTCTTACTCCCATGTAAACGCGTTTAGGATTGCAGTCTCAGTCCCTGTGCATGCTTGCTCGGAAGGAAGCCGGGCTGCTTTCGGTTGGCGTCCACGTCCTAGTTAAACGTACACAGGGGCTTGTAAATCCCCAGGTTTTATATATTATGCATATCTCGAAGTGTCCTAAACGACTAAACAACAACAACGAAGCCCTTGCCCACCTGTCTTACAGAAAGGAGTCCTTGTTGCTGCCGCAGCGAAAACAACCGAGAGCCTTTTATTGCCTTGGAAATTAACGGATTTTTATGCCATCAGCATTTGGGGGCTCGGGCCATTTCATCAGATGCATGGTGTGTTATCCCCGGTTCACCCAGTCATTAATAATAACAGGAATAGATAAAATACTGTAAACATTGAGGCAATGCAAAAGATGCAGTCTAGATGTACAGATGTTTCCTTGCAAGGTTCAAGTGCACAAAAAGACATTGATTTAGCTATGAAGCTTTTCCTATTACTTCGTCTCCAGACCAAGAAAAGGTTTGACTGTGGCATTTTGTCATGTCAAGCATCTAGCTGTTAATTACAAAAGTCTTGCTGAAAGAAGGGTGAGACTCTTGTTGTCAGGTGATTTTTAGAGAACAACCTTGTTTACAGTGACATGCAGCTTTTGGTTTTTGTCCCCCCCCCCCCAATTGTTCATTGATACAGTCATACCTTGGGATAAATACGCTTCAGGTTGAGCGCTTTCAGGTTGCGCTCCGCAGCGACCTGGAAGTAACGGAGTGCGTTACTTCCAGGTTTCTCCACTCGTGCATGTGCAGACGGTCAAAATGACATCACGCGCATGTGCGGAAGTGGCGAAACGTGACATGCGCAGACGCACTGTCGCGTCTTACTTTCTATTCGGGATGCGAACGGGGCTCTGGAACGGATCCCGTTCGCATCCCGAGGTACCACTGTATTGTATTGTGTTCTTGTTGCTGTCATGGTGGGTTAATATCTCTACTTCACACACGTGTATGTGTTATAGGGGGAGATGTACCATTTTTACTCTCCCAATTAGAAATTCAACACTAATAGTTAACTAGCACTAACTTGGGCGGTGTGTGTATGTGTCAAACGTGGCTCCTTCCAGGCATCACTGACTGGCCTTCAGAACACTTCCAAGGCTGCGTTCCAGCTGGTTCCGCTTTGCACATTGCATATTTTTGCTTGGTTGGGATGTGTCCTTGAACTCTGATAATGCCTCTTGCTTAACTGGATGAAGGACAGGGAGAGAGATATGTGTGTGTGTGTGTGTGTGTAGGAACTTGCTTCTTTTACAGACATAACATTTACCCTTGTTGCTCTGTCTGGTCAGCCTATCGCTGGCCTCTCTGAAGGTTTCCCAGGAGAGAATGTGACTCTCACGCTAAAAAATAGGTTCCCCAACCCTGCTGCAGATGATGTCTCACACTACCACTTTCCCAGCATCTCTTTCCAAACCAAGCCTTATGGACCACTACATGTCAACCCACAAGGAGATATGCTAACATTACTAGTGATTCACTGAGTGTGCACCAATTATAAAGAGGAGCACGACTCAAAATCCAGACAGAACACAGTACCTATTTGATCTGGGCTATTGATGTTGTAGTCAAATCTGCCAAAAACCACTCAGAAATTTAAACCCAATGGGTCTATTTAGACTCATTTACACATAATGTTCAGTATAGCTAGTGCAGAAAGGGGTGCGGAATAAAGGGGGAAAGGAAGGAACATGCCCGGAGGAGGAAGAAGAGGGAGGAACATGCCAGTCCATGGGGCATTTTCAGTTTCCTCTCCATTGTACCATTACATTTGTACAAGGCCTATGTCAGAATTGTTTTAATAGTCTAAATCTGTGATGCAGAAGATGCCGTACCAATTAGACCTTTTTCTTTCAAAGTAGCGCTTAGCATAGAAAAGGCTCCTGGATTGGTGGATGTTCTGTTTCCCATTCAACTTGGAACTCGCCAAATGAAACGGCACAGACCAGCTTTTTATCAGTTAATGTCCTTGGCAGTAGCAGAAATGAAAACAATAGGCAGGTCGTTAATGCCGCCGCCTTATGATTTGACGTCCTTGGGTTCAGCAGTTGCCTTGGAGCTGTATACAGATTTTGGAGAAAGCAATCACCAGAGAAACATTTTTATTCACCCGGGATGTGCCTACCTTTAACATCTGGGAAATATGCATTGCCTCCTGATGATACTTTAATTAGCTACTTTTGGAAATGCTGATTATAACATCATTCACAATACTGCTACTTTCTGTCTGCCTTTTACAGCAGCAACTATGGAGGGGCATGGAAAAAATTCATCATCAAGTCAGCCTAAAGTAAGTTGTCCTTGATCTACATCCATTATTTTGGGAGTGTAGCTCATAATATTTGGTAGCTTTCCAAATATGTCACCATTTGGATGGATCAGAATAACATTTGCATGTGAATAAACAAATGTATGCCACACTCTTAGAAATGAAAAATTCTAAGTATAAGGAACATTGCTTTGATTTACGTAACATTGATACATGTTTGTACTGTTACTGCATTATACATGGGGCTGAATCTGAAGACAGTTTGGAAACTTCAGCTAGTGCATAATTTGGTGGTCAGGTTTGTCACCTGGACAAGACGGTGTGAACATATTGCACTGATCCTGGTCCAACTGCACTGATTACCAGTTAGTTTCCTGGCCCAATTCACAGTGCTGGTTTAGACTTAAAAAGCCTTAAATGGCTCTCATGAACCAACCCAGACCTTGTGAACATCATCTAAGCCCCTTCTTCTTGTGTCTCCTCCATGAGGAGGGTGGCAATACAAGAGTGGCCCTTTTCTGTGAGCGGTAGACTTGTAATCTAGTGAACCGGGTTTGCGTCTCCGCTCCTCCACATGCAGCTGCTGGGTGACCTTGGGCCAGTCACACTTCTCTGAAGTCTCTCAGCCCCACTCACCTCACAGAGTGTTTGTTGTGGGGGAGGGAGGGAAAGGAGAATGTTAGCCACTTTGAGACTCCTTAAAGGGAGTGAAAGGCGGGATATCAAATCCAAACTCCTCTTCTTCTTGTGGAATGCTTGCCTGATGCCTTCTCTACCCATCTAGGCACCAGGTGAATATGTTCCTCTTTGAGTAGGCCTGATTAACATTCTATAGTCTGTTAAATGTGTTTGTGGGGGAAGGGTTATTGGTTTTTGCTGTATTATGTATTTTGTGTTCTCATTTTATATTTTTATGTCATGAACCGCCCTGTGATCTTTGGATTTAATTGTTGTTGTTGTTGTTGTTGTTGTTGTTAAATGCTGCTGAGCATGCTGTCTTTAACAGTATTCAGAATAAAAGCAAACTAAAACCAGAACAGTCTGCAGACTTCACAGATAAGTAACCTTACTTGTTGCCATCTTCACTGAAAGTCTCACAAGTTCAGTGCCCAGAGTTCCAAATGCGAATATCATAATTTACTAGTTTCTGTACCTTAACTCTTTTTTTCCTTGAATGTTAGTGTGGGGAGTTCAATGTTGTTTTGTTGTTTTCTTTTCCATTCTTTTGCTGCAAAAAATGCAAATGCAATGTTTCATTCCAGTTTCGAATACCAAAGAAGAAATCCTCACAGTCAGATGATGTCCATGTTCAGTCCCCACTGTCTAGACTTTCCCACCCGTGGGATCGCACATTGCAAGAGGTAAACAGAAGTTTATTGTTTTCTGCACTGCTATGAAGGGCTTGGGAAGAGCTATTTTAGGGCAAGCATTATTCGTGTTTTGAAAATTAAATATTCTGTAATTACAGTGGTATCCCACAAGATGTTGTGTACTACAGTGGTACCTCGGGTTAAGAACTTAATTTGTTCTGGAGGTCCGTTCTTAACCTGAAACTGTTCTTAACCTGTAGCACCACTTTAGCTAATGGGGCCTCCCGCTGCTGCCGCGTGATTTCTGTTCTCATCCTGAAGCCAAGTTCTTAACCCAAGGTACTATTTCTGGGTTAGTGGCATCAGTAACCTGAAGCGTATGTAACCTGAGGTACCACTGTATTTAAATATCTAGTTTTGCACTTTATGATAAATAACACATTGAGCTGACACTTTATGAAAAATGAAGGACGAAACTATTTAACACCTTTCATTTCTTCATTTTGACTGCAGTTTTCTATGCAATAAAAGCAAGATGCGGAGGAGGGGTCTCTCATAAGAAGCACTTATGTCCTCTCTTTCCCACATGCTTGTTGCAAGGACACTGCATCTCAGCAAGCCCATCCATTTAAATGGGCAGGTCTGAAGCAGAGAGACAGACACACAGACAGACAGATATCTCATACACACCCCTTTCTCTCTCATTCAGACACAGACAAAAAGGCAGCAAGTGCCCAGAGAGAAAGAGAGCATCTCAGTGCTATGTACTGAAAGGGGGTTTCCTTTCTCAGTGTACGCCACAGAAAGGCAATAGACTGCCCTTGCGAAAGAATAGCAGGACTCAGTCATGCTTCCTCTTCCCGACTGCTGAGCTGTTCCCTACTTGTGGTGGTGGCAAATTGTACAGGGGAAACCTCCCCACCCTGCAATCTTGTCCCCCCTCTCTGCCATGCTCAGCTGATCAGAGGGAACCAGCAGGACAAAAGAGCCTGAGAGAGGGGGTGGCATGGGGAGAGGCCTGCTGGCTGCATCCAGCCCATGGACTGGAGGATGCCTTGGCTCATCTAGCAGCCTGCTCCTCCTCACATGCATGACTTTGCTTCTGCTGGGAGCATCTGTGCGCTGAAGGCTTGACTAAGGAACCTACTGCTATAAGGAGAGGCCTCCACTTAGAGCAGAGGTGGGGAACCTGTGGTCTTCCAGAGTTACAGGGCTCCCATCAACCCTACAGAGTATGACCAGTGGTCAGAGGTGATGGAAGTTAACAGTCCAGCAATATCTGGAGGGTCATAGTTTTCCAATCCTTTATTGAGAAGGGCAGGTTGGCCAAGCTTCCACAGTGTTTTTGCTCAATGGTGGTGCACTAAGCACAGAGACCTGATGGGAGAAGGGCGGCTATCCTTAAAAGAGATCATTCTGCGCCCTGCACTACGCATGTGCAAGGTCTGAGATCACAGCCTTTGGCTACACATGCAGATTGCTAGTTTTCAGGGATGCAATATGCCAAATTGTGTATATAGTGGTACCTCGGGTTACATACGCTTCAGGTTACAGACGCTTCAGGTTACAGACTCCGCTAACCCAGAAATAGTACCTTGGGTTAAGAACTTTGCTTCAGGATGAGAACAGAAATCGCGTGGTGGTGGCACGGCAGCAGCGGGAGGCCCCATTAGCTAAAGTGGTGCTTCAGGTTAAGAACAGTTTCAGGTTAAGAACGGACCTCTGGAACGAATTAAGTACGTAACCAGAGGTACCACTGTAATTGGAACCCATTGAAAAAGCCTGCAAATACCCCGCTCCACCCCTTCCCCGGTTCCATCCTTTCAGAGATGTTTCAGTGACGTCTTTATTATGATTCTGTGTCACTTCCTGGTTTGGAGCGATTTGTGTTTACATGGTTGCACACATATTGAAAGTGTGTAGGGGGGGGGTCTGCCTGTATAGCATTCCATTTACATAATTTCCATAGATTTGTGGGACATGGAGCAGATTGAATTACTTGTTATAATAGCGAGATAAGAAAGTTAGGAGTTCCATCCACTGTGAAACTGGCTTCATTTGCTGAATGCTTGTGCAGCCCTTTGGGTAAAGTCTAAGGAGTGAGAAGGACCACAGACTCAAGACTGTAACTGAAATAAATGAAATTGTTTGGGAATCTGCTTCATATTGCACCCGACCATTGGTCCATCTAGCCCATTATTGTCAATACTTGCTGGCAGTGGCTTTTCTTCATTTATTTCTGTCCTCTTTTCACACCTCTCCGCCCACCTTGTTCAAACACCCTGCTGCCTGACCGTCAACTTCAGTGGACATCAAGGTCTAAAAATAAAATTTTTAACGCAAAGTGGGGAAGAAAAAGACCTTTTGAGAAACGTTACATCAATGATGAAGGACCAGCATTTGGGTAAGTGGAGGATGCTTCAGAACTCAAGGCCACAGTGCTGAGTATTTTGGGTACTGCAAGCCTATGATGTAGGACAGCAGTGTTTAGCTAATTAAACAGTTAGTTAGCTTGATCAATTAAGGAAAAAAATTAAAATAGTGCTCCTGATTAATCGGATAGTAGGTTTTTAATTTTTTGTAAGTTATCAAAGCTAGATGGCAAGTGCCTTCCTAGAAGAATTCTGTTTTCTTTCACATAGGAGTGAGTATATTTTCTAAGGTGATTCCTGCTATGGTACTGTGTGTACGATCTAGAAACAAAGAAAAAGAAAGAGTGTTTTATTCATATGCAAATGTATGCAGATTTAATCTAGTAGAATGTAGTTGAATCCTGTATCTGTCTGCTCAGAGGAGGTCATTGGGACTTAACTTCCAGGGAAGTGGAATTGCAGCCTACAAGTCATATGCTTGTTCAAACATCTTTAATCAGAAGACAGCCTGACTAGGAAGCCATAGTCTTCAAAGTTGAATTTTTAGGGGATTTAGGTTTCTAAGCTCACCAATCTTGAGGTGATCTGTATTAAAAATAAGCAATGAAACCAGCAAAATATAAAATTGTCTATACCACAACAAAAATATTCATAGAAGTTTAATCTCCACCAGTTTGGGTTTGAATGCCAGTACAAAGAAACAAATCTTGCAACACTTGTGGGAAATTATTGGCTCACTTTGATGAATCTCCAAGAGGAGAATACCATGACTGTATGTCATTGAATAATCCACTGAGAGTGCTCCTCTGTTTCCTCTCAAGGCAAGGGGTGACTTCTAATTTATACAGGAACATACATGAGATTAAACTCATGGGAGATAGATTACTACAATGACTAATACTGACATACATTCATAGTCAAGTTATTTGTAAGTTGTGTTTGTAACAATTCACACAGCCTTGAACGTTATAAACTTTTAATGGCTTGTTGCACATCTAAAACCTCAATATCAAGCATATTTACATGGATATCCAAATGATTTTCAGGTGAGTTTCCACATATACATGGTCTAAGCATAAATATAATCAGAAGTTCTATGTATTGCTTAGACAGACCCGTAACAATTTATGTGACAGTAAAAATGATTATTCCGTATTATAATATAGAATGCAATGAAAATCTTATACCAATTATTAGACCATAATGGGTGGAAGCAGATGCCTGGTCCTGCTATTTGCTAAAGGATTATTCCAGATTTTCTGTTATTTCTCTTACATATTGTTATAAGACTATTTCTTGTCTCTCTTAGTAAAATCAGGCTGATGGTTGGACACCTCAGAGAGTTCATTGTGGGTACCTCCTTGATTTCCATTAGTTCGAATGAAGCGGCGAGCCGTGAGGCTGTATGCTAGGCAAAACTACCAGTGGTCAACCTTGTGGCAACAGAAGGTGGAGGGGAACTTTGCCCTTACATTTCAACACTGCATAGCAGTGGAGGGTGGTGATGCTGCCACAGTCAAGAGATGTGAAAGTGTATTGTTGCTATGTTGGATAGATGTGCCAGCATTGATGCAGGTTGCTGACATCAGTAGGAGCAACAATATCCCCAGCCATCATGTCCCTGTACAATGTTGGCTTCAGCACTCTAACCTCTACTGCTGCCTCTCAGCACAGGAAGGCAATGGAAGGAATCCCTGGTCCATCTCTATCACAACACAACAGATACTAGCATTTTTCCAAGCATACCAGCTCACCCATCACTACTGTGATACTGGAGGTCCAGCTCCGAGGGCCTTTTGGTGGTTCCCTCACTGCGAGAAGAGAAGTTACCGGGAACCAGGCAGAGGGCCTTCTCGGTAGTGGCGCCTGCCCTGTGGAACGCCCTCCCATTAGATGTCAAGGAAATAAACAACTATCTGACTTTTACAAGACATCTGAAGGCAGCCCTGTTTAGGGAAGTTTTTAATGTTTGAAGTTTTATTGTATTTTTTATATTTTGTTGGAAGCCGCCCAGAATGGCTGGGGGAACCCAGCCAGATGAGCAGGGTATAAATAAATAAATAATTATTATTATTATTATTATTATTATTATTATTATTATTATTATTAATTCCCCAGTATTTTTTTTGTTCTTGGTTTGTGGGTGTACACACACACACACACAGTCATGGGAAAAAGAAAATACACCCTCATTTGAATTCTGTCATTCACATGCCACAGTGTAATATGTCATGTGTTTCTGTTCATCTGAGGTTGTATTAACCTAATTTTAAGACCTGCTAAGGAACAGATGATTGTTATTATGTCCTGATATTTAAAACCACAGAATTCAAAGAGGTTTCTGGTTTGGGATGGGGGGAGCTCAGGTTCCCCACCCCAGCTCTAAAAGGTGACAAACAAACGTTCTTTGGGATTGCACTGGTTTGACTGTTGATATGCCCCATGGCAAGCAATTATGTGCTGGAGCAGTGGGTTTTAGGACCGGGCTGTTTTAGATTCCCTCCCTGCTGTGTCTCATGGACTCAGTACACATTACAGTATATATTTGTCTCATTTTACCCATGGAACAACTCTTAGAGGCTAAAAAAGGTTGGCATTGGTGCTTCATCCTTATTTAATGATGCTATTTGGTTGTTATAGAAACTTTTCTACCTGGCTAGTGCTATGCCTATAATTATGAGGGGTAAGGGAAGCTGAGGAGAGGACTTGTATTGTAGGCCTTTCAGGCCTTGCCCACGGGTGGGAAGAGCATTGCTCCCGGGGAGGGAAGAAGGAGCCAGTACAGACACCGAGGGGTTAATTCAGAGAAAGAGCTTTTATTCTGCCATCCGGGTAGCAGAAGGAACCTGCGTGATAATTCACAAGCAAGTACAACTTTTTTCAGCCATTGCACACAGCATATTTTCCCTCCAGCCGCCCCCCGGAGCCCTTCCTCATGAGTTTCCCTGAGCATGGACAGAAACTCCTGTCTTGGGAGTTTCCCAGGAAAAGGGGGTTGAGAAGCCTGCACGTCAGCGTGTCCAAGATTTGTTGCACCTGGGTAAGATAAGCTGGATGCGCGCTGGCAAGGCCACTGGAGGCCTGAGAAGCAAAAATCATTGTTTTCTGAGCCTTTTTGTTACAGCGAAGCTAATGCTAGCTAATGCTTTTCTAGCTACTGAATCCTCAGAGAAAGTAATTTAAAAAGTCTTGAGGTCTGGTTGGGGGGGGTGGACTACACAGGTTTTTGGGTAACCTAACCTGTCCTAACCTGTCCCCTTCAGTATGTAATTGGGGGCCCTTGAAGATTTGCTCAGGGTTCTGCTTCTTGACTTCAAGTCAGTGCAGTGGAGCCTTCAAAGCCTGTGACAAAGCAGATATTATTTTTAATGGCCACTTATTCAGATCATAGGTAAGGTAAAGGTACCCCTGCCCGTACGGGCCAGTCTTGACAGACTCTAGGGTTGTGCGCCCATCTCACTCAAGAGGCCGGGGGCCAGCGCTGTCCAGAGACATTTCCGGGTCACGTGGCCAGCGTGACATCGCTGCTCTGGCGAGCCAGAGCCACACACGGAAATGCCGTTTACCTTCCCGCTAGTAAGCGGTCCCTATTTATCTACTTGCACCCAGGAGTGCTTTTGAACTGCTAGGTTGGCAGGAGCTGGGACCGAGCAATGGGAGCGCACCCCGCCGCGGGGATTCGAACCGCCGACCTTTCTTTTTTTTTTTTTTTTTAATAAAAATTTTTATTTGGTTTTCTGCTTTTATAAAGACAAAACATACACAAAGAAAAAACAAAGACAAAAACATGTATAAAGTCAGCAAATCCCCATTTCATAACCTTGTTCCCTGACTTCCCCCCACCCCCCCTAATGCATCCCTGTTTCAAGATTATGTCAGCAAGTTGATATTTCTCCTCTTAACAATCTTATTCATCTTATTTCCTTTTTTTATAATAAAAATTAGTTTTCATAAGTTGGACTTAAGTTCTCTTCCATCGATTTTCATTTTATCTTAATTAAGAGTCATCTTAACCAAACCTAAAAGTCTTAAGAGTTTTTAAGAGTCTCTTCTTCCCTCCCTCCCATCCCCGGTTTTTGTCCCTTCCCAATAAAAATCCAAATTCGAAGTTCTCAGCCTGGGTTCCTCACGTCCGAGGCTTTCAAATCTATTTCCGTTCCTCTCCGCCTGTCCTGTTGGTAGTCCTTTACAGCAGTCGTCAGATCTGGGAAAAGTTCTTTCACCATCAAAATATGTCCTCTTCCAACAAGAAGATTCAAAGGTGGCTGCTGGAGTATTTCCACAAAGTCTATCTCTTCCAAGTCTAAGTCCAAACGGAGGCCCCAATCATATTTCTTTATTTTAAATTCCTGTACTCCATTTTGTCTTGGGGCCTCCTCCTTCTTCTTCTGTATCTCTCGCAGACTTGTGGTGAATATGTTCCCAGCGTCTCCTTGTTTGTATTCCACAGATGTCAACTTTTGGTTATTACTTCCCAGGATTACTTCTTCTTTTTCTTGTTGTTTAGTCTCTTCCAGCTCTGTAGATATTGTTTCCCAATCAGCTGTGGATTCTTTCTCATTGAGGTCCTCAATACAAAGAGCAGAGTTGCCTGTTCCCAAGGTCATAGTCTCAAGTTGTTTGTTCATGGCCAAACTCTGCTCCTGTAAGATTCCCACCAATTGAAACATCCTTTCGATTTCCACTAGTAACTTTCCTTCCACAGCCATTGTATCCATTGTAGTTTCACAGAGTTCCCCCTAGGGGGAATCTGGTTACTTATTTGCCTTTTCACCAACAATCCTTAAACTGATTATTATTACTTTGTTTCCAACAGTTTCAGCTCAATTATAACTCGTCTTAGTCCATAAAAATCTTAAATGGCAATTTCTCACTTTAAACCGCCCGTTTGGCAGCTTTGACAGCTGTCAAACTCCGCAGCTCTAACGCAGGCACGAAGGCAGGACGTTCCCGAGCCCGGGAGGGGGGGTTGTTTAAAACAGAAGGAAGGTTTCCAAAACTCCACTCTCCTGCACAAAATTTTCCTTTAGTAAAATCTTGAAAGTTAGTGTCCTTTTTAACTCACCCCACCAAGGGTAGGCTCTCCAGCTTATCTCTTGTGTCGTTGCTTAGATGGTCTGCAAGGGGGGGGGGTGCGGACTTCCTTTTAGCACACCCCCCGGTCGTCTCTAATTAAAGGTAAAATTTTTCAAAAGTCCCAATCCGTCTTACTCACGGGTGATTCTTTCAGTCCAAATTTTCAAGGAAGGAAGTCAACGCTCTCCGGTCATGGCTCGCGGCTTCGCTCCACCGAGGTAGCGATCGACTCTCAGTGCCACGCCACCCCCGTATCCCCTCCGCAGCCTTTAAAAAGGCTCTTTGCGAATCAGGGGGGGCGCTTAAGGCACCCGCCGAGTCTTCAGTCCGCAGGCTTCAGCGCCTGCGGTTTTTAAGGGTCCCCGCGTCGCCGGCGCGGCAAAGACCCATCCTCAGTGGAGCCGATTCCCTCCGGAGCTCGGAGGGAATCCGCCATTTCCAGATCGCGTCAACCCGGAAGTCCGAACCGCCGACCTTTCGATCGGCAAGCCCTAGGCACTGAGGCTTTTACCCACAGCGCCACCCGCGTCCCCTCAGAACATAGGTATAACTATGTAAAGCAAAGAATGTTTCCATAAATGTACTGATTTTATTTTGTGCAGCCCAGCTTGCGCTGCTTTCATTTTACTTTCACTTTAGGCTTGAGTCAATAATCTTATAAAATAGATACCGTTGTCTCTGTTGCCAGCAGTAGTAAAAGAAACAGGCCGGTTCTTAAATGTGAAGTGAATACATGTCTACATCACTGTGACTATTAGCGTTTCTCAGGCAACAGAACTAGCAGCTGTTCTATGGGAGATGCAACTTGTTTAAAAATGCATGTAGCTGTGACTTTAAGTAAACTAAAGTAAATGCAACTTCCTTTATTTGGTGCTTGTGTTTTATATAGGCACACATTTGTGGAAAATATCTAAGAAGTATCTTGAATACATTAGCATGTGACAGTTTTCTCTGTGCAGACTTGAATCCGGTGCAGCCATATATAATCTCTCTGAGGCCATGTTTACATGCTGCGTTTGCGATAAAGGCATGATAGCCTCCAGGGAAGCCTCTTTATTGTTCTGTGCAGCGTTCATGTCTCTTCTTTGGTTTATGGTTGGCCAGCGTAGCAGCTGCTGGTTTGTACAGTTCTAAAGTTTCTTTTAAAAAAAATACATTTCAACACTGCTAAACAGTCCTGGACTCCAGCTGATTTTCTGAAGTGACCTTGGAAGGAACAAGAAGAGACTGCTCCAATTTCCTGGCATCTCTGAACCCAGTGGAAGACATTACACAGCTGTGAGGCACTTCTAGCCAGGATTTTGAATTGGCTGGTTCTCTTCTAGTACAGCTATTTCTTTTCTAGGTTGAAGTCCTGATTTCTCTGGCTTCCTTAGGATTATTCTGTATCAGAAAATTTCCACCTTGGCTTTTGCAGAGTTTTACATTGCCATTCATAATCTTTCAGTGAAGTCATCTAATTTTCATTTGTCACTTCTGAAGACATAAATTAGTGCACTGCAGGTGCCTCTGAAACAAGCATTGGTAAACTTTTAAGGCATGATTCACTAGGTTCCCTTTAAAGAAGGCTTCAGTGGCCAAGCACACAATATATAGTAAGCAAAGCTTTCTCAATGAAGAATATGTAAAAAGATTAGGTGTGGAAAGAACATTTACTTCCATCTCTCTAAAATAAAAGACAATATACATTCTTGGCTGAGGGCATCTAAAATGAAAATACAATGTTGGGATTATTACATCCTCGGAAGAATCTTAGTTGAACTCGTGTATCTTATTTAGACTTTAGTTACCTTATTTATCATCATCATTATTATTATATGTATGACAGGCAACCCAAAGTTATCTTGACGAATGTCCTGAAGACGGAAATAGGAAGAAAATACATAAAGACACAGCTTATAACTGATATAACTCATGGTGTCCAGTTGCAGTCAGATCAACAAACCTCACCATCTGTTGACAGTGTAGAGATACGGGAAATATTAAGTCTTCTTCAGCAAAACCTTTTTATATCTAGAAGGTATGTTTTGTTAAGTCTGGCTGTCTCAGACATAATACAGCTTTGCCTACATATTATTAAAATAAATTGCATGCGATTTTATTCCCTGTTACGTTAGCCATTTCTCACTTTTCAATGCATCATTATGAAGCACCCTTGTGACTTCCATTTTGGGATTGTTTAGAATGAGATTAAATATGTCTGCATATGTCTCTTGTAAAACTTCAGTTAGCTGCTTTCTAACAGTGGGACTAATTCTAGCTAGGCTATTTGGATTATTCAATAGTGAGTTATTCTCGTAATGCTTAACTTTTGTTTAGCATCATTAACATCTGCAGGAGACATGAATTTCCATTCTTGCCTCTTCCTCCCCCTCAGAAAAGAGTGGGTTGCAGTTTTTTCGCTATTCCCCACCCCACCCCTGCACATGCTGAATCTTCTTTGGACTATTTTCTCAGTCCTTCTCTTTGCAATGAAAACATAATTATGTTACCAATAGCAACTTGTCCATTCCTTTGTGAGCCCCTTGGCTTTCCCATAGGACTTTTTATACTCCTCTCAACCAAACGCTGTGTTTTGCATTGAAATGAAAAATAATTGATTGATAGATAAGGCACGTGGAGAGGTAATAGTTTAACTTTACCTATAGTTCAGTGCAGCTATACTGAACATCAAGAAAAAACATTCATCCCTGAATTGTAGTATTCTGGTTGATTTATATGTCAGTGACTTGCAAGATGTAAGAACCTGGCTTGAGCCAAATATTTTAAATAAGCAAGAAACCTAGTACTGTCGACTTGATGATTAGCAAAGCTACACTTTTCCCTTCTCTTCATCTGCTACAGATGCATTAGAATGCAGAAGGAATTGAATTTTAATTCAGAAGCCTGCATGCAGGCCATAACATAAGATGCAGTGACATAAAAAAGTAGACAAATTGGAGCCACCAACCATAATACAATAAAGTTTTAAAAGATCTAGCCTGGATCATCACCATAGGAAGGCAGTGCCTGCCATATTCAGTAGCATGTTCTTGGTTTGCACCATTACTCATGCATACAAAGTGGGTTGAAAAATAATTTTGCAATAGTCTTGTACTTTTGAACAGATAGCCATCTCTACGTCGGTCTATTTTTGCTGCTCCTTCTCTTCAGTGTCAGCAGATATGATTGGCACATCCAAGAATATCAGCCAGTGGCTTCTGAAATGATGGCAAAAGACCACAATTAATCAGGGTTTTGTCATTCATTTTTGTATATGTAGTTTGTCAGCTTATAGCTATTTAAATAGTAAGATCTGCTATAGTTGATCATTTTTTCTTCTGTTGAGAGCGGATTTACATTTTTTGCATGACATTTAATAAAACAGTGCCAAGATGCCAACAGGAGCTTAAAATTATCGGTAACACTTCTTCTGATAGATCTTATCTGAATCTGTCCTTTGAGACCCTTCACTTATTTGCCATCATCTGTTTTTCTTCAGTTTTATGGTAAACGTCTTGATAGTTATGTTTAATAAAACTCGGGATTACTTAAACAGTTTCAATACAATAATTCAACCAAACATTCATTTGATGGGTTTCAGAATGCTAATTATTATATGTATGGCAGGCAACCCAAAGTTACCTTGACAGATGTTCTGAAGACGAAAACAGGAAGAAAATACATTCAAAGGCACCTTTTAACTGATCCTAGTCTATCTGATGCTAACAAGTTGCAATCAGATGAAAAGACCTCCTCAACCATTGCCAGCCTAGAGTCATGTCAAAAAATAAGCTCTCAAGAAAGCCGTATTTTACCTAGAAGGTACGTCATTCAGCAATTTATTGATTTTATTTATTTATTTATTTTTTGGTCCTTAATTTATCACTAAAACTATGATTTGATTGAAAACAATACATACAGGAATGTACGTAATCACCATTGGTCACAATCCGGTCAAAGTTAATTACTTTTAAATGCCATTGATTTCAGCTGGAGAGCTACGCACATGCTTAATTCACTAATTGAAATCAGTAGGATTTTGAATAACTTTGACCCTTTGTTTTTGTGCAAGCTTATGTTTTGTTTTCATTCATAGCCATGATTTGCAATGATTGCCATGGAGGTAACGCTACCTGTAGAATAATGCCTTTCACCTCTATCCCTCCAAAAATACTTTTATGGAGGAAAGCATTTTTTCAGAATTTTGAGTGTGCCAACATGGAAATAAATCAGAAGCCAGCATAATATCCCTACATACTACCTAAAATATAAAACTTAAAGCTTAGAGGTTCTTTTTAAAGCATGATGGAAGCTATACTGTATTTGGAATTCAACTCTTTCCATCATAGCACTTAATATAAAACTGTAGCTATATGCTGGAGCTGTCATACTAAAGACCTAGAACTCATTTCGTCCCTTTGTGTTAGGCTAGTGCAGAAGTTGTGCATCTGGGCAGCCCACTTCCAACAGTGGTCAACTTCTGGGCAGCCCTCAGACCCCTCTTCCCAACTGATTCCCCCCACCTCTCCTGCCCAGCTGTTTAGCCATAGAGATAGTGTTCAAAATCCCCCAGGCACATTTTGTGATTGGCGCTAGTCCAACTGTGACCAAGTGAAGATGTCTTGTTGCCAGGTTGTGCAACTGACATCTACACCACCTGGCTGGCACGCAGCAGCGTTTTCTGCTGCTGCATGCACCCCAGCAACAAAATACACTGCTGCCTGCCAGCCAGCCAATCCGTGATGTCTTGTCGCTGTTTTATTCTGGCTTGTTTTACTTGCTATTTTAATGTGTTGTAAACCACTTGGACATTTTTTTCTTTAAAATGTAAAGTGGCATAAAATGAAATGAATAATGAAAACATTAATAAGCTCCATTGTAAAAAAGAAATGACGACTAGACTATCGGTTGTGGCAACCATAGCCTAGGTTTCAGGTGCTTATATATCTGAGTTTCTAACAGAGAAGGCTCTCTAGCTATTCCTTGTGCTTATTAGCTGGGCAGCAGAAGGAGGTACATGATGGGGTCACTGCAATCCCTTTACACGCCTCCTCACTTTATGTGGGATGCCTTTGAAGTGGCAATGAATTTGGTACAAAATGTGACTGCTAGGATGCTGACTGGAACTGGTAAATTGGAGCACATTACCACAATCATGTTTTATCTAAGCTGGCTATCTGTTTTCAACCTTTATTCAAGGTGCTAGCTTTGCCCTTGAAAGTTGTCAACAGTTTTCTTAAGAGTCCTCTCTCCCCTCCTCCAAAAGAAGATGGCGGCTTATATGGGCCACTTTAAGAGGCCTTTCTTCAGGTTCCTCTGTTGTCAGACGTGTGATGAGTTTGTACATCAAATGGTCTGCTCTGCAGTGGTGTTCAGAATTTAGGACAAATTTCCTAGGGAGCTTCCATCCCAGGTGACAAAGACTTATTTCAGCAGACTTTTTGTGGGGTACTAGATTAATTTGCAACTACTGCTGCTTCCAATTCTGCTTTGCTTTGTTTATTTCAATAATGTTACACTAAATGTACGTTTGGTTTTTGTAAGCCATCTTGACTATGGAAGGGTGGGGTACGGCTACTGGAAATCCATAAGTTTATGACATAGTATGTGACAAGCCGGTGCTATGCAAACGAGCCAGTAGTTATTTTAAAATGGAGGAAAAATATGGTTTACTTTAAAGCAGAAACACTCAAACTCAGTATGGGTTGTTTGGCATTTCTTCATTTCTTTTACTAGAAAACAGAAGGGGGGACAAACAATAATAGAGGGAACAGACAGTATTTGTTATTGCGTCTTCAGAATGCAGGCATACCTCAGAGATATTCCGGGTTCAGTTCCAGACCACTGCAATCAAGCAAATGCCACAGTAAAGGGAGTCACACCATTTATACTGTTTCCCAGTGCATATACTATACTGTGGTCTATTAAGCCAGGCCTCCCCCCCCCCCCCCGGCTGAAGGGGCAGGAGGGGGAAAACCCAGCTGCAGCCCTAGCCAGCTCCACTTCAGTGGCCAGAAGAGGGGCAGTGGGGACTTGGCTGCCTGCAGCTGCACCCACATCCTCATGAGGAGCAATATCTGCAGAGCACAGCAAAATGAAGTATGCCTGTATATAGCACTTGGGCTTGAAATATTTGTATGTGATTGCTTGAAATGGTGGACTTCTGGGTATGGAAAACCAACAGATTAAGCTTTATAGGGAGTAAGTACAGTGGTACCTCGGGTTACAGATGCTTCAGGTTACAGACAGACTACGCTAACCCAGAAATAGTACCTCGGGTTAAGAACTTTGCTTCAGGATGAGAACAGAAATCGTGCTCTGGCAGCGCAGCGGCAGCAGGAGGCCCCATTAGCTAAAGTGGTGTTTCATGTTAATAACAGTTTCAGGTTAAGAACAGACCTCCAGAATGAATTAAGTTCTTAACCCGAGGTACCACTGTACAAGTAACCAACTTTAAAAATTACTTTAGCAGTAGTTTTTGCATTTTACACTCTTGCGAAATGCGTGAAGACTGATACCGGAGATGATAGAGGGGAAATGTGGGTCTTTGATACTTGCACTTGGTTTAACTTTCAAAATTCAGTGTGTTTGAGTTGAATCAACATAACAGATTATTTCCTATTTCTTTCTTTTATTTCACTGAAAATATCCCAGCAAGTCAAAGCCAATAAATATTTTTGTGCTGTTGTTTGTCAATGAGTTCATTTCCTTGGCACAAAGTTTGGACATAAGACTATGAGAGCCAATGTGGTGTGGTGGTTATAGTGCTGGGCTAGGACCTGGGAGACCTGGGTTCAAAATCCCAAGTGGCCACAAAGCTCACTGGGTGACCTTGGGCCAGTCACTGTCTCTCAGGCTAACCTACCTGACCGGGTTCTTGTGGGCATTAAAGAGGGGCGAGGGGGGAGAACTGTGTATGCCACCTTGAGCAGCAGAACACTGTATGCTAAAGAACGGAGGTTACGGAAAATACCATCTGTAAAAGGATGATTAGGAAAGGTGTTCTAACTGGCCAAACAGACATTTATGAGTATAAGGAAAAATAATAATTTCATACTAAACTGGAAGTCTTTTCCTGAGTATTGCTAAATAAATACAGTGGTACCTCCAGTTGTGAACGGGATCTGTTCCAGAGGTCCGGCCGCATCCCAAGGAATTTGGAACTGGAGAACCGCTTCTGCGCATGTGTGCGGCGCAGTTTAGCGCTTCTGCACATGCGTGCGGTGTAGTGAAACCCGGAAAAATGCTTCCGGGTTTGCTGCGCTTGCACCCCAAAGTTTACGTATCCAGAGGGATACCTAAGCAGAGGTACGACTATACATTACTTTCTCAGTCAAAGGGAAGTCTCAAAGTACTTTAAGGTATATTTATATCACAGGAAAATGCATCATAGGAATATATAGTACCGTATTTTTCGCTCTATAGGACACACCCGACCATAGGATGCACCTTGTTTTAGAGGGGGAGAACAAGAAAAAAAATTCTCCCCCTCTCTGCACAGCGCCCCTTCAGCAAAGCGGCAGGAGAAACGGAGCCCGGCTTTCCCCCACCGCCAGCCCCAAAGAGCAGGTCGGGGAGCCCCAGGGACTACACATTCTCTCCATAAGACGCACAGACATTTCCCCTTAGATTTTAAGAGGGGAAAAGTGCTTCTTATCGAGCAAAAATTACGGTATATTAATAGTAAAATTGTTATCCTTGAACAATGTCTGTTGGTTTCTGTATTTCTTTTTCTGTGGGCTGTGTCTAACTCTGTGCGTGTGGGTCTAACACTCACACAACAGTATGTCTTCTCTCCCTGCTCACCCACCCTCTGAAGCAGATTGTGAGGGTTCGAGGGGCTATGGAAAAGGAGAAGAGAAAGTTCCATTCTGCAAGCAGAAGTCTGCTGTGCTAGTGGAAAAGCAGGATTGGTTATGTCCAACTAGTTGTTACTGCTAATGGAAATATAATCACAGAAGATGGAGATAGCTGGATAGATAGATCTCATTTATATTCCTTTAACTTGCTAAAGCAGCGAAAATATAGTGAGATTGTCTTCTGGCTTCTTTCTGATTGATATGCTAAATCAATAGCAATTTATTAAATAATAATAATAATAATAATAATAATAATAATAATAAATTTATTATTTGTACCCCGCCCATTTGTATTTTTTAATATGCCTGCATGTAACACCCATTACTTGATACATAAGTCTAGTTAACTTGTTTAATAACAGCACAATCTTGTACATGGTTTTACCCAGAAGTAAGTTCCATTGTGTGCAGTAGGGCTTACATCCTATTAAGTGCATTTAGGAAGGTAGGGTTGCAGCCCCTGTGTATGTAAACATATTTCTGATTACATATATCAGGGGAAATGGAACATGTTTCTTTTCCCCAATATTCCTTTTCCTCCCTTCTTATAGTATAGAAGGAAGGAGAGACAGAGTGAGCCTAACTTGAAACCATACGTTGTCACAGATATGACGTGACAAAAGGACTTAGACTAAGATTATTTGCCAGAGATGGACTATGAGTCTTGTTGAGATCTGTTTGAAGGAGCATGAATTGGTTTTATTTTTAGTGACCATTGTGAAGGTTATAAACCAGGTAAGCAGTTGTAGCATCGTGAAATATACCTAAACAGTACTCATTGCTCTTGAAAACATATAGGTGATTAATGTTTTGGTGTATTTTTTCCCACAGGCATGGGACATCTCAACGAAGGCTGAATGACCAGAAACCATATAAAGGTGCAGAAACTCATAGCACTTTTTTGCCTTTAAAAAGATGTGACGTGATTCTAGAAGGTTAGTATTTTAGAAATTATGTAATATATTTTAATATTTGGATATGGCATTTGAACTAATGGGGTTTGCTGAGATAGGGTTCTCCTTTGTCCAAACTTAAGACATGGTTCTCCATCTCTGAAACTTTATGCAGTACAGTTTATGAAAGTTTTCTTATCTCCACAAAATAGAAATCCAAGCTCTTTGATCATTTCATCCTTGAAATAAGTTCGACAGATTTCAGGGCATGAAATGTGTTTGTGCCTTAATGCAAATTTTGTAAGCATGCTAATTCCATTAAACTTGATGAAACTTATTTCTGTGTAACGAGTTTAGGGTTAGGGTCTTGGAAATTCAAGGTTGCCCTAATGTTTAGCACAGTTAACTACTCCTTCATAAATTCAGTTAATGAATGATATAGCATGGATATATTTTTCCTGTATATATGAATGATTGGTAATTCCAATTTGTTGAATAACTGAATACAGAAGGTGCCAATTATTTCAGATGCTTAGATTCTTCAATAAGGGATAAAAGGGGCTTTTTTTAGAGGAACAAGGCAAGTTTTAAATATTTCTTACCATGATTGTGAAACATAGAGAACATATATATAAAGAGAGGGAGGAATAGTTTCCAGAGTCAGAATTTAGCTTGGAACATGTGAGGTTGCAGAAAATTTTGGACTCCAGTCTTATCGAGGCTTAGCAGACACAGTAAGTCTTATCTCTGAGCAACATTCATAGGGTTCCCCTGTTAATATCCCCTTTAATGTAAGGTTTTCTGCTTATGTCTAAAGCAGTAAAATATGCATGCATGGCTAAGAGTATGCCTATATTAATTTGCTAATTCCTTTATTTTTTTAAAAAAGACTGTAACATAAAGAATAAAGAAAGAGATTGGCCAGAGAAAACAAGAAAAGATTCCAAGAATCTCTATCCGAGATTGAGGGAAGCAACCTTTCAAATCAATGAGAGCAGAAAAAGAAGGAGTGATGTTTTCTCAAATCAATGGAACATATATTCCTCACCGAAATCACCACTGCCAAGTGTAAGTAACTTTTGCATGTTTTGGTAGCAGTAAAGATTGAGAAATTGTGCCAGTGGCTTATAAGTCATTTTACATTTAATGCATACATACGTCAGTATAAAGTAAGATATAAATCCCTATAGTGTTTGTACCAAGCTCTGAAAATAAAAAGGCTTAGATACATAAGCAAGGCGATCTGTTTTCGAGTCTTATGTGAAAAGCTTTGCACTCAAAAATGGGGTTGTAAAGGTTTAGAAGAATCTAGATTTTCCGGAGGCCTCTAGGCTCAAGGCCATGTTGAGATCTAGATGTTTCTGAGCTTCCCACCTCTGGTGGAGCTCATGATCCTCCCATAGCGGTCCGGGTTTACTCGATGAGAGTGGCAGGTTTTGCAGGAAGGAGGTACTTGATTTTATGAGGAGGAGAACAGCTGGGAGGCCCGTAGCAGTGACTGTCTCCGTGGTCTCATTCGAGGCAATCTGAGGCTCAGGAGCTTCCGTGCAACTTTTTCCACTCCTAACCTTAATCGGGTTCTTCCCACTGTTCCTTTGAGTTCACGCAGTGGTGGACTTAATTGAAAGCTTATTTGTAAATTTCCACGTGTGAAGAAACTTCACTTTTACTGCCCAGAGTCATCCTGAATTTTTCATTTCATTTTAATTTTGCAGAAAGAACAGAGAACAGAACCAATTCAGTCACCTGGCTGCAGGAGCTCAGATGAGAATTGCCAGAGTCATACGCACAGCCCTCAGCAGGAAAATATTCCCCAACCATTGGAAACGGACTGTAGTGAAGCATTTGCCAGCACTAATGAGAACACTGCTGCTCACTGTCCAGGGGAAAAATGGTCCTACTCTTCTCCCAAGAGAAAGCAGCCTTCTGTCACCAGCAAGGATGAGCAGGTTTCCCCACTCCTCAGCTCTCCTCAGAAGAAGAAAGCGAATACAACTCTACCTCCCAAAGAGCCTTTGAATAGATCTGAAAGGAATAAAAAGTCGGCTGATTCAGCTGAACCAAGTATGTAACTATAACTCCCTTCCCTTGTTTCCAGTCACTTGGAGTTAGAGCCTTACACCACTTTCATTTTGCTTTAGTTGTGCTTTCTAGCGATGAAGAAGAGGGACACGCAGAGACAGAAGATCCAGAGGGAGACCTGCAGACTGGGAAAAGCCTCAAACCTGAGAAGAAGGAAGTGGAACAGGAAGCTGTGTTACCTTTGTCAGAAGGGCAGCTATCACAGGTTGCAGCTGAAGGTGAAACAGAACAGGTAAACAATCGGCTCTATAGGAGCTTTTCCCTCCCTTTATCATGCTAGAAGCCATATCATGTATCACTCCTGTATGATCTGGTCACCCCCGTAGATATCAAAAGGATAGCGCACACCACTCTAACCAAATTTTCAGTGGAGCTTACTTCTCGAAGCTCTTCTTAGAATTACGGCCTCACAGTGAATTCTATTCCTTTGGTAATAGCTGCATAAATGGCACCACCGTGTGGCAAAAAATGATTACCAGGGATTCAGTACATGATCAGCCTGGTACATTCAGTATGGTACCTTATCATTTGCTTCAAGCAGTAGAAACTTGATTGTTCTCATTATCTGTGCATGACACATGTAAAACTGGGGATATGGAATGTCTACTTTAAAAATTCTTAGAAGTTTGAAATTTGGAGGAGTGGGGAGAGGAGACAGCCTCAACATGTGTGTGTTGTTTATGTTATAGGTTTCAGCTGAACCACTTAAACCGTGCTCCTCTGCAGATCATAGCACCTTCGGCGATCAGATGGGTCTTGCCTTAGATATAAATTTTGAAATAATTTATATTGGAAAATATAAAGGAAAAGCAACAGGTTGTGCCAGAGTAAGTTTAATGCTACTGACCCATGGCGGTCAGGAGCTTTTCCATAAAGTTCTTGAACTTGCCTTTCTTGAACAACAGCCTCCCCTCATTCTGAGCCAGAAACTGGGGGCAGAAGGCATCAGAATAATTTTTTTAATATAGCACTGGAGTCTGCTATCCAAAGGAAAAAAGTGAAAAGATTCCACTGAGCTTCCAATAGTAGCCCCTAATATGTGCCTAAGCAGCTCTTTGGCTCATGAGCTTTGTCTCTGGCCAGCATCCAGCCTTCAATTGCAAGTATATATATCCTGCTGAGATGTAGCGAGATGTAGACATGCTGGAAAAAAAGGTGCAAAAACTGCAGCCCAAGTGTTATACATTAGCTTGCTTCATTGTATGTTAATGCGATCTTATTTTGAAAGTCCCTCAGTTTAAAAAAGGGTTTGTGGCACGAAGTGGGGATGCTGCTATTTACCTTAAAAATAAGCTACTTTCTTAAAAATAAGTTTATTAAATGTTCACCTTTTGAGTAGAACATACTGTGAGGTGAATGCGCTTAAGATTGCCAGGCAAGTGTTAATTTTAAATTCAAAATTTGCAACATAAAGTTTGGTCAAAACACTCACTTATTTACTTTCCCCTGATTTAATTTCTAATGTATTAGCAGAATGTGTTTCCAAACAGTACTGTTGAAAATACTTTTTCTCTCTCTCTGTTTTCTTTTTAAGTTTACCGTCAGCTACATTCAGATCCCATTTGAAGGTAAGTCTCTATGATATTTTATTGCAGTTTGGTCAGCCATTTATATAAATAACAGTTATGTTTAGAAGATTGAAGTACGCTATGTTTTTACAGTGTTGCAGTTCTCTCTTATTTAGACCAGGAGTGAGGACAAGAGCTCGGAATATGAGGAAAGGGGAGTGAGACTGTACAGCACAGCCTTCTTGATAACCCACCCGCCCCCCCGGCCACCAATAAACCCCCAACTGACATGGTGGGAGTCCCAGGGGCTGTCCCTTCCCAGCCTGTGGACGATGAACAGGGTTCAGAGGCACAATAAGCTGGGACAGAGTGGGAGAGCTCAGAGGAGGAGGCTCGCCCAGCGATCTCTCTTGCGGAGAGATGGTGCTTCAAGAGAAGATTGGAGTCTTGTCCCCCTGGAAGAAGTTCCTGACTTCAGGTCAGGAATTCCTACAGACATAGGGATTCTTGCCAGTAGTTAAGCTTTCTCTGTCTCTGCTTAACAGCTAGGCAGGCCAGCAGAGGAACTTGTTGGAACAACTTCACAGCTCCCATCCAGTCTTGCAACTTAGTGAAAAATCTTGGACTCCTGAACTTTGGCCCTTCCTGTTGGCCTCTATTGTTGCTATTCTTTTGCCTTGCAGAAACACCTGGACTAGATTCTGCTCTTTGCTGACCACTGAATTTGTACTGTTAGACTGCTGTAATAAATGTTCACTTTGTTACTTACAAGTAAACACACCAGTGGTTTCGTCTTGGGCAGGAGCCAGGGCATTGCCTATTGCTAATAATAATAATAAAGTCTAATACCCCCTCGGCTTTTTCAGAAGTGTCTAATATCTACATGTATTGGGGCAGGATGGCAATTTTGAATACAATTCACAATTCCAGCAAAAAGAGTAGTAGAGTAACCCAGGTTCAGGTTTAAAACATCTCCAGTTTTAAAAAGATGATAGCAAACAACTGTAAGAACTCTGCCTTAAAGACCCTTGTAGACTGCTTCCAGTCAGAATGGACAGTACTGAATTAAATGGACAAAGAAATTGACCTGGTATAAGTCAGTCTCCCTTCAATTTCACATAATAGGTTGTTTTGGAAATAAGTGTTGACTGCTAGAGATAATGAGTCAAGCTTAGGATATTTGATATACCAGAAGCATGACAAGTTTTGAATGAATGACTGTTCACATTTTTCAGAAATCCTTTCATGTTCTTGAGAATCATGGTTTTGCATCTTGCTTAGTGATTATTTCCTTGAAAAATGGTAATGTGAAGCTGTGGTTGCTGGTGCAAGTCAATCCTGTATATCATCCTGTGTATTTCAAATTCTTTTCCCTGCAGTGGCTCATAAGAAAATTGAACTGTCAGTGGATTCCATGCACTTAAGAAAGTTCGGGCTGTGGATGAATAAAGATTCTTCAACTTCAAGGAGCTGCAATACCATTTTTCTTTGGCTGTCATCGGATTATGTGGAGCAGATTGAAAAACAAATTGGAACGCTTATATTAAACAAGCAAGGTAGTTGGGAAATAATGAAATAATTTGATTCATACTCAGAAATGGAGGGAGAGAGCTTGTGGCTCGTGAGCCCGAAGAGGATGTTGGTGAGAGCGGAGAAGGGACTGAAGGTGCAGTGGGGCTTTGTTCAGCTGCTCAGGCTCCCCGTCTAATAGCTGATGTGCATGGTGGCGCAACAGCCACTGCCATTGCCTCTCTGTGCAGCCTCCAGCCGGTCCCAGAGCTTCTATTCCAGCTGTGGATATTTTTGGTACAGTATTATTGATCTGGATTGGAGAGCCGCAGAGAGGGCATTTAAATGGCGCTTAGGGGGTGCTTTTCCCTTAACACTTGCGGAGCACTGGAATGTAACCCCCAAATAAGTGGGGAGTCACCTGTAGGCAGCTTCCAGTGTGAACCAGGTCCTCCATGGGAGCAAAGAGTCACGCTGAAGTGCACAGCCCCGACCTTGACGCCCCTACTCCCACTTCCCATCTGTGTAAGCTACAGTGTTGGGAGAGCAACCCCATCACCACCGAGCCCAAGTTCAGTTAGGTGGCAACTGATGGCAACCAGCTGTAATCCCAATTTGTGGATGGCCTCCTAGCAGTCACCCTCGTGCATCAGCGGATATCTTTTTATGCTCTCAGAACTTCTTATGCTCTCAGAACTTCTGCCACTTGGTTGCTCTTCTTTTTCACCTGCAATGCTTTTATGTCCTGTTTGCGTCTGCTACTTGTATATTTTCAGTTTTCTTTTTGTTCTCTTCTTAATTTTTGTTGTTGAATCCCCCGCACTGAGAGCAGTATTAAACAGATGAATAGGCAAAGAAAGAAAATATTTTAAATCTACTGTTTCAGTGGAAGATAACAGTTTAAAAAGACATCGCAATATGTTGTTGTTGTCATGTTTGCACTTCTGTTTGCAAGCTGCTTTGATCGACTCATTTTTGTGAAGAGGGAAAGTGGGCACACCTTTAAATTAATTAGATTTTGTCTCATAGACTTGTTTTGTATTCTTTCTGCTCTCCCTTCTGCCTAAGTTACTGACTGAATTGCATAGATAAGTGAATAATTGCAGCTCCATAGTGCTTCCTGTAAGTCGCTGCTAACACATTGCTTTTTCATCTCTTACAGCTAAGAGTGTTGAGTTTATTTTTATTAAGCTGCCTCAGCTGCTCACAGAAGATGATCAGGTCATACTGAAAAAAATAATTGTGGAAGTGAGCAAGAAGAATGCCTCTCCAGACCTCTGTGACTACTTACTGTGGGAGGACGCTGTTGAGTTTCTTAAAGAAATCCCACGTGAGGAAAACGCCTTCCTTGATCAGTGCTATGAAGCATCCCAGCAGCACTTACAGAAGGACAGCACTTCAGTTCTGATGGAGCCACCCCCTCGGGTAAATCAGTTATTCTCAAATCAATTATTTGGAGTTACCAGAGCTGGGAAGGAAAACAACAGTTTCCTGGAGGGAACACTGTGCATTTAAAGCTCAGAACCTTTACCATTAATTTTAACACTTTCCAGAGGTGTAGCTGTGTTAAGTCTTCTGCAGTAGAAACAACAGAATCTTGCGGCACCTTGAAAGACTAAGAGTGGAATCCAGAGACGCTTGAGAAGACTTCAACATCCTCTCCTCCCCACTGCAGCCTCATGCATGCTCCCCCCCCCACCCACAAATGACAGAATTGTAGGTTTGGAAGGGACCCTCAGGATCATCTAGTCCAGCGGTTCTCAACCTGTGGGTCCCCAGATGTTGTTGGACTACAACTCCCATCATCCCTAGCTAGCAAGGCCAGAGCTCAGGGACGATGGGAGTTGTAGTCCAACAACATCTGGGGACCCACAGGTTGAGAACTGCTGATTCTAGAACAACACTGCAGTGCAGGAATCCAGGCCCATACAGAGCTCATCTGAGGCCCTGGGAAGGAGCCTTGTTAAAGTTATAAACCCAAACAAAAAAGCAGCTGGTCCCTGGTGGAGCCCCCCCGCCCCGCCCCGCCCAGCTAGCTGTTCCCTCAGAGGCCCGGGGCAATTGTACCTGACTGCCGCCCCTCACCCTCTGCACGGGCCTGCAGGAATCTCCACTAGACCATATAGGATTGTCATATATTATCACATATTATGAAGAAGAAGAAGAAGAAGAGTTTGGATTTGATATCCCGCTTTATCAAAGGAGTCTCAAAGCGGCTTACATTCTCCTTTCGCTTCCTCCCCCACAACAAACACTCTGTGAGGTGAGTGGGGCTGAGAGACTTCAGAGAAGTGTGACTAGCCCAAGGTCACCCAGCAGCTGCATGTGGAGGAGCGGAGACGCGAACCGGGCTCCCCAGATTACGAGACTACTGCTCTTAACCACTACACCACACTGGCTCCCTTTATGAAGCCTTTACTATTGCTATAAGGTCTTTAACCCTCCCCTGCCTTCTATACCTAGGCACCCGTATATCTTCAGAGCACCAGTTCAGAGCTCTTACTATGATCAGACACATTAATCAGTTTAGAGTCAGGGGTGTTGCCATCCAGCATACCTTGTACGTTCTTCCGTAATTGCACTGTTTTGTTGATGTTCCCTTGACTTGCCACCAGTGAGACAGAACAACAGACCTGACGTGTGTTACCTCTCTACAGATTTCCTTCTAGGCAGAATCTACCAAACTTTCTCATTAGCCATTCCTTTGAGCTGCAGGTGCTTCATTGCATCCCTCGTCTTTCCTCTACCCCCCCCCGCTCATTTGCCCTTCCCCTCCCCTCCATTTGCTCTGTCATTTGCCCAGCCCTGTTCTCTCAAGCATTCGCACGCCTTCTCACTTCCCTCTCTCCTATAGTGCCAGGCTTCTTTTCCTCTCGCCAACTCAGACACTTGCTTGGACACCTTCTTTCATTCACTCCCTTACTCTTGTTAGTCCTTCCTGGATGGTCTCTCCCTCCCTTGCCTGCCCAGGACGCCACCAGCACCTCCTTTGCCACCAGCTGCTGTTTTATCTTCCAGCTACTAGGGTATCTTCTAAGCCACTTCTGCACTTCCGGGTTGCCAAGCTTTGCGTTTATGTGTTCTTCTCATCTCCAGCAACTCCCTATATGGGCAATGGCCACTTCCCCGCTCTATTTTACCATTCCCTTCTATATTGTGCAAAATGTGAGGGTCTCACTGGCCTTGGGGCATTCATATTTTTCAGAATTATAGGATTAGTTCCTGGGTCTACAGCTGATTTGAAGAGAGAGCCCTCATTCTTGCTTGTTGGCAATTCAAGGGTTCCCCCAGGTGGAGTTCACCATAATCAAAGTGAGATAAACATCCATAGCTCGCTCCCTCGACTTCAGCTCCTAGAGACCAATACCTATATCATCCGCCCTGCCTCCCTGTTGCAGACCAGCTTCTGCTTCCAGTATCAGGAGAGAGGGAGCAGGGGTTAGATTTCTCAGCTGGTCACTGCAGCAGCCAAATAAAATTTCACATTGACCAGGAACAGGGGAAGTTAGTGTAACTTGGTGTGGTGTACTCACATAATTGGGACGCGGGTGGCGCTGTGGGTAAAAGCCTCAGCGCCTAGTGCTTGCCGATCGAAAGGTCGGCGGTTCGAATCCCCGTGGCGGGGTGCGCTCCTGTTGTTTGGTCCCAGCGCCTGCCAACCTAGCAGTTCGAAAGCACCCCCAGGTGCAAGTAGATAAATAGGGACCGCTTACTAGCGGGAAGGTAAACGGCGTTTCCGTGTGCGGCTCTGGCTCGCCAGAGCAGCGATGTCACGCTGGCCACGTGACCCGGAAGTGTCTCCAGACAGCGCTGGCCCCCGGCCTCTTGAGTGAGATGGGCGCACAACCCTAGAGTCTGTCAAGACTGGCCCGTACGGGCAGGGGTACCTTTACCTTTTTTTTACTCACATAATTAACTGGTCCCAATATATTACTGAGAGAAATGTATGCAGTAAAAGCATTTTTATGGATTATATCATTTGTTTAGGGGTGGCATATTCCAGTCAATGAGATAGCTGGACATTGGTTTCATTTGAATGTGATGCTGGGCACTAGGAACTCCCAACTATGCTTTTATCTCTAACACAGACTCTTTGTCCCCAGGCATGTCTCTAGAGGCCAGGTTTTCCGCAGTACGAAGTACCCACAGCTTCTATGCAAGCTGCTTGGGGCCCAAACACTTGGCAGTTCATCCTTGTGCACCTCTGTTCCATTTTCTGTAAATTGATGATGATAACCATCTCCACTGGGTGGCTGGTCAAGGCAGCAACCTTTATAAAACATTCCCAAGAGGAAGTGCCATGTAAAGGCAAGAAACTATATCCTTATGGGGTTTCTCAGTCTTTGTGTAAAAATTTTGTTCGACTGGAATCAGCTTTTATGTAACAAGTAGGCATCATTAGTTTAGAACCTGTCCCTTGAATATGTATTTAATGGAACATATTCTAACTCTGTCTGATATTGCTCTTGTAACAATTCTATGTTGAATATACTTCAATAGGAATAGGGTAACATTTCAAGGTGCTGAAGGAGAAGGTCTTTTCTGTGGAGAAGTTGTCCCTATACGCAGGAGAAACAGTTTTCTAAGGAGATTTCGATTCTGAATTGACAATTTCCTATATCTTACATGCCAAATAATAGATTTAGTGAGGGGGGATGGGAAAGTGTATTTTAAGTCACCATATGTGATTTCTTGAAGCCAACTTTCAAGTTTCAGCCTTTAACCCTGACCTACTTGCAACTTTCTTATCCTTATTGGAGCCTTTAACAAAGACAAAGAAAGATGATTTTGCCTTTCTCTCTGGCAGGAATCAAAACCAAGCCTCAACAAGCCCAGTTACATGCTACTGAAGAAGCCAAATAATGGTCATTATTCCTTTTCCATCACTTCCGTGCAGAAGAATGAGTGGAAAGAGTTGCGAGCGACTGGACCCGTTCGGAAGTATGTATGGTTGGTTACATGATACTGACATGTCCAGAAGGAAATTATACAGTGGTACCTCGGGTTAAGTACTTAGTTCGTTCCGGAGGTCTGTTCTTAACCTGAAACTGTTCTTAACCTGAAGCACCACTTTAGCTAATGGGGCCTCCTGCTGCTGCCGCGCCGCCAGAGCACGATTTCTGTTCTCATCCTGAAGCAAAGTTCTTAACCTAAAGCACTATTTCTGGCTTAGTGGAGTGTGTAACCTGAAGCATATGTAACCCGAGGTACCACTGTGTAGGGAAACACCCACTGGCTTCATTAGTTGTTAAGAATTACCTTGAAAGCACTTCCGGAGGCGGCGCGAAATCGTAATGGCGGTCCTCTTCATCCTCTGAAGAGGGGCTCCGCGGAAAAGGGTCGCACGCTGCGGCATAGCGGTGACCCATTAAGATAAACCACGGGTAAAGTGAGCCCGTGGCCGTGGGACTCGGCGGGCACCAGGTGCGACCCCGAATACGCAGAAGGAACCCCGTAAGGGGCTCCGGAGTGTTGAAGGAGTTGCGGTGCTGTGAGTTCATCGCTCTTTCCGCGGAAGCGAAGCCGCGCGGCTGTTACGGACGAGCGCCGACCTTCCTGAAAACATCAGGCTGCAAGCAACATACCCGTGAGTAAGGGGCATTAATTTGGAAACTAAATTGTTGAATTCGGCTGAAAACGGGAGATTAAAAATAAAAGGAAGTCCGTCTCCCGACATTGCTAGCAAGATCAAAGCAAAGACTCTGAGAAGCGGGAAGCGCTTTGAAAGGGAGCTGTCAAAGTTGGAACTTTCGTGCATTTATGGACTTGGTTGTTAAAAGGAAAGAATAGATCTTTTTTAAGTTAAAGGGACTTTGAATTCGATTACTTAAGATAAAGAGCCAGATCGTCGGGCTGCCAGACAGGAGAGAACTGTCAAACTGCGGAAACTGTTACTGCTCAATTGTTACTTTTGAGCACAAATAGACTGGATTTGACATTGTTGCAGGCACCTTTATTGAAACCTTGTTAAATATAAAAAGAGCTCTGGGGAACCTCTCTTTTGCTCCGGATTATAGAACTTTTGGACTGGGATTAAAGGGACTTTAATGGCGGAAAACTTCCTTCTTTGTCTTGAATTCTGGTGGCACTCCCCCTAGAGGATTTTGGAATTATAAAAGCCTGGGAACTGCTTTTTATTTTGACTTTCTCTCTACTGATTGTTTACAAACTGGATCTGCCTTTCCCATGGGACAATAGCTAAGTTGACCTTGAACATTGACAGATGTGGAATGAGTGGTACAGGAAAAACAAGAGCCGCTAAAGCTAAGGAAGCCAAGGAAAAAGAAAAGGAAAAAAAGCCTGGACAACTGGTACAAACAACTTTGATCCAAGGACGCAGATCATCGGTCCCAGCTGTGCTGGTAGCACAGAAGGCGGAAACAGAAAAGTTTGCAGAGGAAGATATGGCAGCAGGAGGCTCTGAAGCAGTTTTAAGACAAATCTTGGAACAACTGTCAACCTTAAACCAAAAGGTTGATGACCAATCATTAAAAACTGACCAATCTATATCCTTGATCCAGAAACTGACCGACCAGGTTTCCCAGCATACACAAGCAATTGAAAACCTACAAGGAGCAACGGCTAAAAACCGTAAACTAGCTGTGGAAGCCTCTCAAAAAGCAGAGCAAGCGAGTAAAGGGGTCGAGGAGATTAAGGGAGAAGTCAAACCCCTGCGTAAACAGATTGGCGAACAACAAGCCTACCTGTCAATGGTGGAATTGAAAAATCGTGAGAATAACCTCAGACTGAGAGCTATTCCAGAACTTGAACAAGGAGACTTGATCGGCTACCTGACAACAGAATTTTCCAAGTTCTGGGGTATAAAAGAAGATAACGACTTTAAAATTGTTTCGGCATTTAGATTGGGAAGAGTGGTAAGGAAGGACAGATCCAGAGACTGTTTGATAATTTTGAGATCAAGGGAAGAGAGAGACAAGATACTAGGCCTTCATTTCAAAAATTCACTTGAAATACAAGATAAAAAGGCGGAAATTTACAGAGATATACCTAAACAATTATTGGACCTTAGAGCGGCCTATACAGAACTGGCAAAACTTTTGAGACACAACGGAATTCCTTATAGGTGGGAATTCCCACAAGGACTATCTTTTACATACAAAGAAAAGAAGGTTAAAATCAAATCGACAGAAGATCAGCAAAAGTTCCTACACGACCACGGAGAAGACCTCCAAAAAGGAGCAGCAGCAGCTTGGCCACTACCGGGCCCAACACCTGGAGCTGGACCATTGCCCATACCCTCGGGAGCAGAGGAAAAGGAGAAGACCCCACAATAGGATCAACATATTAGTACAGGATGTCTCTGCAGCTACTAAGTTGGAATATAAACGGTGGAAATTCCCCGGAAAAAGAAGGAAAATATTTCACATCTTGAAAAAAGAACATTTGGACATCATCTGTTTGCAAGAAACTCATGTGACTAGGCTCCACAGGAAAGTGCTAATCAACAAAAGATTAGGCCAGGAATTTATCTCATCTGACAGAGTCAAGAAAAGAGGAGTGGTAATTTATGCAAAGGAGAGCCTGTCACCGAAATTTTTATTTAAAGATGAACAAGGAAGAATTTTGGCGATCGAAATTCAGACACAGGGAGAAAAATTCCTGATATTAGGAATATATGCACCCAACGATGGGAAATCGGAATTTTTTAAGAAGCTGCATGAGACTATGCTGGACTATTTGGACTATTCCAACATCATTATGATGGGAGATATGAATGGGGTGGTATCTACAAACATGGATAAGTCACAAAACCAAAATCTGACAAAAGACGGCAGACTGCCTAGAACTTTCTTTGAACTAACTGACAATATGGACCTGATTGACATATGGAGGACAAAGAACCCCTTAGGTAAAGAAGGAACTTTCTTTTCTGAGGCCCATTTGTCATGGACAAGGATCGACCAAATTTGGACAACTAGAGGGCTGGCACCTAAGACTAGAAAAGTGGAAATCTGCCCAAAACCTGCTCCGACCATAACGCCTTGAAAGTGGAATTGAGAATTACTCCAACCGGTTCCTTCAGATGGAAAATGAATGACACCTTATTAAGAGATCAGGAGGTGGTGAAGAAGGCCCAAAAAACTTTAAGAGACTATTTTGAAATAAACTTGAATACAACGGTAGAAAAAAGAATGATCTGGGACGCAAGTAAAGCAGTTATGAGAGGGTTTCTGATACAACAAAATACGATCAAGAAAAGACTCTGGAATGGAAAAAAGGAGAAGATCTTGGGGAAAATAAGAGAAGGAGAGGAAAAATTGAGAACTAATCCAAAATCGAAGGAGGTGCTGAGAGAAATCAAATTCCATCAAGCACAATATTCGAAATTGATAAATCAAGAGGTTGAATGGAAAATTAAACAAATGAAGCAAAGATCTTTTGAATCAGCAAATAAATGTGGAAAACTGCTAGCATGGCAGTTGAAAAAGAGACAAAAATTGAATACAGTTACAAATCTAGAGATTGATGGGAGAATTGTTCAGGAAATCAGAAGGTGTTTCCAGAGATACTTTAAAGAACTTTATGCACAGGGGCCACAGAAAGAGTTCGAGATAGACCAATTTTTAAAATCTAATGGATTACCAAAAGTAACTCAGGAAAAGAGAACAATCCTGAACTGTAAAATAACACAACAGGAAATTGAAGGCACCATTCAGAATATGCAACTAGGCAAATCTCCAGGCCCGGATGGACTTACCTCCAAATATTATAAGACTTTGAAGGACTATCTGATACAACCTCTGTTAGAGGTATGTAACCAGATTATGGAGGGGAAGAAGGCACCGGAGTCGTGGAAAGAAGCTTTCATCACATTGATTCCTAAAGTGGAAACTGAAAAGACTCAACTAAAGAACTACCGTCCCATCTCACTCCTAAATGTGGATTACAAAATTTTTGCAGACATTTTAGCAAGTAGACTTAAAAAAGTTTTGAATGAAGTAATTCACAAGGACCAAGCTGGCTTTCTCCCAGGTAGACATTTGTTTGACAACACCAGGAACATTATTGATATTTTGGAACTTTTACAAACAAATATCAATAGGAGAGCGGTGTTAATCTTTATTGATGCAGAGAAAGCCTTTGATAATATTTCTTGGACGTTTATGAAGAAAAATTTGGAAGGGATGGGAGTGGGACGGGGGTTTGAAAATGGAATACAAGCAATCTACACAGAGCAAAACGCTAAATTGATAGTGAACAATGTGGTGACAGAGGAGTTTAAAATTGAAAAAGGGACACGGCAGGGGTGCCCTCTATCTCCTCTCTTATTTATCTCAGTCCTGGAGGTGCTATTGAACATGATTAGGGAGGACCGGTCGGTACAAGGAATAGAGGTCGGAGTGAAACAATATAAATTGAAAGCTTTTGCAGATGATCTAGTCTTAACATTACAGGAGCCAGTATCTAGTACAAAAAGAGTTTTAGAATTGATTCATGAATTTGGTCGGGTGGCGGGATTCAGGCTGAACAAGCAAAAGACCAAGGTTTTGGCTAAAAACTTGACACCTACAGAAACAGAGGGGTTTCAGAAAGAAACAGAACTAAGTGTTGTTAAAAAAGTGAAATACCTAGGGGTTCATTTGACTGTAAAAAATTTGAATTTATTTAAAGACAATTATGAAAAATGTTGGTCGGAAATTAAGAAGGATTTGGAAACTTGGTCAAAGTTGAAACTTTCCTTGTTGGGCAGAATTGCAGCTATAAAGATGAATGTATTGCCGAAAATGTTATTTTTGTTTCAAACCCTACAGATCGTGGACAGAGTGGAATGTTTTGGAAAGTGGCAGAAGGATATATCTAAGTTTGTCTGGCAGGGCAAAAAGCCCCGAATAAAGTTTAAAATATTAACTGATTCGAAAGAAAGAGGGGGGTTTGCCCTGCCGGACCTGAGGTTGTATTATGAAGCTGCAGCCTTTTGCTGGCTGAAGGATTGGTTTCTGTTGGAGAACACTGATGTCCTGGATCTGGAAGGGTTTGACAATGCTTTTGGTTGGCATGCTTACCTGTGGTACGACAAGGTCAAAGTTCATAAATTATTTAAAAACCATATTGTCAGAAGAGCAATCTTTGCGGTTTGGTCGAAATATAAAGATTTACTGGAGGGCAAGACCCCGAGATGGCTTTCACCGATGGAGGCCAAGGCTAGGAAAAGACCCAACATGGAGGCCTATTGGCCAAAATATTGGGAAATAATTGAAAAAGTTGGAGACAAATGGAGGTTGCAGAGCCAAGACAAACTAAAAAATAAGGTGCGGGATTGGCTACATTATGCTCAAATCCAAGAGGTCTTTGAAATGGACAAAAAAGTTGGTTTCCAGGTGGAAAAATCGAAATTAGAGACGGAATTGTTAGAACTCAAAAACTAAGACACTTTCGAAAATGTATAACTTGCTGCTTAAATGGAATACACAGGATGAGACAGTTAAATCTGCCATGATAAAATGGGCACAGGATATTGGACACAACATTATGTTTGAAGACTGGGAAAGGTTATGGAACACCGGTATAAAGTTTACGGCATGTAATGCCTTGAAAGAAAACATTATGAAAATGATATACCGGTGGTACATGACCCCAGTCAAGTTAGCTAAGATATATCACTTGTCTGATAATAAATGTTGGAAATGTAAGGAGGCAGAAGGGACATTCTTCCATCTTTGGTGGACCTGCCCAAAAGTGAAGGCCTTCTGGGAAATGATTTACAACGAGTTAAAAAAGGTATTTAGGTATACCTTTCCCAAGAAACCAGAGGCCTTCCTACTGGGCATGGTGGACCAGAAGGTGTTAAAGAAGGATAGAACTTTGTTCATGTATGCTACTACAGCAGCAAGAATTCTTATTGCAAAGCACTGGAAGACTCAAGATTTACCCACGCTGGAGGAGTGGCAGACGCAGTTGATGGACTACATGGAACTGGCTGAGATGACTGGCAGAATCCGAGATTTGGGCGAGGAAACAATGGAAGAGGACTGGAAAAAATTTAAGGACTATTTGCAAAAACACTATAAGTTGTATGAATGTTAAGAAATACGCACGATTAGGAAATTTTTTGCTTTAGCAACTTGATTAGGTAAACTGAAAATTAAGACAAGAAAAAGAGGTGGTAATATGAAACAATTTTTGGTTAGCATGGAATGCTGAGTCAGCAGTGGCTTAGCATGAATACATGGGCTCCCAGAGAGGAGATTGTGGCTGCTTTGCTCCTGTGGCCTGTTGCCGTGGTGCTGCTGTGAGCTAAGCTGTGGTTTGGCTGAGCAGGTCATCCAAACCTTTGTTCATGGTTTTATCCCCAGACAAAGCATGAGGTATAGCCAAGATTTGTTCTATGGCTTAGCACATGCTATGTTATGGCTTAGCTTGGTGTTACTTGTGAACAGAGCCATTTATCTCTTGTCCACCTTTATAGATAAATGATAAAACAGCTTGTTGTACTCTCCTGCCATTCGTTATAACTTAATAAGAACTAGATCTGCTTTTCATTGAATTATCAGAAGGTATTTAATGTCTCTTTTGCTTTCTAGCTTGATCGTTTACCCTCCCCCACCTGCCAAAGGGGGACTGGGTGTCACAAGAGAAGATTTGGAGTGTTTAGAGTATGGAGAATTCCTCAATGATGTGATCATTGACTTCTACCTTAAGTAAGTGTAGTAGAGTAAAATAAGTATAGTATATAATATGTTCCGCTCTGGTTACGTGGTGCTAACGCCTGGGGGGAGACTCATTTACCCCTGCCTTTGTACATGAATGAATACAAGATAAATTTACACATGCATAATATTTGCACATCTTTTGTGTTTTTGGTAGGTATCTGTTGTTGGAAAAAGCCCCCAAAGAGCTTGCTGAGCGGTCCCATATATTTAGCAGCTTCTTCTATAAGTGCCTGACAAGGACAGAGGCAAGCACTGAAGAAAACCCAAATCTTTCGTAAGTTATCATTCAGTGTTTTCTGGTCTGCCTTGCAGTCACATCCTTCTGGAAAAAGGTGTTTCCTAATACGTGGCGTGGGCCAACTAATACTCTATAATGGATTTGCCTATTTTGCATATTAAGGATCAATATGAACAATTTATATCCTCCTTTGCTGGATTTGGAGGGACTGAAGAAAATGCTGCTTCTGGTTCTGACAGACAGAATTAACTGGTTTGTTATCCACACAGGATAGCACAAAGAAGACACGGAAGAGTAAAAAGATGGACTCGACATGTAAACATTTTTAGTAAAGACTACATTTTTGTGCCTGTGAATGAAGAGTAAGTTTGCTGCATTAATTGAAATCTAAGTCTTTTCTCAACTTGTAACTTCAGTTGCAGAACATTTAGCTTGTATTTATACTCTGCACACTCAAAGAGTTGCCTGTGTATATAGAAGCCTATATCTGTTTCGTTTCCTAACTGATAAGCACTCAGTTGCCCAAGTTTGCTATTGGGGGGGTTATGATGTTGCTCACAGATTTAAAATAGAAATGGTCTACGTACTTGGTGTATGTGCAGTTGATATCTAGAGTTTGGGTAGGTGTTTCTAAAAGTGCGTATAAAGCCTGAAATTGTTTAATGTCTGCATGCATCCTCTATTGTAATTTAGTTTTTATTTAGGCGCGATGCAGAAAGAGGGAAGCACTCTTTTGATTGTATTGAGCATAGTTGTTATCAGATCTTAATGGATATCACAGTGGGAAAAGGCAATCGTAGTTCCAATTTTTTTCCCCTCTTTCTTTTTTTAAAGTATCAGATACTGACTTTCTCTTCCTTTCCAGGTCTCATTGGTACATTGCAGTTATTTGCTTCCCTTGGCTGGAAGAAGTTGTATATGAGGATTGTCCAGATCAAAGTTCACTGCAGTCGTGCTCCCAGCAATCTCCATGTCAGCCAGAAATTAAACATGGCACTATTAGAACAGAATCAGTTTTGGTCTTTAATGATACCAGGAGTGATAAAGAGCAGCAAGACTTAAATAGCAACCTACAGCCCAAAGGTAATGTTTTAAGAACATATGCTAGATGATGATATATGGTTTAGAAATATAATTATATACAAACCTCTTGGACGAATGAATTTGCAGGTAAGCTAATTGGCTCCAGAGAACAATTTGTAGAGACTACTTACCCATGCAAGATTCAGTTTGTTGACTTAAGAGTACACCAGTGTTCTATGAATCGCTCACTGATAAAATTATGTCTGAATGGCAACACAAGGCGTACAGTCTCAGCATTTGCTCATCAATGCTGCAATAATAGAAGTAGCTCTGAAAAAACGTTTCATTTTAACCGAGCGCTTGAGTTAATGCAGTGAAAGTGTTGGTAACCAGCTGGCAAAGATGAAATAATATTCTTTTACATATTATTCTGTCACTGAGAATTACCTTGCTGCAGAAGATTTGCTTCCGTTTATGACCAGGGCTTTTGAGGATATTGTCAAGCTTCTCAACAGTAGAATTCAGATCAAAATAGGCAAGGAAAGCTATACCGTAATTTTCAGTACCTATAAGCAAATTTTTAGAGTTGTTGTAGATACTGTCTAACAGACAGAGCTCCAAATCAGGAAGTTTAACTCTTTTCTCTGCCATAAACTCTCTAGAGCAGGGGTTCCCAAATTTCCCTTGTGAACCACGTGAAAATTGCTGGGGGTCTTGGAAGACCACTTAATGGTTTTCCGCCTATTGTAGCAATTGTAACGCACTGCGTTAGATGCTGTATTATTTTTAATTGTCTTTTTATTGCCATATTCTCCATATAAGTTTCTCAGGTAGTGCATCTCAAGTGTAGGATTGCATCCTGATAGATGTGTTAAATTGTTTTCATTGGTGGCTTGTATGTGTGTGTGTGGTTGTTGCTTTTATCATGATTGCTTTTATCATCCAGTATTCTTGTAATGCATAAAAAATAGTTCTGATTCATGCCTCACGTTTTCATGCATGCCATACATTTTCAGTATAAGCCCCCCTTCTCCAATGTCACTGTTATTTTAAACTATATTCTGTTGTCTTTGGCATATTAGATAATGTTCAGCAAGCAACTGTGTCCCCAGGATTGGATCACAAAGCTCTCAAAGTAAGTGACTTTGGCCATGTTTGGATGATCATATCTCAGCTTAACAAGCTGTGATGTAAATGAGCCTTTTGCTCACACCTGCAGCCCCCTCCTTTCTTGGCAATGTGACCAGTCAAAGCAGGAAGCTTACAGTGAACTGTGGTTTGGAAAGGCAGGATATACATTAATTAAACTGAACAAGAAGTGCTTTTGTTTAACTGCTAATATATTGGGTAAGGGTCATATTTGCCTATTTGGTCTTGCTTCTTCTGATCATAGTTTGTGAATGTGTTTTTCAGAGCTCCTCAAGCACTTCTAAAATGAAGAAAATTTGCAAAAGGTAGGCATTTACATTTGTAATAATACTACAATATGGGGCCATATTCACTTTTTCTACACATACTAATAATAGTCATTAGTTTTTCCTAGTGGTATGAAACTATTTTATTGAAATTTCTCCTGAAATTCTTAAAACAAGCATTGATCCTTTGCGTAATGGAAAATGAACATAATTTTTTTTCTTTTGTATAGGCCATGTATCCTCATCTTAGATTCCCTAAAGGCAAGTTCTGTGCAGAATACAGTTCAGGTCTTGAGAGAGTGAGTAATGCTGTGTTTCATTTGATTCTGCTTTTTAACGGATAATTGTGTTTAAAGTGATATTGATCTAAGTCTGTTTTTATTGTATATACTGTGAGCAACCTGGTGCTCTTGTATTTTGAAGGAATGATATGCTATTAAAAGGTATGTAATATAGAGTGTTGCTCTAATATTTTAGTATGTTCGTTTCTATTTCTTATAGCCTTACTCTTATAGATCCCTGCAACCGAATCAATAAATGCTTGCATGTAATTTTGCTTTGTAAATCAAGATGAGAGACTGCATGTTTTGAACATTTTAAGTTGCACATTTCAAGTGAAAATTACATTTCCAATAAGCAGCAGAGGGCAGCCAACACAATCTGCTCCAGAACCAACATTGAGTAGACCCAAAGACCTGGATAGCCCCCAGAATATCACATAATAAATAGTGTGCTAGCTTTCAAGTTCCATCAAGCCAGATGGAAAGGTGGGTGGGAAGCTCATGGAGTCTGATAACAAATAGGATCCATCTTAAGACTGTAGCCAGATGGAGACTCCATGGCTTCAACTTCAGTCAGGTTTTTCCCCCTCTTTGCCCCCTACGTAGCTCTGTTTGCCATCTAACCTAAAGAAGAGTTCTGGAGAACTCAATAGCTTGCATACTATTTTGTGATACTGTATTTAGTTAGACCTAATAAAGATACTGCCATAATATTAAAATCAGTGTGACTCAAATTAACGATGGTTAGCTTTCCACGTTGACAAGAGGATATAAATGCAGCTAACTTAGGTTACAACTTACCTGGAAGTAATCCCCGTTGGAACCTTCAGGGCTTACTTTAGCGTAGACATGTTTAGGATTGCAGTCTTAACCTGCATCCACCCACCGTATCTTTCTCTGTTTTTATTTCAGATATCTAGAAGCAGAGTGCGAAGCAAAACGCACATTTCGTGTGTTCGACAAATCAACAATGGTGGATTTCTGTCCGAGAGTCCCCAAGCAGCATAACAATAGCGACTGTGGGGTATATTTACTCCAATACGTGGAAACCTTTTTCCAGGTGCAAAGCATTTCAGTGGTCCTTTGGGATGCTATTTTAAATTTTCTGGATAGAACTTTCAAATCCTTGCTTCCATAGGCAACTTGAGGAATGGGAAGGCCAATTTGATAGCTTCCAGTGCCTGCTTGGGGCGGGGGGGGGAGTGTAGTATTTTCATTCTTAGGTATTTTTGTTACTGCTTCTCGATTTACTTTATGTTCAGTACAGTGGTGTCCCGCAAGACGAATGCCTCGCAAGACGAAAAACTCGCTAGACGAAAGGGTTTTCCGTTTTTTGAGTCGTTCCGCAAGACGAATTTCCCTATGGGCTTGCTTCGCAAGACAAAACGTCTTGTGAGTTCTTGCAAGTTTGTTTCCTTTTTCTTAAAGCCGCTAAGCCGTTAATAGCCGTACTTCGCAAGACGAAAAAACCGCAAGACGAAGAGACTCGCGGAATGGATTCATTTTGTCTTGTGAGGCACCACTGTATCTGGTGCAGGATGACCTATCTACTTGGTAGTAACTATTCTGCTTGCAGGCGGATTTAACCTTTGATTAAATTTGCAAATAACATAAGTTTATTCCTGTTTCAGGAATATGTGTGGGGTTTTGTGATTTCTTGTCTCTTTGCAGGGGACTCTGATTATTCTGAATCCCCTTCCTGGTCTGCAGTCCTGGCATTCTATGAGAAAACTCTGAGCGAGCAACCCTTTTATTCATCTTACTTTAAATACTTATCTGTATGGATATGGATATAGATTCCAAAAGGATCCAAAGAGGCTTAAGAATAAAAAAAAGAACAGTAATAGAAATTAACACATTTTAGTGTCATAACACTAAAACAACAACAAAAGGAAATCAAGGAAATAATCAGCACAGGCCTTTGCACCCAAGTTTTTATTAGCTTCATATTACAATAAGAGGACAAGGCTTGGGGAATCTTAAGAGGCAGAGCGTAAACAGAACATTAAGTATCCATAATGTTTAGCAGTAGTTGGATTGGTGTGGACATCTCACCCCATGACCTACCAATCTGAGCTTGCACTTGTTCTAGGCCAGGCATAGGCAAACTCGTCCCTCCAGATGTTTTGGGACTACAACTCCCATCATCCCTAGCTAACAGGACCAGTGGTCAGGGATGATGGGAGTTGTAGTGCCAAAACATCTGGAGGGCCAAGTTTGCCTATGCCTGCTCTAGGCAGCTCCTGGAAGTGCAGTTCTATCCAGCATTGTGCCACAGTTATCGGAACAGCAACAATGCACAAACTTTGAGGAACTTCAGTAATAGTTGCAAGGTAGATATACGAAATTAGATATATTAAGAATAAGTTTAATTATGATGAAAGTGTGTATTGGCAATAAGTATTATGAAATCAAAATATGGAGTAGACGGGAGGTTGGGTCTTTAGTGTTAAGACCAATTTATGTTATATTGTTTGCTAAGAAAATTATGTGCCTATAGTTATTCCTGTGTGTAATTTGGTATTTGTGTTTTTTCTTTTTTTCTTGTTGTATCAATAAAAAATCTTTTAAAAAAAATGCACAAACTCATTCCATGCACCCCCCATTTTTTGGGGGGGCGCTCCAACTCGTTGACAATGTATGTTTGTCTTAATTATAGTTTGTTTAATACGAAGTGAACAGTGGGATTTTTTGCCAGGAGAGCAGGATATTTTGTGTCTTTGTGCCTTTTAAAATTAATGTAACACTACCCTTTTCTCTCTCTTTTTTAATCACCAGAATCCTATTGTCAACTTTGAACTTCCAATGCACCTGGAGCGGTGGTTCCCTCGCCAGATGGTGAGAAGCAAGCGGGAAGAAATTAGAGACTTAGTCTTGCAGCTTCACTTGCAGCAGCAGAGTGGCACCAAAAGCTAGCCTGAATTTCCTTCCGATTTTGCAAAAGAACTATGTCCCAGACGTCCTGGAAATCCGATCGGCAGCGTTTGTGCTTCTATTCTTGCAGAGAAGAAAAACTGCAGATAAAATTGTGTGCGTTTTATATCCGAGTTGATCTGTAGGTTGTGAGAAAACGGAACTGCAAAATAGCAATTATGTAACTTAAAGTAAATATTTGTGACATCGACCAATTTTATTTGGAATATAGAAGCAGCATAACTGGAATGTGCTGCAGAGATGGGAAAACATTTTAGCCCTAAAGGGTTCATTCCTAGTTTCCAGATACATCTGGAACTGTGTGAAACTACACAAAAGGGAGACATTAACAACCCATTTTAGGTAGGGATTCTTCCCTTGTGATGTCTTAAAGTCATAGTGTATGCTCTTGCAGACATCTCTCCCATGTCAAAAATGGTGTTGTTGAACAGATGTTTATTCTGGTTGCTTTGAATAGGTCACAAATGCTACTGGTCTCAGTGTGGGTTTTTTATATTCTGACATACTTTGCTCTTACTTAGAAGTTGACATGGCTAAAACCTTGCTCTGTTACATTTTTGGAATTCAAGAGTGGAATGTAAAAACCATTCCTGAAATTTAGAAAGAGATGTTCATTTTTTTTTTTTCCCTGTGTCTGACTTGATCACTTAAACCAGATTCAGAGCTGTAATCGTTCTCTGCTGTGCAGCAGTTAAACGAATGCTATGAATACTATGTATTTCACTATATAATAATATAAGGCCATATGGTCTTCGCTGTACTGGGTACAGTTGTAGCTTACATCTGACAGGGCATCACCCTGGCAGGAGTTGTTTTAGTGTTTCAGTAATTGTATTTGTTTGTGGGGAGTGGGGAGAGAAATGTGATTGTTAATCACTTGGGCTAAAGTCCTATTTTCACTTAGGGTGAAGCCCATGCAGCATGAGCAGGCATTTACTTGTGCAAAGGGGCTTCTCCCTCTTCTGCTTCCCCAGCCGCCCACTCTGGGACTCTGTGGAAGAATTTGTGGTATGTGGGTGGCAGGAACTGAAGGAGAAGAGAAACGGGAAGCCCCACTGCACCCTTACCTGCAAGTTAAGTCCCACAGAACACAATGGGACGTAGAACCAGGTAAGCATGCGCAGGGTTACGTTGTGAATAATGTAACCAAATTTTGTGGAAGGGAAAATGGCTGGTTTTAAAACAGGCACTGCTTTAGTCGAAAGACTCAGTTACTTCAGAGATATAACATACTTTGAAAAGCTGAATGCTTGTGATTCCCCCAAGTACCTATACTTGTAGGAGGAGCTAATCATGCAAGAAGTTCAGCTGAAGTAAAAGTCATTTTTGTTACATTGTCATATATTTAAATCTGGATTGATCATGTATTTGATAAGCTACAAGCACTGACTGAATAAATATAGTTCCTTTTTTCAGAAAGATGTGAGTTTGCTCACGGACATGCTTCTGCCATAATTCATAACAGAAGGAATAAGAGACCTGTTAGAGGAGGGGTTGTATATCATTACTGTGTTTGAAAATTGTGTTTCAAACAACAGCGACCCAGAACTCCTATATTATAAACTAGAACCACCACTAATGACTTGGGAGAAACAAGACAAAGCCCGGAAACTTGAAGTGAAAATTTCTTTGACGCACAGAAATACTTGTTTCTTGCATTGACTACTGAAATTGTAATGGCTATCAAGTACAAATACTTTTGAAGACTCGCGTTGCATACCCTTTTTCCTGCATGAGATAAGGGGGGTGGGGGAGAGACTACATACACTGCCAGTTGTGAACATGGTAAGATTGTGTATTTCGCTCTGATTACATGTATTGGAAATTTTGTTTCAAAATATCTGGAATCACAGCAAAATAGACATTTGATGTTGCCCTCAAATGTACATTTTCTGTATGCACATAGTAACTATCTTTTTTTTTAAAGTATGTGTGAAGTGTGTCACTATGCCAAAACAAGTGTCACAGAAAGAAAGAAAAGTTGCTTAGAAATTACTTTGCTAAGTATTTTCACTACAGCCAGTGGTTCCTAGCAGGGGCACTTGACACATATATTTCTTGGCCTATGGCTGTTTAATTGGATTTTCTGCTCACATTTCTGTTGAAAATACTCCTATGTCCTTTGCCATTCGAATGTGAATCGTCTTGGTGTAACTTTCATGGGGCTTACATGTTTCGTGTTCAGCCAGATCTTCATTCTTTCTCATATGAGCTCCATGCTGTCTTTCTCTCATGTATCATTGACTTGCTTCATATCGATGAGAATACCAGAGGAAAGAAGAACCATCTCAGCCCTAGTATATATAGAGTACAAGGTGATAAAGCTTGCAGGGCCGGCTTCCCCCAGAATCTAAAGCATCTCAGTAAGAACCCAGCAGCAATAAATGCCTCCAAACTTATTTATTAATTAAGAATGGTCACATTGTTTATATTGAATGGCATATTGGAGTGGATGGGTGTTTAATTCTTATAAATTGTAATGTCTGTTTTGAGTTTCTTCGATAAAATTGCCTGCCCGTTTTGGATTTTGAGTTCATTTGTATGTTTTTTTCAAATTAAAAGAAGCAGCAACTTTGTTAGAACATAATTGTTTGTTGCATTTTTTTTACCCTTCCATTCGCTCAGGATCATATACAGGGTTCCCTACCTCCTTTCTTCACAACAATCCTGTGAGGTAATAATTTGGCCAGCTTCACATGACTAAACCTAGGTGTCCCTGGCTGTCCAGTTGTTTGTCTCGTGAGACAATGGAAGAGTGTGCCTTCAGGGATGAAGATAAAACTGTTGGAGAGTTACAGCGCCTGCTGTGGCTGTTGAGACCAATACAAGAGAGGCATGCTTTGTTACAGCTGGGGCAGATGAAGGCGTGCAGTTGTGCTGATGCATGTCTACCAAGACATTATACCATATTGGCCACTTATCTTAAAGGTAAAGGGACCCCTGACCATTAGTCCAGTCATGACCGACTCTGGGGTTGCGGCGCTCATCTTGCTTTATTGGCTGAGGGAGCCGGCGTACAGCTTCCGGGTCATGTGGCCAGCATGACTAAGCCGCTTCTGGCAAACCAGAGCAGCGCACGGAAACGGCGTTTACCTTCCTGCCAGAGCGCTACCTATTTATCTACTTGCATTTTGACGTGCTTTCGAACTGCTAGGTTGGCAGGAGCAGGGACCAAGCAACGGGAGCTCACCCTGTCGCGGGGATTCGAAACCACCAACCTTCTGATTGGCAAGTCCTAGGCTCAGTGGTTTAACCCGCAGCGCCACCTGTGTCCCACCACATATCTTACATGCATACAATTAAGGGGTGTTTTTTTTCAGTTTTAAGTTCAGTTTGCCCCATTTTCCACACCAGTATGCAAACTTTAAAGTTCTGCATTCAATTGTCTAGAAGGATTGTATGGACAGGCAGCAGCTCTCCAGAGTTTCAGGTGGGAATCTTTCCTAGCCTTACCTGGAAATGTTGGGGGAATTGAACTGGGCATCTTCTCCATGCAAATCATTGAGTTATGGCCCTTCTCCAAAATCATTCAATGTCCTAAAGGCTACAAGCTGATGCTAAGAAATGTACAGCCTCTAGTTTAGGAGCCCTTGTGGAAAGTATATTAAATAGGTGTTTTCTGTGCAGAATATAGACTTTTATTTGCTACTCGGTTGTTACAGTTGTTTTTGGTTACAGAAGAAGAAGAAGAGTTTGGATTTTGTTATCCCGCTTTATTCACTACCCGGAAGAAATTCAAAGCGGTAACATTTTCCTTTCCCCTTCCTCCCCCACAACAAACACTCTGTGAGGTGAGTGGGCTGAGGAAGGACTTCAGGAGCCGCGTCCTGTGACTGGCCCAAGGCACCAGCAGGCCTGATGCGGGGGAGCAGGGAAGTGAACCCTGTTCACCCAGATTACCGAGTTCCACCGCTCTGAACCACTCCACCACTCAGCCTCTGCCTTCATGGCTAACCAGTGCTAGAGAGTTGTGCCAGATGCCTTTTCCTGTAACGAAAATGCAGAGGGTTGGGCATATATAAAGGCTGGACTTTCTCCTCCAACCTGTGATATCTTTTTGCTGGTAGTTCCAGGGTGTGAGTTTGGTGGGAGGTATTCTAGGTCAAGAATAGCCAACACAGTGCCTTCCTAATGTTGGACCATTGACTCCTATCATCCGTGACCACTGACAATTTGGCTGAGGCTGATGTACTTGGGATTCCAACTCCATCTAAAATGCACCATGTTGGCTACTATTCTAGCGGGATTCAATGGGGCCCATAAGCATTTACATGTCTATCCCTGATATTGTGCAATTTCGTATGCTGTGTATTCTGTGTTCTGGTTATTTTTCATTTCCAGTATAGGCGGCAACCATTTTAGCACATCCAATTGATATGCAGGCCCTTTGGGACCTGGACGAGGGCACAACAGAAGTGGGGCGAGCCATGCTTATACGTGCTCTGCTGACCCATGGAACCCCCTGCCAAATGGTTGCCGCTTGTATGCACAATATGTGCATGTATAAAATAACATGTTTTTTTTTTGGTTAGTGCACTTATGCAAAATGGAAAGGATGAGAATCACTGTTTCTACTACCTAATACAGCAACAATAATTTTATTATTTATATGTTGCCCATCTGACTGGGTTTCCCCAGCCACTCAGGGCGGCTCCCAACAAAATCATAAAAACTCAACAAAACCTCAAACATTAAAAACTTCCCAGTACAGGGCTGCTTTCAGGTGTCTTCTAAAAGTCTTATAGTTGTTTTTCTGTTTGACACCTGATGGGGGGTGTATTCTTTTTGTCCTGTCTCCTCAAAACGGGTAGGGGTGGAGAAATTGCCAGGAAGAACAATAGACAGGACCTTGCATCAGCATACCTGAGGGTTGTCACACGGCTAAAATGGATCAGTCTCTTATGACAATAGCAAAAGCACCTTCGAAAGAGACTCTCCAAGCAATGACCATGATGCTAACATAAGTTATTGTTTGGACAGCAAGCTGCTGCTGCTTTTCTTTTAAGACAGTCAATGAAAATTGTTCTTAATTAAGTGTGAAAGGTACTGTCCTTGTGTGGACTGCCAGTTAACGACATGACAAGCTCTGGTAAATCTGGCTTAGCTGGCCAGCTTAAAACTGAAAAATTATCTCTCTGGTCTATTGGCTAACATCAAGGAGCCTCTTCTTCGCCGCCTCTTGTGATGCCCCAAATGAAAATGGAATAATTTCTTTTAACAAAACAATTGTAGACATTTGGGACTCACTTTTGTTGCAGAAATCAATCCTTTTTTTAATCCAAGACAATTACCAGTGACACCAGACCTTCTCTAAGAACAGACTGTTACTGGATGGTTAACACGTTCAGGTCAGCCAGCACTGCTAAAAAGGAACTTGGTTATTTTCCCTTTGCCTTTAAAAAAAAATTCCGAAAGAAATATGTGTGACTTTTCTTGGAAGATCTACTTAGGAGTCTGGATATTCATATTGATTGAAGGGGAATTTCAAGCATTTGCAGGTAAGAAAATACTCCTGTTTTCTGCCATCCTCTGAACTGTCTTTGAATCTTATGTTTACCAAAAAAAAAAAAAATGTTTTAGAGTGAGAGAAAATAGGGTTACATGTATACAGAGTCAGACCAATTTCAACAAGGTTTGTAGCTGGAAATTAGTAATGGGCCATTATATGTCCACATCTAGCATATTTCACTGAAATATATACATGCTGAGGTAATTGAAAAACTGAGTATCTGTTTTGCATTAATGTTAATGTAGCAACTTTTGTCGCAATAGGGCTTCACTCTACAATTAATAATGTTTCCCATCTCCCATACCATCTGCCTATAGATTTTCACCCACAAGGCTGCTATATAGTCTTTTAAGCAGTTACAGTTATCTGTTCAGTTTGATATCACATAACACTTTGATATTGGCTGTAGTTGCTGTCTTTCATTTACTGGACTGCTCAACTGTTTAGATATCTCCCCCTACCTAATTTTCCAACTTAAAATGATTATTCCTGCACTTGTAGAAGCAAGTTATTTGAGGTGCATCACATGAATGAAAAAAATATGTGATTGGTTCCCAGATACAAAATTTAATACAACATGACTTGAACACATCAGCCGTCCACTTGATAATAACTCCTTTATGAAATTAGATACATAAATGGTGGCAGGTTTAATGTGTTTTTGTCTTCTGCTAGTTGCAGGATGTTGTAAACGGGTTTAAAATAAATTGCTGCAAGCCCTGTAACATGGAGTAATTCTGACTTACAATGTGTGAGATGTGACACTTGATCACTGGTCTTCAACTGTTGGGTTGGGACCCACTTCAGAGTCACATCCTGATCTAAGATGGGTCACAGCAGCTGTGCTACCATCTTACCAATATATAGTAAAGAAAAAAGAAAGAAAGAAAGAAAGAAATGGCCCATCAAATGCATGTTTGTATTAAAGGTGGGTCCTCCTGGGTCTGCAAAAATTGAAGGCTACTGCACTAGTCCATGTCTCTGTGAGAAAGGGCTTGGCAGAACATGATGTATCTACACCTAAGGAATGATATAATGTCTTTGCACTAGGGTAAAGCAGTTGCATTTATGTCTTCCTGGTCCTTGTGCAAGCAGAAATCCTTGTTTTCCTTAGCATTCACTCATTACAACCAATATAACCTTAAAATATAGTTGGGGAAATGTAGAAAACAAACTTAGTGAAGATAGCCTCCTTTGAAATATAGACCATTATTTGGTGTTGTCCATTATATTGGTGTGCTAAGTGAAAACAATAATGAACGAGTTAGATTTCTTTAGCTAGGCTTACACTGAAGATTTACTTTTTTATTTGCAACCACCTTAGAGTGACATAGTAAGAACAAGAGAATAATGGTGCATGTTGGATAGTTATTAAAATATAACACTGAACAGGAAGGGCAGGAGCCAGAACCTTCTGTCTTTATTAGCACCTATGTTACTTGAATGAATACAGAAATAAGCATACACAAAACAAATTAGTTTGGTTAAATGTTATGGATCGGATCCATACAAAGTTAATTGAACTTATGTCCATTTAAATTATTGGGGCTTAAGCTGAGTCAGGATTGATTCGTGCCATTAATTTCAATGGGACTTTAGTTCAACTTATTGAGGATGATGTTCAATGTTCATCATACTCAGAGTAGAACCATTAATCTCAATGGGTCTGATTTTGAGTATGATTAACAACTTTAGTCTAGATCCATCTCTGCATCTATTTATTTAACTGAAACTCAGTGGTATTGTGCAATATATGTGCAGCTACTTAAAGAGATTTGTTTGTGATGTAATTTTGCAGAAGAAACCTATTCAGCTACAGAGGACATAGAAGCCAAGGAGCCTACATCAGATCTTCCACCAAATGGCTGGCGATCAGTTAGAAGCTTTCCCCAGTTTCCAGATTCTAAGCATCTTCTTGATTTCAGGGAATCTGAGAAATTCAGCAGACGCTTGTTGCGAAGAAAGAGATCAATTTTCTTTCCTACTGGAGTTAAAGTGTGTCCAGATGAGTCTGTTGAGCAGGCTATTGCTAACCATCTGAAATACTTCAAACTCAGAGGTAAGTGAGTGTTGTAAGG